ACACACACACACACACACACACACTCATATTGGGTTGTAAACGTATGCGTTTCATTGTACGAGATAGTGGAAAAGAAAAGAGGAAAGCAAAGGGGAGGGGGAGGAACGAACTAACGAGTATCGAATATGATAAGCAACAATAATGATAAGTGCAACATAGTTTAGCGTTGCCTACTACTGTACATCCAGCTGTTGCCACGGAGGAGGACGCTACTGATGAGCCGACGGGACACGCGTCTTCAACCCTCTTGTGCTCTATGAACACCTTCATACAGCCACCAATTCTGTCGGCTAGGCCGAAAAGCGGCACCCTAGGACCTCAATCATAGTGAACATTTATGTATTTTCCTCTGCGGGTTAGTTGGTTTTTCTTTTCAATTTGCTTTCGATTTCGCGACATCGACGCGCGCAACCGCCACTCAGAAAAATCGTCAATGTCAACAGGAAAAACACGCACACGCCGAGCCCAGGTAGAGGCAGCACAAGCAAGTGCTCTCTACGTGTATTTGTGTGTCTGTGTGTGCCTGTATGTGTTTGCCAGCACCGCTAAATCGCGGAAATGAATAGAAAGCAACAACAAAAAAGTGGGAGGAGGGGCTACAAAGCAAAGCCTCATAACACAACTCTACCGTAGTCAATGAAGAAGTAGAAAAGAAAGCGATAAAAAAGAGGGGGAGACTACCCCAACCCCAAATCACACTCGTTGTTTACTATTACGTAGCTCATTGCATCCTTCTGTGTTAGCGGCTTGTAGTTTGCACAAGCGGAGAGCGCGCCACACCGTGCTATCGCAAAACAGAGAAGGTAACGTAGATGATACGTGAACCGAAACACTTACTGAAAACTAATACTAATAATAATAAGTGTCAAGTTATCAGCTGAAACACCTGCGTCAATGACCATGAAGACATTAGAGAAGCCACAACAACATAACGGCGATTAAGAGGTCCAAAAAGAATCGGTCCACGACCGGCACCACGCGCAGATGCTCACGTAGCACGCGCTGCATCTCCAACACTAACAGTCACGTGTGATATGATGGGAGAGAAAGAACAGAAGAAGGGTAGAAGTGTAGAGCAGTCAACCGAATGAACACGTATCGCCCCTCCCAGCTTAAGTCAACGAGACATAAAAAAACATATTGATACAGACACACAAACACACACAAAGGGCTCAATAACACTACAACAATTGCCACCTTCTGAACTTTAACACACCGCCGCAAAACCGAGACGCTCACCATCGTAGCTGCACACCGAAGCCTGGCCCCTTCCGCGGATGCTTCAGTTGAGACGAGTGAGGACAGCAAAACCGGAGCTTAATGGAGATACAACGAATAAGACAGTTTGCACTGGGACGCCGTTGATCAACAAAAATAAAAGAGGGAAGACTCAACATGCAAAGTAAAGCAGGCGGAAGTACAAACCCGGTGAGAGTCCGCATTGGCAGTGGGGAAGCGAGGACTGAGACGATCCTCATCATATTATTTCACAGAATCGATGTCGGTGTTCTGCGTCCTGTGCGCCTTCATTTGTACTGCATATTAAATAGCGCAGCGCCAGTGGCCCCCTTAAACTTCTTCGTCGCGCAGTCATTCCTCCTTCGAGGGCTGGAAGTTGGGGGTCGACGAAGAGCTATGGTGCGAATGAAGCTTGCCGCCCTCCTCCTCGCCGTCCACCCGGATAACAATATCGTTTTTCGTCACCCCGTTCGCCTTATCGTGCTCCGCCGCCTCCTTGTCCTTGGCCGCCTTGGCCCGGTTGGCGAGAATGTTCAGGTACGTGTAAAGGAAGCCAGCGCCGATCGCAATCGCGATGCCGACGTACCCGATCGGCTGCGGGAACTGGTTGAAGATCAGCATGCCGAGGAAGGTCATCGGGATCTTGTTGAGCGAGCCAACGACGCTGAGGGTGGTCGGGGAGGTCAGCTCCATGCACCAGAACACGCCGAACGTCATGGCCGAGCTCACCAGCACCGAGAAAGTGAGGGCAACCTTGCCCGCCACCGTCGCCTTGCCGATGGCATCGATAAATGGCGCGATCTCAAAGAAGCCCATCACCAAAAAGAAGGGCAGCGAGAGAAGGTTGTTGTAAAAGACAGGTCCATAGCGACCGATCGAGCTGCTGACGGCGCCGAGGACGGCGCGCATGTACAGCGTGTACGAGGCTGTGGCGATGATGTTCAAGAAGGTCCAGAAGAGACCTTTCGCCGTCACCCACTGGTCCCCTTTCGCACCGAGGTAACTGCCCAGGATCATGAGGGCAAAGGCCGAGTACACGGCGGGGGTCTGCGGCTTGTGGTAGAAGAAGTTGTCACCGAGGGCAGTGAGCACCACCGCGAGGTTCTTCAGCACCGTCTGCGCCGCCACAGACATCGTGCCCAGGCTCAGCATCGAGGTGAGCAGCATCGACACGAACATGAGGGTCAGCGGCAGCCACTTCCGTGCCACATCCTTTGAAAACGCGGGGTAGTCCACCAGCTTTACCGCTTTGGCTGCCGAAATGATGGCTACTGCACCGCCGGACTGCAGAATCAGAATACCGTTCGGGTAGTTCATATCGTATGTGTTCATGATGAGCTTGTTCAGCAAAATCATGCTGATACTGCAGCTGCTGTACACCAGCACGGAGAAGATGCCCTCCATCACAGCGAGGCTTCGCAACGCCATGGTGACCGTGCTTGTGAAGGAAACGACAACGACAACGACAAGAACAATTAAGCGAGTGGAACAATGAGTGAAGGTTCGGAAACGAAAGACGGAGCACACACACGCACACACACACACGCACAGTAAGAGAATGTCAAAGCACTAAACGAGAGAGCTACAATGCGCGTTGCAATGCATGAAACACTTCCTTGGTGAGACAGAGAGAGACAACAACAAGTGAAGCTGATCACTCTAGTTACTTGATACGCGCCGATGTGATTCACAGTACCCAAACAGCATCAACAACAAAAGCAGGATGCATGAAAAGAGAAGGAAGGGTGAAGGAAAACAATCGTGGCGGCGTCTGTCGCAGGTGCACCCACAGCCAAAAACAATTGACCCTCGAGCAATGCGCATCATGCAATGGAAGCTGTGTACAGAGCCGAGGAACAGCCGAAGTGCTTCATATGAAAAACACCTTTCTGCGTTTCAGCCAACGTATTTTTTCCCGCTCTTTTTGGCAACGATATCTCAGAAGTATGCACAGCCCATGTCGAGACAATTCGCGGTGATTCGCAGATGGCCGCACAGTGAAAAAAAAAAAGACAGAGAAAGAGAGTCTTCCCCACCTTTCTTTTTCCTTCTCGCGCTAGATTCATGATCGTCTAGGGGAGCTCCGCATCATACAATCTAACGTTCAGTACGTGAACAAAGGACAAGCCAAAAAAAAAGGAAAATAGAAAACACAAATAGAATTTTTTGAAAGACGTACGATTTTGGAAACCCCTGTCTGCGAGTCCAAGATATGACTGCTTCATTTTCACTTCAGTGGTGGCACAAAAAACACCGCCGCATCTCATTGATGCCACTCGACGACTGCGTTGCCCCATTCCTGCAGCACACTCTCAACGCGGCAGCGGCACCCATAAGCTTTTCCACACTGTTTTGAAGCACCAAAAAAAAAAGAATTGTGAAGAAACCAAACTTTCTAGAGAACAATAAAACGAGCGGTGCTTCACGTATTTCGTAATCCCCGACAGCAAGGACAACACCGACACACAAAAAAATACTTGATTTCACTGCGTACAGGCTCGACACCACCGAAACACAACGCCGGCACAAAGTGCTCAACAAGCACAAAAGAGGCGAAGAAAGCAGATGCAAGATGAAAGTTTAGACATCAAAAAAGCACCGTGAATCTTTCTTTGTCTTCTCCTTCCAGGAAGTCATGGTGCCATCAGGCAAAGAGTGCAGCACCGCTCTCTCCATCTCTCTCTCTCTCTGTGCTAATTTTCAATCCAGCCGTCATCCTTGTACGTCTTCTCAAACGCAGCGAGCTCTTCTACTTGCTTCTCCAACTCCATTATGGTCGGCTTGTAGCGCACCATGCCTTCCTCTACCGCTCCCTGGATGCGTGCCATTGCGTAGGACGGCTTCACAGAGAAGAGCTTCACCACGCAGTTTGCTTTCTGCGCCGCGACCGCCTTCACCTTGGCGCGAAACTGGGCAGAGAGGTTGTGCTGACAGTCGTCGAGGATACAGCTGCGGTGCAGCTCGAGTGTTTGCTGCAGTTCGCGCAGCAGCTCCACCTCCACCTCGTCCTCGTGAGAGTAGTCCTCGATGGTGCCAGTGAGGCGGCTTCGAATCGAGTCGGAGGAGATGATCACGTAGGACTTGTGCACGATGGTTACATAGCGCGACGCCCAGAAGCTCTTGCCGCTGCCGTGGATGCCAACAAGCATCAATAACGTTGGCAGCGTCGGGTCCGTCTTCTTCTTTGCCAGAGAAGAGCTGGACTTGGCGTGGTTGTGGCTGTGGCTGCTGCCATTACCGCTGCTGCCGCTGCCGTGCTTCTTCTTGTCTTTTGATGCGCGACTGCTCCCACTTCGACTCGTCAGTCGCCTACCATCCTTTGTGGATCGCCACGTGTGGATGTAGTTGTACAGGAAACGAACTAGCAGCACGAGTAGAAAGCAGCACACGGAGATGGCCACAGCGCGGCTGCGCGTCTGCTTGAGAAATGGTAGTCGCTTGACCACCGAATTTGCTACGTTGGGAAGCGGCATAGTTTATATATTTTTGGTGTAGGTCCTTCTTCGCGTGGGGGCTTTCAGTGCAGCCGGGTTTTTTTTGTTTGTTTTGATGTCGCGCCGAAATCTGCGAGTTTTTACTTCTTTATTTTGATGTTGATTAACTGTAAAAAGAACGTTTCCGAAGGGGTGCCGCAGGTGTTCCTCGGAGAGACTCTGCGCAACAATACAACGCCGTGTTCTCTAATAGCACGCACAGCGGCGTCAATGCCGAGCAGAGGGATGAAAGTCTAACGGGGTTTTTTTTTTTGATGACTCCCTGTACGATCCTTTAGCAGATATATATTTGCCGTGAAGGAGAACAGGTGAGTGCGCGCCAGTTTGTGTTTTGGATTATGAAGACACCTAAAGAGTCTAACCTCCTCACGAAAAGAAAAGAGAAAACACGGACTGGATTGTCTAAAGCAATTCGACTCCAACTAGATAAAGCACACGTCTACTTGAAATAGGTTTTTGCTTTCTATTCCTTTCCCAATTGACGTTCACGAAGAAGAGGATAGAAGACAACGGAAGAGAAGATACATATATATAAAGAGAGAGAGAGAGAGAATCCGTTGCATTGGAGCATGACGAACAATGCGCGGCGAGTTTATTCCAACAACGGGCAATGATTCGTCTGCTTCATTTTCTTTTTTGCTGCGATACTTTATGGTGGAAAATACTCTCTTGTACAGCAGAATCTGTCTCTCAATCTGCAATAAGAAAACGCCGGTCCGCATCAGTAAATGAAACCTACTGAACCCCGACGACAGCAAACTGTAAAACGTGCAGCTGAATGTATCAAGCACTTCAAAAGCTGGCTACGACTCCACTAGCGTTCAATTTTTGTTGTTGATGTTAATGCCGTAATCTATGCAGTATGGGCTCTTCGTCAGGTTCAAAAACACACACATAGCTCCTTCACCAAGGTAAGAACCTGTCGCTTTCTTTTCTTTTCAGAAGGGAAACCCAAAGAGTTCGTTGAAGAGACCCCGCGAATACGGGATCGATGCAGTACGTCGCATCTCGCTGTATGTTGTCGCTGTTGCGGAGAGGACTCACGAGCTCGCTCGCCCTCTCCTAAAAAGAAACTGTGCAGTTCGTCGATCCGGCGATCGTAAACACACACACTAAGAAGAAAAAAGGCCTCTAAATATACTTCAAAATAGAACGTCTATCGTCGTCTAGAGATGCGCAGAGGAGTGTTCGTTCCTCTTCACACAATCCGCTCCCTCCTTCTCCCTTCGGCGGCTGCACTTAGGACTCGTACTCCATGGACAGCGTGAGCCCGTACTTCCACGTCGCGGACTCGTCCAACATATTCTTACGCGCCACCACCCCCCATCGAATCGACTTGTTGAAAAGCCCACGAGCCGTCGCGCAGCAGTTGCCATCGCTCTCCGCCTTCGCCGCGACGGCCAGCGGCACCAGCGCCGTCCACGAGGCCGCCACCGCATTCGGCTCCGCTGGCAACCCGGACGTCCGGGCGGCACCACTGCGAGTCTGCACGAGGGTCGGAAAGCGGATCTGAATGCCCTGCATGCAGCCCAGCGAGACCTTCGCGACCGATTCCGCCAGATCAAAGTTGTACTGACAGGCAACCGCAGTGGTCGGGGAGAGTCGCTGCAAGATGGCGACGTGGGCGTTGGACCACGCGTCGCTCGAACGGATCATCTTGGCTGCGAGAGACCAATTAACTCCTGTGAATCCCGCCCCTGCGTACATAACATCCAGCTGCCCGGGGCCATCGCGCTGCTCGAGAAACGAAAGCTGGCGCCGCTCAAAACCGGCGCCAAGCAGCAGGTTAAAAAAGGTGATGCCACAGTCCACAAGCAGGTCGCTGCTGCCGAGGCCGTTGCGCTGGTAGCGCAGCGAGGAATACTTGTCGCCGCGCTGGTAGTGAATGTGACCGGACGTGACATCTTCGGAGGCGGGTGCGATGGTGTTCACACACACCCGCACACCAGCCGTAAGGCCCTCGATGAGCTCCTTCACCTTCCCCACGGCGGTCACAGCGCCGAGACTATTCATGGACAACGCCTGTTGCAGGCGACACACACGCGGCACGTCGAACTCGTACGCTACCTTCACCTTTCCCAGCGCGCTGCCGTCACGACGGAGCCACATGCGGGGCGAGATAGAGAGGAAGCTGGTGATGGGTGTCGGCGGCTTCTCGGACCGCGCGCGTTCTTCCGCCGCCGCCGCAGTCGCAGACGGTCCACTGGCAGTCGCCGCTGGTGACGTTCGTCGCGGCGTCGGAGGCGACGAAGGGGTGAGAGAAGAGACGTCCGCAGAGAGAAGCGCGGCGTCTTTGCCGAGCATGTTCACCCCTAAGATGGACTCCGAGTACTGGCGCGACTTCATCGACATGAAGAGGCGGCAGTCATCGCGGAAGGTCTTGCGAAAGAAGTCGTCGACGACTGTGAAGTAGTCATTCAATGTCTCTTTCGCCTCCATCTTCCCTTTGGCTTTCTTTTGTTTCCTTAATCTATAAGCGAGGCGGCTCGCACGGACCAACAGAAAAAGAAAAGGTAAAGCAGCACACTTCTCTCTCTCTATGGTAGAAGGTAGTATGATGGTGGGTGCAATTCAGCAAACCGAAAAACGAACACAGCGGTATGGATGTGGTTTGTCAAAGCGAGCTACACCGCTCTGACGATGCCGGTGTAATTACTGCGGTACAGACGCGATAAGGCCCTTTGTGGCACAAAGATGTAATCTTCGTTTTTTCCCACTGGCAAGGTTGATTGTTGCGCCGAGATCCACACGCAACGCAAGTGTTTTGTGCTGGTGCTGCAAGTAGCGGAAAGAGAGAACAGAGAAAGGAAAATGGCGAGAGAGGCGTTAAATGAAGCGTTTCGTCATAAAACACAGCCGCTTTCGGCAGGTGCTGCTTGCGTACGCAAAAAAACGAAGGGAGCAGAAAACATGTTTGGTCACGTACCTTTTCCACTCGACAACGTTTATTCAATAATAACAGCAACAAACGCAAAGGCGGAAAAATCAGGCCTTAAAAAAAAAAATAGTCAAGAAGCGATGCAGTGACCACCACGTTGACAGTTGTTCGCAGTCACTTGAGGCTATCCAACCTCGTACTTATTTAAAATTTCAATTCGGATATTTGACGGATACAGCAGACGTGGCTGAGTTTTGAGAGTGTTGTGACGCAACGGTAAGAAATTGGGGGGGGGGAGATAGAATACCCTGTGACGACGGCCAAAGGATAAAAAATGAGAAGGCAGGAGGGAGTGAAAAGCACACCAATCTCCTCATTCGAAAGAGGAGGTGGCCGTTGCTGCCGCTGTCACTTTCACGCTGCAATCTCACCGTTTCCCTCCGATCTGCACCCTCAAAGAACACCAACAAGAAAAAGGAAAGGGATAGAAGCAACCACTTGTCAAACAATGATGGAGGACATAAACGCGATAAAGCGAGAGGCGTAGTCGTTGGGGTCGACGCAGGAGATGCGCTTGCGGTCGTGCATTGTACCAAACACAACGTTCTCCAGACGCTTGCGCGTGTTATATTCCTGCAATATGTCAATAATGCCGATGTAATAGATTTCTTGCCTTAGACCGGGCACCTTGCTGCTCAGCATGCCACCTTGATCCGCGGTAAAGCAGCGTCCGTCAAGGCTGGCGTTGCGGACGTGATCGTTGAGGTCCGCCACGGTGACGTCCTGTCCCTCACCCAAGTTTGCGCAGGCCGTCGTGGACCCCACGCGCAGCGTCGCCTCTCCCATCGTGCGCGTCAGCGGGCCCGGAGAACCGGTGTGCGCTGCACCACCTTCCGCCGCCGAGTGCAACACGCAAATCCCAACGAGAAAGGAGTAGTCCATAATGCGCGACCGCTTGAGCAACTCGCAGTCCTTTTTAATTTGATCGATCAACAGCGCGCGTCGCTCGCTGCCGACGTGGAGGGGGCTGTTGATATCAAGGTCCTTCTGCGTGCACGTCGCGCGTCGTTTCTCTGCATCAGAGGCAAAGCGTCCAATTGTGCTGCCCTTTAAGTCGAACTTCTCGTGAATGGTGTTTGTGGTGGCGAAGACGTTCTGCATGATAATGAAGTTGAACGTCTTAGCGCCAATCCGCATGCGATGATGTCCAACAAAGTGCGGGAGTAATGTGTAGGGGTTGTCGCGGACGTGGTAGTAGTAACGGTGCAGAATATCGCGCAAGAAGTCGCTCTCCATGTCGGTCATCGTCTTGATCACCCAATCGCGACCACAAAAGAAGAGCTGCGCGGCCGACTTGCCCGGCGTAGGGATGCTGTGCCACCGACTGTTGCACAGGACGTTGCAATAATCCTTGGGGTCGACGGCGAAAAACTCACGGACGTGCCGGTAGCACATGGGAGAGTAATCCGTGAAGGTAAAGTTCACCGGCGGCTGATCTTCTTCCTCTTCGTCGTCGTCGTCGTCGTCGCTGGTGAAGTCGACGAAGGTGCCGTTGAGTGGTGCCGCCGCTTTCTGCGGACGACGGGTGCGACCGGGCGAGGAGCTGCGTCCCGCAGTGGCCGTAGAACCGGGCATAACGAAGGCGCCGTAGTCAACTTGCTGCTCGGCGTCTGAGTTGGAGTCGCGGTCGACTATCGAGAACATGTGCGTAATCTCACTGCGGTAGTGCGACGATTGGACGGCGCGCGATCCCACGACGTCGGTGGGCCGGGCCTTGACCATTTGAGAATGCGGCTTGCGCCGTTGCTTCACATTCGTGGTGCCTGCCCCGCAGCACTGAATACCACCGCTGCGGGTGGCGCGGAAGCGCATGGACGCCTCAATCGAGAAGTCCTTCTTCGGGTTCAGCGGCCGCTGCTTCTCCGGGAGCGAGATACTGGTGATGACGCGCTCTAGCGCAATCTTGAAGCACCGGATGAGGTTCTTCGTCGCCGGGTTCTGCTGATCCTCCTCGGCGTTGTCCATCGCCAGGTGCTGGGAGCCGTCGGCGCCAACGGAGCGGCCATCGTTGGCCTTCTCATGGCCCTCGTCCATCCAGTCGGCGCCGCTGATCGCCTCCAGCTTTACGGAGGCCAGCAATTCCCGGTTCAACGGCATCGCTAATGGGAAGATCGGCTACGGAGAGAGAGAAGTTCAGAAATTTGTGAGGGAGTGTGTGTGGGTGTTTGTGTGCCTGATTGGACAACGCAGCCCTTTGAAAAAAGTGTTTCGCGAGGTTAGGATGGATGAGAGAACCCCCCTGCAGTGCGCGTAGACAACGGCGAGGAACAGCCTCAACGTGCTCTAAGAAAAGATAAATGAACAAGAGAAGTCCAACAGAGAGAAGAGGGAGGAAGCTCTCCGCTATAAAACACGCGTCCGTAATTCAAAGAAATCGTAGCAGAGAGACCGAAAGGAATCAGATGGATACAAAACGAAAGGGGTAGAACTTCCCCGCTACCAGAAAGAAAAAAAAAGAGGCGGGTCTAGCGGCTTCCGACGCCGTCACTACAGGCGCGGAGAACAAACAGCAATAAGAGAAATGGAAGAGAAGGAGAAGGAAGTGTGCGTGTACGCAACGGAAAACGGAGAAGTCGAACAGTACGAATCAAAAGGTCAGTCAATTAAGAGCCCCACTCGGACTAGAAGAAGAAAACAGAAGAGGAGAGAGGAGAGAGCGCTGCCAATCTTCAAGCGACGATCAGCCTATTTACGTCTGTGTGGGGCGTTGTTTCCCCAGAAAAATGGAGCCTTTTTCTGCCGTGCACTGTCCTCATCAATACGTTGCTGTTTTGCGCCGCCGCCGCAATACATGTACCATATCCTTGTCTGTTCATAAATTGTATCATACGTGCCACGGCGTCCCTTTCCACGATAATTATCTTACACGCGTAAAAACAATATTACACCGATTAGCTTGGGATTTCTCGCAGGAAAGAGCGTGAGCGAGAGCGTGCCGCGAGCATTTCGACCAACCAGCCAACCAACCTCACCCCGTCGAGGCTGTGGTTCCTAAACGACTGCCACTTGCTTCTTCTTCTTTTTGTTTGGAACTCGCAGTCGAGGTTGTCGTCCGCATTCGCGAGTCGCAACGGATGACGCAGAGAAGAAACTACTTCTTCTTCGCAGCTCCTCCCCTGCCGCCCTTCTTAGGACGCGCCTTCGCCCCAACACCGTATTTCTGCTTAATCGAAAAGGCTCGCTTGTCAACTGGAATGGCCGAGGACGTCTCAGGGGTGTAGGCCGGCATGAGCGCCTCCTCGTTCACCTCGTCCCTCTGCTCCACCGCCTCACTCGACGCGCTGCTGCGATCTGCCTGGTCTTCGTTCTCGTGCATGTCCGTCTCGCCCTCCTCCGGTTCTGTCGCGGCATCGATAGGATTCGTCTTTGTTGCTGCTGCTGCTGCTTGACGAACCGCCAGCACATCCGCCCCGGGCAGCTCCACGTGATGCGGCGGACGGCTCGCCAAGACCCGCGAGAGAGCCTTCATGGCGGTAAACCACGGCGACGGCACCGTATTCGACAGGAGCGTTGCGCGCTCGCTCTCCGACGCGTCGGCTGGCGCCACCATCTTCACCACGCTGGCGAGAGAGGGCAACGTGCCGGTCATGGGCCGGTAAACACCGGTGGGGCAGCGAGCGCGGTAGAAGTTCCACTCGCGGCTGCCCTCGGCGGCGTCGTCGACGTGCACGTTGGCGTGCTCGCCGTCCTTTCCGTGCTTCGCCGATGTTCCGCCATCGACGTCGTCCGCCACCGCCTTCTTCACCAGGCTCACGAGGTGCCCCACGTTCTCGCGCAGCACCGCCGTTGCAGGCGAGCAGCAACGAAGCAAATCCTTCGCCGTCGTCGGCAGCTTCGAGGCGATGGCTAAGACGGAGGAGAGGTGTAGGACGGCCGTAGGAGAGTCATCGGCCTCCCGTGCGGCCGACTCGCGCCAGTTGAAGATGTCGCGAGCGACCTGCTCCTGCACGGCTGTGAGCCCGCCAAGACTGCGGCCAAGGGCCAGCTTATAGGTCTCCGCGGGATCTACGTTCGGCTTTGCATAGACCTGCAAAGAGAGCTGCTTGCTCTCACTGTACACGTGCACGAGGAGGTTGCCGATGCTGGCGCGGCCCTCGCTGTTCAGCAGCAGCGCCTTCAGCCTGTCGTACACGTAGAGGAGAAAGTGCGTGTCTTGACGTGCGTAGTGCACCATGTCCGCCGGGAGCGGCCGCACACGCCAGTCGGCCGTCTGGTACTTCTTGTTCAGCTTCACCTGACAGAAGTGGTCCACGGCGAAGGCGAGGCTGTAGGGCATGTGTAGGGTTTGCAGGGCCACGCCGGTGTCGAAGAAGTTCACCAGGTAAAGCGAGAAGTCCTTCTGCAGCCAGCGAACATCCTCGCGAGCACCGTGCAGGACCTTCAAGATGGCCGGATTGAGGAACACAGGCGCCAACGCACTCATCGCCGAACGCAGCTGCAGGCAGTCCACGATGAAGTCCTCCTCGCGGGTGCTGATCTGCATAAGACAGGTGAAGCCTTGATAGCTGTAGAAGTCGTGGTGCTCCAAATCAACCGCAATCTCACTCGCCGCAAGCAGCTTCTGCACCATCGCCTGCATCGCCTCAGGCGCGTCGACGAAACTCAGCGGACACGTTTCCAACGGCACCGGTGGGATCTCCGACTTGGGCAGCAGCTGATGCTGTGGAACAGCAAAGGCCTTGATGATGTCCTCAAAGGGGTGTACGCCGGCAACACCGGTGTGCCGCACGCCATCCGCGGCGACATATGTTGGGATAAAGGGGGCTGTGGAGTTATCCACCACAGTTTCAAATGACAGCTGGGGACGCCGGACGTGTGCGAGTCGCACCACACCGCCCTGCCCGTTGGCCGCCGCTGCCCGACCGCCGTCCTGATGCGATGAGGCGGCCAGCTCCGAACCGAAGCTGACGGAGAGTTGCTCCTGTGCATCCAGCTTACGACCTTTCACCTCATCCAGCAACGAGTCCACGTTTTCTAGTAACGAGTCGATCGCCTCCATCACGGCGTTGCGCTGCGTCTCAGCGAGGTGGACGGCGCCGCTGTGGGGGTCTTCTTCCGAGACTAAACTCGTACGGCGCCTCTTTGGTAACATTTGGCAGCACGCATCCATCAGTGAAATCAGCGTCTCACTGTCGTCGCGAATGTGCTTGCGAAAGCCCGGGAAGGCGAGGTGGTAGTCGTAGTCATCGGAGGGGATCTGCGCGGACAACTTACTGTATTCCTTTACGGCGCCAAAGACGGCAGAGACGACAGCCTTCGTCGCCGGTAGCGACGCATCGCATGACTTCGGTGGCATCGACAAGGTGGGCGTATGGGTGGGCGTACGTGTAAGAGAGCCGAAAAGGCGATAAAGAGAGGCGACAGACCTAAGCGCTGCGTGCGTGGAAGAAAAACGCGAATCGCTGCGTCGCGGATACGAAGAAAAAACAAAGTTTGAGATTTCCTATGTAGTTCCACGATGAACGGCAAGACCTAATAGATGGTACACTGCGGTTAATCATAATAAAAGGCAGACAAGAAAAAGACTTAGGAAAAGTACTCACTGCATTCGCAAGCCTCTTGCCCATAACGTGCCTTTCAATAGCGGCTACTGTTGAATAATGCTTCACTGCGGCGCTACGCAGAAACTGGCGGGTGTGCTCGAAGTGTAGACGACAAACATCATGCACGTATCTTTGCCGCCCGGAAAAGTGGCGTTGGGCACGGTGAAGTCAGTTCACAGGCCCACATAAATAAAAGAAACAATCACTGCCATGTGTTGGTTGCTAGTTTAACTTTCAGCGAGACATCAGCACTCACTAAAACAATTTCAGTGGAGCCGTGCCGCACAGAGATCTTTAACGCTTTTAGAAAAGGAAAGCAGCAGCACAACAACAAACGTCTGGCATGTCGTTTCCTGCTTCGCGCGGTACGGAACTCGAGACGCACGCACTCGCTGGGTTCCTGCTGTCAGCAAAGACTAAAGCATTGGGATGAATGGTACGTTTTTCAGCCTCCCCGCACGAAGCGGCTAAGACAAAGGAGCATACCTGATTCACATCATACAGCAGGTGCGGTGTGACCGCGGCCACACACACAAAAGGCAAGCCACTGCGATACTGAACACACTATCGGTTGACGTGGACGGTGTGCCAGCGCCAAGAGGCGGTACAACGTGCCCAAGCACTCGTCACACGAACTTAGCATCCGCTGCCACGCACGAGCAGCAGCAAAATGAGACCTTCCGCCTCAAAGCTAAACCTCCAATTCTGGGAGTTTGATGATGGCTGGAAACTCACCGTTGGAGCATTCGAACCGAGAGAGACTCCGCGGCACAGACAGCGCACACATACACGCCGGCAATCTCCGTCCACAAAAATCACCACTATACGATAGGCAAGGCGTATGAGCAGCGGTTGGTGTGACGTCACCACACTCGACACGAGGCAGGGCACTCCACAGCGTAGCACTACACCGGAGCCATCTGGGAGTTAAATGATGGCGCAGCACGCATCAGTCTCGCGTCCTGTCCGAGGAACACTCCCGCACAACGGAAACACCCACAGCAGACACCACCGCAGCTGCACCGCAACGCAGCACTCCAACGAAAGTGGCTGCTGCGTCTCGCAAACACCGGCAACACAAGCAGAAGCGGCAAAGCACAAAGCACAAGAGCAGGCAGCACGCATCGTCAGTTCGGCAAAATAAAAGGGATCGTCAGCGGTGCATCGGAGGCTATTAGTAATAGCAAGAAATTTGTCATCACAAACGCGCAGCGGCACGCAACAGCACAGTCAGCAGCAACGGCAACGGCGCGGCGCACCCTCAGATCGGAGCGAAAGGTGAAGTTCAAACGGTGATCGTCAGCGGTGCATCGGGAGGTTAGTAGTAGAGAGGACTTTGTCATCACGAGTACGCGAGCGCACGCCACACACCGCCGCACCTCCTCCACAGCGGCACCCTCTCACGCCGCTTTGGTAGTGCACGTAGCCGAATGGAACCGATCAGCTCACACTGCGTAGCAGACGTTTCTTTACGCGACTGTAGAGCAAACAGACACCAAACGGTGTGTTCTCACGGCGGAAGCATCGAGATCAAAACGACGGCAACACGTGGTCATCGTCCAATGAGAATTTTGCGCTCTCCGCTGGACATCTTGCTGCCCTAACTTACGCTATGAGGTATTCACAGAGTTCACCTCTAGCGCCCATTATAGGCGGCGTCGGCGTTTCACCGCAGCAAAACTACCTCCGGCGTGACACACGCACACACTCGCTAGGTTCCTGCTGTCAGCAAAGACTAAAGCATTGGGATGAATGGTACGTTTTTCAGCCTCCCCGCACGAAGCGGCTAAGACAAAGGAGCATACCTGATTCACATCATACAGCAGGTGCGGTGTGACCGCGGCCACACACACAAAAGGCAAGCCACTGCGATACTGAACACACTATCGGTTGACGTGGACGGTGTGCCAGCGCCAAGAGGCGGTACAACGTGCCCAAGCACTCGTCACACGAACTTAGCATCCGCTGCCACGCACGAGCAGCAGCAAAATGAGACCTTCCGCCTCAAAGCTAAACCTCCAATTCTGGGAGTTTGATGATGGCTGGAAACTCACCGTTGGAGCATTCGAACCGAGAGAGACTCCGCGGCACAGACAGCGCACACATACACGCCGGCAATCTCCGTCCACAAAAATCACCACTATACGATAGGCAAGGCGTATGAGCAGCGGTTGGTGTGACGTCACCACACTCGACACGAGGCAGGGCACTCCACAGCGTAGCACTACACCGGAGCCATCTGGGAGTTAAATGATGGCGCAGCACGCATCAGTCTCGCGTCCTGTCCGAGGAACACTCCCGCACAACGGAAACACCCACAGCAGACACCACCGCAGCTGCACCGCAACGCAGCACTCCAACGAAAGTGGCTGCTGCGTCTCGCAAACACCGGCAACACAAGCAGAAGCGGCAAAGCACAAAGCACAAGAGCAGGCAGCACGCATCGTCAGTTCGGCAAAATAAAAGGGATCGTCAGCGGTGCATCGGAGGCTATTAGTAATAGCAAGAAATTTGTCATCACAAACGCGCAGCGGCACGCAACAGCACAGTCAGCAGCAACGGCAACGGCGCGGCGCACCCTCAGATCGGAGCGAAAGGTGAAGTTCAAACGGTGATCGTCAGCGGTGCATCGGGAGGTTAGTAGTAGAGAGGACTTTGTCATCACGAGTACGCGAGCGCACGCCACACACCGCCGCACCTCCTCCACAGCGGCACCCTCTCACGCCGCTTTGGTAGTGCACGTAGCCGAATGGAACCGATCAGCTCACACTGCGTAGCAGACGTTTCTTTACGCGACTGTAGAGCAAACAGACACCAAACGGTGTGTTCTCACGGCGGAAGCATCGAGATCAAAACGACGGCAACACGTGGTCATCGTCCAATGAGAATTTTGCGCTCTCCGCTGGACATCTTGCTGCCCTAACTTACGCTATGAGGTATTCACAGAGTTCACCTCTAGCGCCCATTATAGGCGGCGTCGGCGTTTCACCGCAGCAAAACTACCTCCGGCGTGACACACGCACACACTCGCTAGGTTCCTGCTGTCAGCAAAGACTAAAGCATTGGGATGAATGGTACGTTTTTCAGCCTCCCCGCACGAAGCGGCTAAGACAAAGGAGCATACCTGATTCACATCATACAGCAGGTGCGGTGTGACCGCGGCCACACACACAAAAGGCAAGCCACTGCGATACTGAACACACTATCGGTTGACGTGGACGGTGTGCCAGCGCCAAGAGGCGGTACAACGTGCCCAAGCACTCGTCACACGAACTTAGCATCCGCTGCCACGCACGAGCAGCAGCAAAATGAGACCTTCCGCCTCAAAGCTAAACCTCCAATTCTGGGAGTTTGATGATGGCTGGAAACTCACCGTTGGAGCATTCGAACCGAGAGAGACTCCGCGGCACAGACAGCGCACACATACACGCCGGCAATCTCCGTCCACAAAAATCACCACTATACGATAGGCAAGGCGTATGAGCAGCGGTTGGTGTGACGTCACCACACTCGACACGAGGCAGGGCACTCCACAGCGTAGCACTACACCGGAGCCATCTGGGAGTTAAATGATGGCGCAGCACGCATCAGTCTCGCGTCCTGTCCGAGGAACACTCCCGCACAACGGAAACACCCACAGCAGACACCACCGCAGCTGCACCGCAACGCAGCACTCCAACGAAAGTGGCTGCTGCGTCTCGCAAACACCGGCAACACAAGCAGAAGCGGCAAAGCACAAAGCACAAGAGCAGGCAGCACGCATCGTCAGTTCGGCAAAATAAAAGGGATCGTCAGCGGTGCATCGGAGGCTATTAGTAATAGCAAGAAATTTGTCATCACAAACGCGCAGCGGCACGCAACAGCACAGTCAGCAGCAACGGCAACGGCGCGGCGCACCCTCAGATCGGAGCGAAAGGTGAAGTTCAAACGGTGATCGTCAGCGGTGCATCGGGAGGTTAGTAGTAGAGAGGACTTTGTCATCACGAGTACGCGAGCGCACGCCACACACCGCCGCACCTCCTCCACAGCGGCACCCTCTCACGCCGCTTTGGTAGTGCACGTAGCCGAATGGAACCGATCAGCTCACACTGCGTAGCAGACGTTTCTTTACGCGACTGTAGAGCAAACAGACACCAAACGGTGTGTTCTCACGGCGGAAGCATCGAGATCAAAACGACGGCAACACGTGGTCATCGTCCAATGAGAATTTTGCGCTCTCCGCTGGACATCTTGCTGCCCTAACTTACGCTATGAGGTATTCACAGAGTTCACCTCTAGCGCCCATTATAGGCGGCGTCGGCGTTTCACCGCAGCAAAACTACCTCCGGCGTGACACACGCACACACTCGCTAGGTTCCTGCTGTCAGCAAAGACTAAAGCATTGGGATGAATGGTACGTTTTTCAGCCTCCCCGCACGAAGCGGCTAAGACAAAGGAGCATACCTGATTCACATCATACAGCAGGTGCGGTGTGACCGCGGCCACACACACAAAAGGCAAGCCACTGCGATACTGAACACACTATCGGTTGACGTGGACGGTGTGCCAGCGCCAAGAGGCGGTACAACGTGCCCAAGCACTCGTCACACGAACTTAGCATCCGCTGCCACGCACGAGCAGCAGCAAAATGAGACCTTCCGCCTCAAAGCTAAACCTCCAATTCTGGGAGTTTGATGATGGCTGGAAACTCACCGTTGGAGCATTCGAACCGAGAGAGACTCCGCGGCACAGACAGCGCACACATACACGCCGGCAATCTCCGTCCACAAAAATCACCACTATACGATAGGCAAGGCGTATGAGCAGCGGTTGGTGTGACGTCACCACACTCGACACGAGGCAGGGCACTCCACAGCGTAGCACTACACCGGAGCCATCTGGGAGTTAAATGATGGCGCAGCACGCATCAGTCTCGCGTCCTGTCCGAGGAACACTCCCGCACAACGGAAACACCCACAGCAGACACCACCGCAGCTGCACCGCAACGCAGCACTCCAACGAAAGTGGCTGCTGCGTCTCGCAAACACCGGCAACACAAGCAGAAGCGGCAAAGCACAAAGCACAAGAGCAGGCAGCACGCATCGTCAGTTCGGCAAAATAAAAGGGATCGTCAGCGGTGCATCGGAGGCTATTAGTAATAGCAAGAAATTTGTCATCACAAACGCGCAGCGGCACGCAACAGCACAGTCAGCAGCAACGGCAACGGCGCGGCGCACCCTCAGATCGGAGCGAAAGGTGAAGTTCAAACGGTGATCGTCAGCGGTGCATCGGGAGGTTAGTAGTAGAGAGGACTTTGTCATCACGAGTACGCGAGCGCACGCCACACACCGCCGCACCTCCTCCACAGCGGCACCCTCTCACGCCGCTTTGGTAGTGCACGTAGCCGAATGGAACCGATCAGCTCACACTGCGTAGCAGACGTTTCTTTACGCGACTGTAGAGCAAACAGACACCAAACGGTGTGTTCTCACGGCGGAAGCATCGAGATCAAAACGACGGCAACACGTGGTCATCGTCCAATGAGAATTTTGCGCTCTCCGCTGGACATCTTGCTGCCCTAACTTACGCTATGAGGTATTCACAGAGTTCACCTCTAGCGCCCATTATAGGCGGCGTCGGCGTTTCACCGCAGCAAAACTACCTCCGGCGTGACACACGCACACACTCGCTAGGTTCCTGCTGTCAGCAAAGACTAAAGCATTGGGATGAATGGTACGTTTTTCAGCCTCCCCGCACGAAGCGGCTAAGACAAAGGAGCATACCTGATTCACATCATACAGCAGGTGCGGTGTGACCGCGGCCACACACACAAAAGGCAAGCCACTGCGATACTGAACACACTATCGGTTGACGTGGACGGTGTGCCAGCGCCAAGAGGCGGTACAACGTGCCCAAGCACTCGTCACACGAACTTAGCATCCGCTGCCACGCACGAGCAGCAGCAAAATGAGACCTTCCGCCTCAAAGCTAAACCTCCAATTCTGGGAGTTTGATGATGGCTGGAAACTCACCGTTGGAGCATTCGAACCGAGAGAGACTCCGCGGCACAGACAGCGCACACATACACGCCGGCAATCTCCGTCCACAAAAATCACCACTATACGATAGGCAAGGCGTATGAGCAGCGGTTGGTGTGACGTCACCACACTCGACACGAGGCAGGGCACTCCACAGCGTAGCACTACACCGGAGCCATCTGGGAGTTAAATGATGGCGCAGCACGCATCAGTCTCGCGTCCTGTCCGAGGAACACTCCCGCACAACGGAAACACCCACAGCAGACACCACCGCAGCTGCACCGCAACGCAGCACTCCAACGAAAGTGGCTGCTGCGTCTCGCAAACACCGGCAACACAAGCAGAAGCGGCAAAGCACAAAGCACAAGAGCAGGCAGCACGCATCGTCAGTTCGGCAAAATAAAAGGGATCGTCAGCGGTGCATCGGAGGCTATTAGTAATAGCAAGAAATTTGTCATCACAAACGCGCAGCGGCACGCAACAGCACAGTCAGCAGCAACGGCAACGGCGCGGCGCACCCTCAGATCGGAGCGAAAGGTGAAGTTCAAACGGTGATCGTCAGCGGTGCATCGGGAGGTTAGTAGTAGAGAGGACTTTGTCATCACGAGTACGCGAGCGCACGCCACACACCGCCGCACCTCCTCCACAGCGGCACCCTCTCACGCCGCTTTGGTAGTGCACGTAGCCGAATGGAACCGATCAGCTCACACTGCGTAGCAGACGTTTCTTTGTTGTGGCTCTTATCGAGCGACAAACTCTTGAAGGCGAGGTCGGCGGCTACCCCTCCTCTGTTGCTCACGTGGTACGGCGTATTGCATTGGTGCACTAGGGCACAAATCGTACGCAGAGTATAGAAGGTTGAGAACGAAACGTACTTCCTCCGACTTCTATTACTACTGCTGTGTTTAACCAAAGCGAGGCGGCACTGGAAAAGGGCAATGGACGGGAGAGTTGTGTGAAGTGTTCTAAGTGCTCCTTCTGCTCCATAATCACTACAGCAAACACAATTTTGTTTTTTTGTTGATACCTGCATCTTCCCCCTCCCCCCCTTCCATGTAGAGGCGGAGCAGAAATCAGCTTGAGCGTCACTGCTTTACCACAGATCGCTCCAGCCCGAGACAGGCGCTTCACAGGACTGCGTCACGCAAAGCGGGTGACGAAGTCCTCTACCTTTATGTGACTCTTCGTTACTTCTATCACGTGACAGAGTTCGATTTCTTTTTATTCTTATTATAGATACGTGGTGGTATTTGTGTTGTGTTTAGTGTGGCTGTGCAGGAAAGAGACAGAGCACACAGAATTTAGGAGAGTCTACTCCCCTTCGACGAGAAGCAATCACGTGAGAAAGCAACCGATGGCGCAAAGAAACAAACAACCACACACACACAGAAAGAAACAGCAAAATCAAAACACAAAATCGGCAGAAGCAACTTATGCGAAAGGAAGAAGGTCACAAGGGGAAAAAAAATAGAAGGAAAGGAAGCGGATAGTGCCGTCGCGAAGACAAAGGAAACAAAAAAATGGTCGGATTTAACGACTGTGGATGAGCGGGATTTCCATTTCGAAACCAGAAAAAAATTGCTTCATCTTTTGCAGAATCGTCCACGGCTCGTTCACAACTGTTCCGCTTCTTCTTCATCTTACTGTGCAAGTTACAGCTCATTTAAAAAAAAATACGGTTTTTAAAACATCTGATGAAATCACAGGTAGAGATCATAGTCACGGTGAAAAACAAAGGGGGGAGTATATACCTTTTTCAGGAGTGCCTTCCTGGAGATGCAGCTGTGTTGCAGACACACACACACACACACAGAGAGAGAGAGAGAGAGAGAGAACGACACAAAACCTTGGGATACATCCACACGCGCAGCAACAAACGAAACGAACGTAACCTCTTAAAGTAGCTAACAAGAATGTTGTCGAATATGTATATATTTGAAGAAGCATCTTTGACCGTTCCTGCACGCGACAACGCTGGAAGGCTCTTGGGGACGGCAGCCTTCAATGGCTAAAAAGCGTCCGCGCTTTCTACATATATGTATACTAGGTTTTCCCCACACACCCACACATAGAAGAAGGTGTTAAAGCAGGCAGACATGAAAAACAAGGAAAACACATGAGCAGCAGACACACAGAGAGAATCAATACCCAAAGCAATGTAGAAAAAGGACACTGCGACGCTCCGACGACACTTCACATCCGCCGCTCCAGAAGGCGAGCGATATGGAAAAGACGGAGGTGCAGGTACCCGTCGAACAAGTAGGTCACAAAAACCAAGAAGCTCATACACACAAGCGGAATCGTGATGCGCTGAATCAAGAGGACGATCTGTGTATCACAGGGGTAGGGAAAGAACTGGAGCGGAGACGTTACCTCAGGACATCGGCACTCCGAGGAGTTAAACGCCGTGACGCACGACTCAGAGATGCCGCTGCAGCGGTGTGACCCGTAAAAGTAGCACAGGCGCTCCTGTGTGAGCTCGTGTTGATAAAACGACCACCACCGCGTCAAGCTCGCCATCTCCCCCGCCACGATCATCGTTACAATGGCGCATGCGACCGCGCCAAAGGTGAAGAGGCCGCGGATAGCAGTCAGGTAGAGCTGGTCATTTACTGGAATGGACATGCGCACCGAGTGCAGCAGCGTGCACCCAGTCCCCATCACCGACACGACAACGGTGGCGAAAATATAGGGGTACACCTTCATTATATACGGCGCAATCACGGTGAGTTCAGTGGACAGGCTGTTGATGATCTGGTAGGTGAGCACGACAGCAATAAGAACTAACTCCATTACACCAATCATGAAGGTTTGACGCGGCAGGTGGGTGAGATAGAGTACGCCGGTGTGTCGGAACAGCCCATTCGGCGCGCGATACGCACGAAGCACGTTGCGTCGGCCCTGCTCCTTCTTCTTCTTCGCCCGCTTGACGTCACGGTCGATTTTGATGAGGTGCGCCAGCTCCTCCTTCGTCGTCTGTAGCAGCAGTTCGTTGTCGAGGTCAGGGCAGTTGCATCGGCACGTGACGAAAGCGCGGAGGGGCACCATGCGAGGGTTGTTTCCCTGCGAGGTATGAATCAAATACCGTCGCACGAACATGCGAAGACACTGCATATCAAAAAGCAGCTTCGTGGGATCTTGAAAAACGGAGTAGAAGCTGCTGCGGGGGTCGACGCCGAACTCGACGCGGTGAATGCGGGAGCGGGAGAAGGTAACATATGGAATGGGGCCCATGGAGCCCTCGTGGCCCCGCATGCGGTTCCGCACCCGCGTGGTGGCCTCTGCGTGCGTCTCGCCTAGGTCATTCAGCAGCTGCGGCTCCTCCATCCGCAGTGTGGCTGTCGTGTGGTCAAAGTCAAAATCATTCCCGTTAGCGCGATGTGAGCCACCGTCGGACGCGCTGTCAGTGCTGTGGCGGTGCGCCTCGCGCTCCTCGCGCGTCGTGGCTGGGGGCGTCGCCATGCCCGCGTGCGGGCCGCCCTCACCGCCGGTGTTGAAGTCGTTCATGCCACCCCTCTCGTTGCTGCTGCCGCCCTCCATCGTCTCCTGTCCTCTGCCCTTTCCGTTTCCTTGGTTGTTGTCCTGGTCGTGGCGAAGCTGCAGCTTGTGCAGCTGGAAGTCTTCTTCAGTGTAGCGCTGAACGTAGATGAGCATCACCGTCTCCTTGTTGATGGTGCCAACGAGGCCCTCGTAGTAGAAAGAGTGTGTCTCGCCATTGACCGTAGTGTCCCCTTTGAACGTCACACACCGACCGATCAGCTTCAGCTCAGGTGGGGAAATCAGAGGGAGGTGCTCGATCGGCTTGTCGCCGTGAATGACGGCCTTGTTGACGAGCTCCTCAATGGGCGGCTCCTGCTCCTCCTCTGTTCGTGATGTGTGGGGTTGCGGTGTTCGCGGCTCCTCCTGCGACGACTGCGGCTCTGTCGGTGGGACAGCGCTGCCGTGGTCGGGTTGAGTGGCGCCTGCCGAAGTGGCAGTAGCAGCAGCAGACGGCACGTTGTTGGAGAAAGAAGTGCCGCCACCGGCAGCGTGAGGCGGAGGTTGGGCAGCGTCCGCGTCCAACGTCGTGATGCCGACAATGCGAGCGGCTGGAAGCATTCCGAATTCGTTTCCCTTTCAGCTACTTATAAGCTTTTCTTTTTGTGGTGCTTTAACAAGAAAGAAACAAGTCTTACCTGCAGAAGCAAAGTTATAAAGGAAGGATAACGATATCTCTTGTGACGTGAACCGCTTCGGCTATTCCACTGACACTTCCGGCGGACTTCGCAAACACACACACACACCCAACAAAAACGTAGGAGTACCACCACAGAAAAACTTCCTCGTTGTTTGCTTTAAAACACGCAGACAAAGAAAAACAACAACAACACAGAGATAAAGTAGAAGTCGACAACTGTGACTTCCCCCGGGACTCGGAGAGCGTGCCGTTGAGGCCGTTGCACAAGTAGCTGAAAAGACAAAACCGCAAAGGTCAACACAGAACCTACCGTAGACGAACGTGGAACGAAAGTACCGCCGCCGCCGCGGTAGGAGGGTTGAAGAAGAAAACAAAAGAGCAAAAGAAAGAGGAAAATGGAGCAACTGGATCGCAAAGAGAAGTGGCTCTTCGAATCACTACGCTTCCTCTTCCTGCAGCTGAAACGTGTCAGACGAATACGGACGCAATCCACTCCCACTGTTGCGCTGTCTGCGGGAGAGAAGTGATGACATACGAGTTTCTTTGTTGAAGGAAGTGTGCATTCACCTCCTTCTCTTTTCCCCCTTTTCTTCTTCTTTTCCGGTCGTACTTTTCGTGGTCGCCACTCCTTTCGGTAATGCTCGGAATTTCAGTAAACCCACCGACGTGCCGTAAAATAGCGCTGCTTTCGCCCATTCAATAGGCGATTCGAATTGAAAGCCTCTTTTGTGTCTTGTTGAATGCGTATGACGGAGATGCGGTGCAACGAGTAAAAGTGCAAAACAGTTTGGCAAATATGAGGCAAAAAGGGAAGAAAGGTGTCGCAAAAGAGAAGCGCAGCGCAACAACACTCAGCAACAAAAGGCAAAGCATAATAACACCAGCAAACCCCCCCCCCCCCCCGACGCTCGACGCCACAACAAACAGAGACCTTCCTTATCTCTGCTTTCGGTGCCGCACACGTTGCCGTCACCGCCCCCCCCCCCTTCCTTCCTTTTCCGTCTTCGTTTGTTTGCTTGTTTCGTATGGAATGTTATCAAACTGCTTACTTTCTCGATGCGACGACCATCGAAAAGATAATTAAAAAAGGTGGGACACAACAGTTAAATTCACCCTGTCCACCACAAACAAGACGCACAGATGGGTTGCCGTAAGAGCAACTCAATGGGAAAATCGCCAACTTCATCTTGGTGCCCACACACACGCAGAGGGTACCAAAAGAGAAAAAAGACGAAGAGAAAGTTAAAGTAAAAATAAATGTTAAGCGACGTCGCGTGGACTCACAGCTGTCCCTCTCCCCACCCCAACCCCCAGACGGATGGGCAAAAGGAGCCGAACTTATTACAATTACCAGGAGAACAACGACCAATAAAAGAAAAGGGAAAGACATCCCACCAAAGAAATCACCAGCATCTACAATAATAATAAAAACCAGGACCGATAAGCGACGCGTCAAGCAAATAAACAAGCAAAAAGAGGAAAAAAAAACAGAAAGAAGCATGAAGAGAAAAATTCTTTCCAAGCAAGTCTGCGGCGAGAAAACGGAGGAGAAACAACAGCAAACAAATTATTAATGGAATGTACAAGAAACAGCGTCTGCCGCAGAGAAACCACTAACAGCAACAACAATCATAATAAGTTCAATCGGCACCGTCCAAGCGACCTTCCCCGCTTCATGAATCGTCATCCACCAGCTGCCGCTGAGTCCACTCAAACACAACGAAGGTGCACGCGCTCGCCGGTACCGCCTTCAAATAGTTCGCCGTCAGTCCACTGAACAGAGAGGTGACACCCTTGTTGCGGATCATCTTCACACAGCAGTCCAGCATTCCATTGTACTTCTTCGCCCGTCCGTTGGTCCCCTGCGTTTGCAGGCGAGTTCGAATGACATTGAGTGGGTAGGAGACGGTCTGAGCGACGGTTGAGGCGAACATGCCAACCAGGCCGACCTCGGCTGAGTTCAAGCTGGCCTCGTGCCGGTTCATCTTCAGCACCTGCATGCGATAGAGCATGATGGACTGCTGGGCGCTAGAGTAGAGACCCATTTCAAGGCCACGGTACACCACAATGCCGACCATATTGGGGGTGAAGCCTTTGTAGAACTCCTTGATGCCGCCTTCTCGGTAGCCCGACCGCACAATTTCACGGAAGCCGCCGCGGTACTCGTTCGAGCGCGACACCACCGCGCGCGTCTTCACCACCTCTAACGGGTACAACAGGCCCTGCGCGCCGAGGCCGGCGATGGCGCCGACGACACAGTTTATGAGTAGCTGCGGGATAGAGGATAGGCAGCCGATCCGGTTAAAAGGTGGCGTGAAGATGGACGCCTCCGCGGATATAACGCGCTCCCGCTCGTGCAGCTCCTGCGGCGTCAAGTAATGCCAATCTGGGGTGGAAGAGGAATGCGCAGAGGACGAAGAGGCGGGGGACAGTGAATGCGGCGAGCGTGTCGGCGTTGCATCGCTGCCGGGATGATGACTGGTGGATCTGCTGGCACGAGATGCGTCGGCAAGTGCCTTCGACGTGCTTGATGCCGAAGATCCCATCATGGACGCCCGCTCCTCCTCCTCGCGCAGGCTAATGGCAAAGCTGCGTTCGTCGTGTCCTTTCCATTGTGCAATGGACCGCTTGCGACGTCGCTTCTCCCGCTCAGCGCAGTCCTCGTACAAGGACGACAAGTACCGTCGGATCGAGAAGACGATGGCAAACTCCGGACCTGCCTTGAAGCAGTTAATGACGTTTCCTCTCCAGAATGCTTGCCAACCGCCGTCGGCTTTGATGAGACGCGCCACCTGGAGAAGGCTCGGGTGAGTGCGGTGAAGCGACGCCGCTGCTCTTGCGTTGCCCACAGCGCCACCGGCAGAGGTTTTTAAGTCGGAGGGGGGCTGGACGAGGTGCCCCTCCTGCGCTATAAGTTTAATGCGGTCCAGCGGGGCGGTCAGCGTGCGACTCGCCGCCCCCGCCACGCCACCGGCAACAAAGGTGGCAAGGGTGCTGTACCAGTCGCGTCGCACGTGCAGCGACTTGGTCACCGTCAGCTCATCCTCGTCACCGTCCGAGATTCTGGGAACTTCCTCTACTGCTGCCGCTGCTGCCGCTGTTGTGCAAGAAGATGACGAAGTTGGATAAGCGGTAGAGGCTGGCGTCAGCAGGGACGTCGCACCACCATCTGCTAAAGGGAGATTTGTGTTTGGAAGAGATGAACCGGTGCTAAGTCCTACTATTTCCTCCCTTTTGGCATCACCAGCATTTCCCGTATTGCCCATGATACGGAAGGAGGAAAGGAAAGAAATGAAAGGAAGCCGTAGCGCTCAGTAATAGGAATAATAACAATAATAAGTGAATTAAATACCGGGAGTTAAGATGGAGCTTTCAGTCAGAAAGAGGTCACTGCAACGGTACTCTAGCGATAGGCGTCGTCCTCTGTGATTGCTGTGTCCTATTATGTATATATATGTCACAACGGTGGCAAGAATCCAATGCAATGGAGACAGCCTAGAAAAAAAAAACGGAGACCAGCCAACCACACCAAATAGCCGTAGTGCTACCTGGCGACTAGGAAATAGGAGCTGAGCCTGAAGGGTAAGGTTGAAGGAGCGTCCACCGTTGCCAGCAGCGCCGAAATTCGCTTCCACTACTCAAAACGAAAAAGAAAAGGGAGTGCAGCGGTGAATTGAGTCCCCTTCAAAAAGCGCTCTCTTGAGAACAATGCACGGATCTCTTTCTCCCTCTTCTGTGACGATAACTTGTCTTTTCCCTGTTTATAAATGAATATGCTGTTAAAAAAAAAACAAAAAAGGTAACAACTAGCAGACCAAATGTACGAGCAGGAGAGTTATAAAGAGAACGCGCAAACAAATCTGGCGCGTAAACCTACCATTACAAAAGCTGCCGCGCCTGCCTTCCAGTGCCCTTTTTCCCTTTCTAGAAACAAAAACGGTACGTTAACGAGGTCTTATGAAGCTCTTAGAAATATGTAGTCGAGAAACACCTTTCCTAAACTCAAAAAAGCAACGCAGGGTGATGAGTGCGGCTGTGCAGAGTTGTGCTCCGCTCTCTTGTTGGCGTATGTGCATGTGCACCCCGTCGAGGAAGTGCGGGAAGTGACAACGAAAGAAAGAAAGAAAAAAGGCGTGAGAGAAAATACGAGACGAGTGGAAGCAAAGCAGAAAAGAACAACCGATGCCTCCTTATCATTTGAGCAGTGCGAAGTCACCCAAAGGGAGACCACCCGCCCTCGACAAGCGCACCTAGCTCTTTCAAAGCATTGCACATAACGAGAGAGAGAAGCAACCGGCGTCGGTCATTCAGTCATTTCATTCCCGTGGGGGGGGGGGGGCGGCGAGCGGGACACGCCAGAAGAGCCCTGACATCCAAAAGACAGAAAGAAAGAGGGAGAGAGAGTACGCGCAGAAAGCACGGCAAACCCCGCAGCGCGATGCAACCGCTCTTTTTTATTTGTTTATTTCCCTCACCCGTTCGTTGATGCATGAGTAAGAGAACGGCGAAAAGAAAACGAAAGATAACAGCGTTGTGCAGAGAGGATAAAAACAAAGAAACAACAGGACTCCACTAATGAACCGCTTCCATGTGAAAGCACGGCAGACGGAACCACACATCAACAACAACCACGTCAGCACCAACAAGAAAAAAAAAAGTTGAAATAGCGAGAGACGCCCGCAAACCACACGGAAGTAGCTGAGATCAACACCAAACAAGAAAGATCGAAAAATAAAACACAAGAGAAAGAGTGCCACAGTGCGCTGCAGAAAAGGAAACAGTAGGCTTTGTGTGACGCTCAGCCATAAATAAATGAAAAGAAAAGATGGAAGAAACAAAACGGAGAACGGAGTCTTCGCTCACAAAGAAGCGCAGAACATCCTCCTCCCCTCCGTTTCTATTGCTGCGGTGAACTCCACATCGTCTTTCCGCCTTCGTTCGATAGTTTGAAAGCACCGCGACAAAAAACCGAAATCCTGAATGCTGCCGTATCGCATGCGATTCCCTCCGTATTGCTTTCCCCAAGGTCGCCAAGAAGAATATGTTCGGTTATCTGAAACAAGCAACAAGAGTCACTTATGTGCGCCGCACTTCGACTATACCACACACACAGAGAGCAAGAAAAAGAGTTAACTGTTATTTTATATATATGTCTGCTGTATCAGTGCTGTGGTCGTGAAACAGGAAGAAGCAAGTTGCATGAGTTTTTTGGTGTACGAGTAAGCACCACGAGCGCGGTGAAGTGCGGATGGGGGATCGGATCTCGCGTTCCGCTAGCATGAGACCATCCGCGCCCCCACACAAACACAAGCACACAAAAGAAAAGAAAAAGAAGAGAAAGGCACAAAGAGCAGGCGGGTACACCACCTCGTCCGTACGCAGAGGGAAGTAGAGCCCTGCGGGTAAGATGAGGTCTCTTATCTTTACCCTCTCTTCTCTCTTCTCTCTTCTCTCTTTACTTCTTTTTATTAGTTACTCGGTGACCTTGTAGAACGCCTCGTCAGGGACGTACCAGCCCACCACCGGGTACTTCAAGTTGAACTTCTCCACGTACTCCTCCAACACCTCCAACTCCTCCTCCGTGCAGTTCACCCAGTACTGGTTCAGGTATTTCCCGGTGAGGTCCGCCTTGGCGAGCGCACGGGACGCCTCCGTGCCGGCGAAGATGTGATAGTGCTGGCCAGGACCGTAGAAGTGCGGTGCCACCTCGTAGACTTTCATCTTGACGCTCATCAGAATGCGCTCGTTCTTCACGCCATCGTACTGCTCAAGCTGCTCACGTGTGTAGCCTTTCTTGGGGATATTCGAGACCGGGCGGATGCCGCTGCCAGCCGACGCCCCACCATTGGCGGTGCTGCCGCCCTCCTCGGCGGAAGATGACATGCGCTTCTTCAGCGCAACGCCCCATCGGTGGCCCACCATGCCGAGTTTCTTGGTGTAGCCGCTTTTGTGCAGTACGTAGAAGACGGAGACGGTGACCGCCGCAGCCGAGACGACGGCGGCAACAATAATCTTTGGCTTGTGATCCGTGGGCATGTTGATGGCAACTAGAAACAAGAAGGAAAAAAAAGAACCCGAACGTGCAAAGAAACGACCACAAAAGAAAAGATGATAGGAGACTTGAGGACAAGATAAGGTGACCACGTCCCAGCGATCAGACAGAAAAAAAAATACAAACGACAAACACCGTGAGCGACACAGCCAGCAACAGCCCAAGCAAAAAGGAGAAAAAATTAAAAGTCGAACTAATAACTCACTCGATGTGTACGGGGCGTGTGTGTATGCCGCAGGACTACAAGACTGTGAAGTTGGATAAGGAGTCAAGGAAAACAGGAAAGACAAAGGAAAGGAACGTCCACTACTCAACACTTACTACACGGTGGGAGAAATGAACTCAGAAAAGAGAGGCACTCGCGTTGTGTTGTCCACCAGCACGAAGCCGAAACAGCGTTTTCTCCCGCATTCATCATTACAAATACGACTGAAGGCAGCTGGAATCTCTGATGGGGATTCTTCGTGTGGGCCTCGGTTGGTGCCACCCGCCGCCACAGCACCCTGAGGGGCGGAGGTATCCTTGACACCGTTGACATGGAAAACGGGCGCGAAGAAACTCTTCGTTTTCTGTGTAGTACATTTTTTTAGTTGTTCATGTTTTCCCACCTGCTATGATTACATCGAAGACACGCGAAAATGCGTCGCGGAGAGGAGACGACGGCGAAGCGACGAGGAACATAAACGCCCACAGCCCGCAAAATGCAAACACCAGAAAAAGAAAAGACCGAGCGAACCTTCAAAAATTTTACATCAAAGAAATTGTTCTTTTTCTTTTCTCTTTTGTCGGTACGCAAAGATAACACAGAGGAGAGAGAGCGAGAAGCCACCTGCTTTGCACAGACAGGCAGCGGTGATTCGTCTCCCGGCGCACCCTCAAAACCCGGTTTCGCTTAGTACACGGGCTGCAAACAGGGATTCTCATACACGTTGTCGTTGATAGGAATGCTCTGAAAGTCGTTGTGGAGGAAAGCTATATTTGCGCCCTCGCGGATGCGCACCACGGCATCTGTAGTGAAATGGTTGTTTCGCACCAGCACCGACTTGGACCCGCTCTGGCAGTCCAGCCCGTAGTACGCACACGCCTCCACAAAGTTGCGTCGCAGCCCGACCAGCCGTGCCGACTTATCCAACAAGACTGCCGTGCTCGTGAAGTGATGAAAAGCGTTTCCATCGAGCACCGTGTCGCACGCCTCGGCGGACAGCTGCTGAGCCGACTTGGTTGCAGCTTCCCGGTGGGACATGTAGACGGAGTAGTTGCCGCGGACATACACACCGACGCCAAGGGCCACAAAGCCGCAGGACAGCGCCTGCAGCTTGGCGCTGTCCGTCTGGATCCCCACGGCGCCACTTCGTTGCTGACAGGCACCGTGGACTGCGTCTTTGAGGTCTCCTGCCAAGACGATGGGTGCATAAAGCCCGCCGGCCTCCCTCTTGTTGTGCGTGGTGTTGGCGCTGTCCGGGTCCAAGGCATCGTCGTCAAGGCCAGCCTCCGCGCCAGCTTCATCGCTGCTGAGGTCGGCAGAAGCGCCTGCTGTCTGCAGTGCCAACGCGGGGATATCAGCAGTCCACCACACCTCCTGCCGTGCGCCCGTGAAGAGGCACTTACGGACCGTGACCTGCGAGCTAGGGAGGGTGTACAACCCGCACCGCTGCGGCGCCTCAAACGTGCACTTGGTGCACTCCACCCTGCAGTACTGACTCACCACCAGTTGCGGGCGGTCCACCGCGGCAGAGGCGAAACAGCAGTTCTGAAAGGTGACGTGGGCGCGGCGCACCACCACAGGTCCGGCAAAGGTGATGTGGCGGAAGACGACGCGGGCCCAACGATCGGGGTGGGCGAAGGTCATTAGGTAATCCGCCTGCTCCTGTGCGCGTTGCATCGCCTGTTCTGTCTGCTGCAGATACTCCGCCTCAATCGCGGCCTTCTTGCGCTCTAGCTCCTCCACCTGCTCCGGGGTCAGCTTCGTCTTGCCCTTCTTCGACCGCTTCGCAGCGCTGCTCGGCTTCTTCGACCGGGCGTCCTTCACGGCGGTCTCCGGCTGCTCGTCGAGGGTGACGGCGTCCAGGTTCGGCTTCGAGGGCAGCTGCGGCGGCACGACAATCTTTGGGGGCATCCCCTCAATGGAGCAGCTGCCCGACACGACAACATCCCTGGCGGCGTACGTTGCCCCGACCGCGACGGTCTGCACGTAGCGAGTGTCGTGCAGGGCATCCTCGTAAGGGTTGACCGGCTCCACCGGCGAGACCGTCTCCCCTTGCTCTGCAGCTGCAGCCCCGGAGGCTTCGTCGTCGTAAGAAGTCGCTGCGGGCGCAGCCCACGTCTTCGTCGCACCGTGCGCTTGTCCGCACTGCTGCCGCGACACCCCCTCAATGTTCATATGATCCACCACGACGACCGTGACGGGTTGCTTTGCCTCCTCCACACTCATGGCGGCTGCGGCGTCGGCGGTGCTGGTGGGAAGCAGAAAAATGTTGGTACGGGGGAGAGGGGCGATGGCACCGTCTGGCTCGGTGTGGGCGGCCGTCACCTGCGCGCTCACCGCGCTGACTGACTCGATCGTTTCGTAGGACGACCACCCGCCAATGTAGGTGACACACGGTCCATTCTTCAGCGTCTCCGGGACTGGCAGCTCCTCCTTGGCGGACTTGCTGGAGCCTCTGGCGGACTTCTTTTTAATCGGCATGGAAGCGGGATGTGTCAGGGGCAACAGCGACTTTAAAAAATGATGTGCTGTGGTCCGCGGCGGTGCCATCGTGATGAGGCAAAAAACACGTTAATGGCGAGGGAGAGTAAGAAACAGAGGAGACCAAAAATCAAAAAAGGACGTGTGGAGTGAAAATCCGTTGGAAGTCGTGATGGATGCTGCGCATCAACCGAAGATTACTCTCGTTTTCGATGTGTGTGTGCGTGTGTGTGGAGTATCAATAGAGAGCTCAAACAAGCAATCAGGCGAATCCCCGCTGCCCGGTAGAATAACTGCAAAACACACCGTCACGAAGCACCACCTCCGCGTGTTTTAGTTTACTGGTTTGGTTTAGTTTTCTTTTGGTATTGAAGCTGTCAACATAAAAAGAGGAGCACATGACAATTCTCACACTGGAAGCGGCGGTGCCCTGGCTGCCCTCTACCACTAACGACTCAATTTTTTGTCAAAGATGTCGCATCCCTCACGCCAGAGAAAAAAAAAAGAAGAGGAAAGAAGCGCACGCACCTCTGAAGCTTTTTGCTTGGGGCAGGCTCGGTGAGGATGTGCACACAACCGTGAACAGCGCGAATAGCACAATGAAAACAAAGGATGTAATAGGCGGCGCGATGCTAAGCATATATACACACACGCACGCAGGGAAAAACACACATCTACTCTGTCGTTCACCGAGTCACCTACTTGGCTCCCACTCAGCGTCACAAGGCGTGTTAGCAGCAGCAGTCACAAGCGGCATTTTGCAAATACGCCAACATCGAAGCGCAGATCCTCTTCACATTTTATCTTGTTTTGCGTTAGACCTGTTCCCTTCGCGCTTTTCTTAAAACCGGCCTACTGGGGGTGTCCATGGCACACCCACAAAGGCGGGCGACGCTTCTCACCGTGCACCAGCGGCATCTCCGTCGCAAAAGGGTGGCTTCCATCCGACTCTGACTTCACCAAAAAGGCATCCGTCAGCTTCGTCTCAATCACCGCCTTGGCGCTCTTCATCGTCACCCACGAGCACTGACAGCAGTACGCCGCGGTCGCCGGATTCACCTTCAACACGTATTGGCCCGACCGTTGCCCGTCCTCGACTCCGACCGGCGTCGCGTTCGCCAGCCGGCACCAGTCGGGGTAGAAGTTGCGCAGCGTCAGGTACAGATTCACCCTGCCGTGGGCGTCCTCCCACTCCGCGCCCTGCAGACGCACCACCATGTAGTTGCACCTGTGGCACAGAATGTGCGGGCAGCCGCCGTCGTTGGTGCAGTCGCCGTGGTGGTCGAGGCAGCCGTTGCCGAGCTTCGACACCACCGCGTGGAAGGCGCCCTTCTTCACCATGGCCTGCGCACGGGTGGAGGCCGCAATGGCGAGTTCGTTTGTGGCAAGTGCGCGTAGTTGCTGGAGAGTTGGGTGGGTGGCGGCCCCGCATAAAGCGGCACCGCGGTTGGTGAGGTAGCAACGCGGCGCACACGAGAAGGCGCCGTCGGAGTCGGACAGCGAAGGAAACGGAACGGGGTGTATTACCGGGCTGCTCACACCACCACGGAGGGTGGGGGCGTCGGGTTGGGGGACCCCGGAAGAGTTACGAATGGGGCTGGAGGCAGCACCATGGCCGTCTACCGCTGTTGAGTTTCTCTTGACATTCGCATCCCCCTCATCCTCACTGGTATCGTCGTCAAAGGCGTGTCCGACAGAATGACGAACTGCAGCCGTCGTGGTGGCGGAGGTGGTGGTGGTGGGGTGGGCAGCCGTGGCAGATGAAGAGATGGGAGAGTTAGCAACACGCAAAGACGAGCGAGCGACGCCAACACCACCACTCACGTGCGCATTGGTTGGCACACCGCTTTCATTGTCGCTGTCGTCGTCCCACTCCGATTGCCGGCGATGCGGTGGAGGTGGGGCACCTGAGGCCTTGTGCACCGGATTCTTCTTCTTGGCCTTATCAGGGAACAGCTCGCCAATTAGATCGTCGACACCAGCACCCGACATAGTTACGAGTCGGGTTTCGCTGTTGTTTAGTTTCAACAGAGGCAAAAAAGAGGAAGAAAAGAAATGACGTGAACGATACAATTATGCATGCCGCAGCAAAGACAATCCAAACCAACGTATTCGGTCTTCACAGAACCGGACCTAACAAGGGCAGAAAAGGAAAAACCCTTTTCCGTATATACTGCATATATATGTATATGTATATATCAGTTGGTAGAGCTCTACCAAAACTAAAAAAGACAGCGTAGTTCACCACAACTGTTCGTGTCAAAGTGTACTAAAACACACACACACGCACAGAAAATGAGAGAGGAAGGAGAAGATCGAGAAAATGAAAGAGCACGAGGAAAGTTGAAGGCCCGCCGTCTCAACTAGAAGTAGACAGCCCAAAGTACCCGCGAGCGCGTGATTCAAGATGTCAAAAAATGCCTTGCACTGAAGAACGCAAGACACCCCGCTGGTGGACCTCCACCGCGACACCTCTCTTTTCCCTCCGAGCCCGATGTGAACCGAAGCAACGCTTCGGCCCTTTGCAAAGAAAAAAAAAAGAGGTAAGCTCAACCGACGTTGTAAACAATCGAGAAGGAGATCTTCCCCCCAAAAGCAACACTGTTCTGGAAGCCACACTCCACACACTGCTTTGAGCGATACCAAAAGCAACGTGTCCATTTCGCCAAACACATTTTGAGTTTTCCTCTTGTTGTTTTGGTCATCTTCGTTTCGAGTCTAGATGGAAGCTGAGAGAAAGACATATATACTAAAGACGAGAGAATCAACGAAACGTGCAAAAAGCAACGCGTTGAAACATTCAAAAACAACAACAAAAAAAAACGTACACAAACACGAACACAGGAAGAAATCGCAACCAAAAAAGGCTTCAACACCACAATTGCGAGAGGGAAGCAAAAGAACGAAAACAAAGAGAAAAACAGAAGGCAACGAACTCAGTACAAACAAAACTGAAGCCACAAAAAAAAAAACAAGAGGGGAGAGAGAGAGGTGGTAATCGAGCGAGGATAGAAATGGTACACGGATCTACAAAAACAAGAAAACAAATACTGAAGTTTCAGCGGAAAGGCATCCAACGAGAAAACGACGAGACGCGCACATGTAGATCAGACGATCACCCCAAATGCAAAGAAGAGGGAAAAAGATCAGTTAGCACCACAAGACAACAGGAAGCCATTATCTGTTTTATTATATATTGCTTGCCTGGCATACAGTTAAGAAAGGAAATACGAATCCAACAACAAACAAAAAGCGTTTAACAAGAACCTAGAAACACACTCACACACACAAAGTGAAAATCTTTTTGAGAATGAACATCTACGTTCTTTTGCGTCTTGGGAACATTAATAATAATAATAATCCATACTTACCCCAACGAGACGAACAAAAAGCAAATGCGATTTTTTTTTCCACGGCTGGCATCAGCGCTTTCAACTAAGTTCTATCCTGCTTTTACACACGCGTTATGCTGAAAGCCCGCAAGAAAGAAGAAGACAAATCAGCCGCTCCCTTCCTCTTCTTATAATTCCTGGTCCCCATTTCAGATTCACGTGGGCAAAGGTCGTCTTCACTTACGTCGGAAAAAAAGGGAAGGTTATTTGGAGTAGAAGTGAGTGGTATGAGAGATGCGGAATTTTTATTTGCTCTCAGCATTCATCCTGCTTCCCGGTCTATCTTCGCCGCACTGCAGGTCACTACATCACCGTACAATCGCAGTTCGACTTCTTCTTATCCTTGGAGGGCTTCTTCGTATTCGGGCCTTGCTGCGCCTCAGCGTTGTCGTTGTTCGGCGCATCCAGATCTACTGCAGGGCCACCCATCGGCCGCTGCAGCGGGGCGTTGCCCACCTTGTCTATCGCATCATTCTCCCTCCTCACGGCGTCGCCGTCGCCGTGCCGGCGCACCGGCTGTCCGTTGTTCCGCCAGTCGGGCGCCTCCTTCGCACGCATGGAGTTGCTCGGCTCCACGGCGGAGCTGGACGGCGGGATGGCCGGTGTGGGTGTCGCCACGGCTGATGCGCTACCCGGCCGGCCGGGGCGGCCAGAGCGGCCGTAGTCGCTGCGATTGCCATTCGCCGGCGTGGGTTGATCACGCGACGAGAACTCGTGCGGATCGAAATCGTCGGAGCTGTCGCGCGCCGCGGGTGTGTCGCTTCCTTCGGCCAGGAAGCCCGAGGGAGCGCCGGGTTCCTCGAAGGTGCCTGGCTGACGAGTCGCAAAAGGAGGCGCTATGGAGGCTTCTGGACGGGTGCTCGCCCCGCCACCAGCGCCGACCACGTCGACGTCGCTCATGCGCAGCATGCCACTGTTTTGGTGTTGCGGCGACCCGTTAATGTTATGGTCGCCCGGCACGTGAATCAGGTCCACCGCGGGCGGGGTGCTACGGTTGTTGGCGCCTGTCGCACTATTGGACTGCAGGCCACTAGGTGAGAGGGGGGTGCGGAGCAGCTGCGCCTTCCTTGCGCCGGTGTCGGAGAGATTCGATTGCTGTAGCGCGGCAGCTGCGCGATACGCAGGGGACATGTTGCCGCTGTTCCCTGCCGCGTCGTGGGCCGAGTTGACGTTCGCCACCGCCTGCTGTTGCTGTTGCTGGCGTGGCGGGGACGAGGCTACTACGGGCGGCGCCGCCGCATTCGGCTGAGGTGCCTTCTCCGCCTCTCGACGCGGCGCCACCTCGTGACCGTCCATGTCCATGCCGGAGTCCACCATGGACGGGTCCATCTCCCACTCCACCGGCTTGTTGGGTGGGTAGCCGCGTCGCTCAAGCGCGCGGTGCATCAGCGTAATCAGCAAATCATAGTCCGGTTCATCCTCGTAGCGAAGGGTCTGCAGGTGGGCTAAGAAGGGCTGGAACTCACGGGGCAGGTTGCGGACCAGATGCGGGGTGATGGACTCCTCCTTGCAGCGCCCAATGTCGTCCTTGTCCTTGTACTTGCGCCACGGCAGCGTGCCGGTGGCGAACTCGACGAGCATAAAAAGCAAACTCCACAGATCGTCGACGCGGCCGAGCTCCTGGTGATGGTGGGAGGCCACGGAGGCGTATCGGCTCGTCCCACGAAAGCCGGCATTGTCGCGCGGAAGTCGAATTTCGCCGTTGGAGCGCCGAAAGCGGCGGGCGAGACCGAAGTCGATCAGATAGCACGTCGTGTGCTCTGGTGTGTTGGGCAGGCCCGTCACGAAATTCGACGGTTTAATGTCGCGGTGCACCAGCCCAAGATCGTGCACGCCGCGAATGGCGGTGAGGCACGAAATGCCTGCCTTCAGCGTCGTGTAGATGTTGAAGGTGCCGTGTTGACTGCGGCGGCGCAGTTCGGCCAAATTCGGTCCTAACTTCTCCATCACGAGGTAATTCATCCCGCTCAAGCACCCACTCCCGAGATAGCGGACGATCTGCGGACACGGCTGCACCTTCTTCAGCGCCAGCGCCTCTAATCGCAGGACATTCTTGTTTTCTTGTTCTACTTTGATGCACACCTCGTGGCGCTCCTCTGGCGGCGGGAGGTGGTCCAACAGAGCTAAGTTTTCTAGAGTCACGGCCAGCGTGTCCTCCTCCGGAATCGGGCCGTCCACCTCTATCGCGGTAAAGGTCTCGCCAAACGAGCCGGCGCCGATGCGGTTGATGATGACCCAGCGGCGCAGCCGCATACCGAGCTGGATTTTGGTCTGCGCCAGCTTCGGCCCCGCCGGTGGCACCGGCTTGTCCTGGTTGCCGCTGCCGTTGTTGTCATGCGAGCCGGCAGCGACCTCGTCTGCGCGTCGGCTGCCATCGCCGACGTTTTTATTGTTCGCATTGCTGTTCCCACGTGCGGCACCGTTGGCGCCACCGCTCTCGCCGTTGCGCGCGGCATCACTCCAGTTCCCGCCTTGCCGGGGCGCGGGGGAGGCTACGGCAGCCATGGGAGGCGTTGGGGAGCTAACGCCCGCTCGTGCGAGATTTGCCTCTGTGGAAGGCAGAGGAGCCGCGTTGATGGGCGGCGGTGACACGAGGACGGCCTCGTCCGGCGACGGCGAGGCAGCCGAGTGGCTGTGCGGCGTGTTGCTCGGCACCGCGTGCGAATGACGGCGCCCTTTCTGCCGCTGTTGCGAGTGGCGCGAGCCGGCCGAGGAGCGAATGAGGTTGAGAGAATTTCTGCGCGCGGAGCGAGACACCGGTTCGACGCTTGCCGGGGGTACACCCGCGTTGGGATCGACGCGTCGCTGTGGCGCCGTTAGGGTCCTGGTGCCACCGCCTTCTTGTGCGTGTTCGTGCTGGACGCGCTCGTTGAGATCGCGAATTTCAGCGCTGGCGACGATGCTGCTGAAGTTGTGGCAAATTTTATTGTTGCCGATGTCCACCTGCATACAGGCGAGCGGATCACGTAGACGATGGTGAAAAGAAGCGGTGTTGAGCGTCTTCCGTGGTGCCTGCGATGTCACCGCTTGATTACACACACTTGGGTCAGCAACCTGTATTTCTTTTGTTTCCTGAAATGACCTCTTCAACACGGTAGCGTGGTCAGTAACGAAAAGGCAGATGTATTCTACGCTTGTAAAATGCCAGAACCTTCTTTTTAACTTTTTACGGTCTTTGTACCTTTAAATTATTGTAATTGAAGGACGAGCACTCAAAGGAACTGCGATGCCGTTGTGTATGGAAGCCAGCGATGAGAAAAGGACGCAACTAGCGCAACGCAACAGAGACAAGTAAACTACCAAGAACCGCCACAACACTAAGAAGACCCTTTCTCTACGTATACAACAGAGACCTTTAAAAAAAAATGAGAAAAAAATACCGCAGAAAGAGTAGGATACGAGGTGCGTCCGCAGCGAGGGGAAAAAAGTAAAGGAGGAGAACGTAAGAAACAAAAGACTCCAGCAACCCACTGTGAAAGAATCCAACGTAGTCCAACTTGATCAACGAAGTTGCTGCATCACCAGAGCCTGAAGAGCTACAGCAGAAAACAACAACCGCAAAAATAGTGAATGCGTTAACGGAAAGAGAGACAGAGAGGGAGAAAGAAAGAAAACAAAGCGAGCGAGACGTGGAACAGGTAAAGGAGGAAGGCGGAACAGGAAGACCAAAAAAAAAACGGGAGGAAAGACTCGCTCTTTTCCCCGTCACTTCGTTTTGCGTTGTTCGTTCACGTACGCTCTTGACGCTTTCGTGTTCGCGTTCTTCCACGACGACTGTTCTGTCAACGACTGAATCCCGTACAGGCAGTGGGAGGGAAGGTGAGCGATAATGGTTGTTGATTTTTTGCGATGTGAAGAATGAAGCGTGGTGTGTGGGAGTACGCGGTGGCGAACAACACGAACAGCAACACTAACAAAATAAAAGGAGGCGGAGAGAGAAGTGAGGAGAGGAGATGGTTTTAACACAGTACCCTTTCTTGTCTCATTATATATATATGTGAAGCCAAGTTACGTGTGATAAGGTTCATTAGCAAGGTGAATCGATGACAGTACAGAGCGAGCTTAGAGTTTCCACAGGTAACTCACTGCCGCGTCTTGGATGTTCGTACGTAAGCGCAGCGAACTCCCATGCGATCGTCTATGATTTTATGCGCGACGGTGCAGGCCATTGGCACAGCAGAAAACGCAACAAAAAAAAAATAGGGCAACAAATGCCTCTGGTGTGTTCGCAAACAGCGAAGCGACGCAGTAGTCGCCTTCGCTTTTGTCTCTCCTTTCAACGGTTTATGCGCGCAAGCAGCGAAAAGGAAAAAAATACGCCAACCAAACCGCCACAGCAGCACCAGCGAAATGCACGAAAGACGAAGTCTCAGCAGGCATAAAAGTGTCAGTTACGCCTCGTTGGGTTGACGCCGTTGTTGCAAAAGTAAAAAGTATTGACATTCGGTGCCGCACCTCGATGCTCACCGCTCGGCGATGACGTGGGTGAAAGACGAGAAGATTGACGCTCGTGCTAGCTTTCCCATGGGAAACACGACCGCCGTTGAGAAAAGTATCGTGTCGTAAGGTGGCGGCTGACATTGCGGAAGCAGTGCCTCGTCGTTGCCCAAATACAGTGTCAGAAGGTGCTCTTCCGCGTCGGTCTTGCCAGACTGCTCGACAGCGCCTTCGGCTTGTGTGACATGGTGCTACGGGCTTCGCTGCGTGCCAGCGTCGCCTCATCTGCGCGGCGCTTCATCCGCACGTCCCGCGGCACGATGGGCACCGGGCAGGGCCCCGTCAACATCGCCGCGTAGTCCTGCGCGAACTCACGTAATCCACCAGCGATGATGGACACGTTGTCCACCCCCTTCTGGAACATCACATTTGCGATCGGCACCACGGCCTCCTCCTCTAAATCGTACAGAACAATCCGTTTATTCTCCTTGTTCCTGAAGACGTACATCTCAGGCAGAAAAGGGCTGGTGGCGTGGTGCAGCTTGATTTTGGGGTAATGCAGTGCTGTTTTGATGTGGCACGCCTCGTAGTGCTCGAGATCCCGGCAGTCCAGCAGCAGGTAGTCGATGGTCTGTTTGCCCTCACCGCTCTCTGCACCGCCGTACTCGTCCATCGGATGCGCAAAGCCTCCGTCCTCCAAGGCTACCTTCGGCTCTTGACCACGCAAGTAGCTTGCCACAGCATCGGTGCGAGTTCGCTTGAAGAGCTCGCCCGGCTGCTGCTTCGTTTTAATTTTGCTTTCCTTCATGTACTGCGCAACCTGCGCCGTCACACCAGACTCGACAACGGCCTGCACGCCGTTATACTTCGCATTGGTGGTGGTGCGACGCTGCAACACGTCCTTGTCGCCAATAGCAGCGTGTACACTCATTGTCTTCTTTGTGTATGTATTGATCCCCTGTGGGTCTATAAATATATATATATATATATATGTGTGTATGAATGTTGAGAAGAATACTTCTAATAAAGGCGAGAGACGCAGCTGTACGCGCGTGCACGTAAGGCAGCAACTACAACAACACACACGCAGAACAACAACAAAAAAGGTTCAGTAATACTTGAAAGCAACGCGCTCTGCTGTGCCGTTGCTCTGGCAGTTTGCAACGAGCGTTTTCCTTGTATCTCGTACACACAACTCAGTAGCGGAGTGAGTACATCGATCAGAAGCAGAAGAAGAAGAGAGAGGAGACGACAGCGTGGCTGAATAGGAGGACATACCGTTGACACAAGAAAGCAACGGATTGCCCTTAGAGAGAAACAGGGCGGAGAAGACATAACAGAAGAAAGACGCAGTTGTGGAACAAGCCAAATTGACGTCCACGGCAAGTCGCGCTTTCGTATTGGACAGTGCCGCTAGAGGTGCAATCACAAGTGGTACAACACAACGCTGCAGTCTTCCTTCGGAACAACACAACTGTTGTATTCACCGCAGAAATGAGATGTGACAGCTCCTGTTGCCGGTCGCAAAGAAGAACAGCGCGTGCAAGAAATTGCTCGACGTGATCCGCCCGGTAGCGTCGAGCAATAAGAGAGAGAGACAGTTTCTTTCTTGTTGTTGTTGTCTTCCGTTTCATTCCTGCTTGCCCGTATTATTATTTTTCATGCAGCGCCACAGCGATCAGAAATAACGAAGGGGGAACATCACCGCCTCCGCATCATCGTATCTATTGCGTACCCAACGCATCTACGGTTTAAGTCTATACGGGTACGTTTGTGCTTTGCGTTTCCGTCGCACCAGCGCTACAGTCGCACCGTCTCGGCTATCGGGAAGCGAGCGCCGCCGTAGAACTTCGTCACGGTGCGCGTTGGGTTGGCGCAGTAGTACACAAAGCCGTCGCCTTGCTCCGCCTGCGTAATAACTGGAGGAGGGAAAAGAAAGGAGGGAGTCGAGGCAGTCGACCCAGCCGGTGCTACGTCGGAGAGCGTCAACGACGTGTCCGCGATTTGGGGCCCACAAGCCGTCACACGCTCTTTTCCTTTTCTGTCCGGTAGCGGGGGGTTCTGGGGGCCCAGGTTGTTGACCGACAACGGCAACGCGTTGGGGGCGAGCTGTTCCGGTGAGTGCACGTGCTGCGCGTCGCTCCCCCGCCCACGAACGCGCGGACGGCCGTCTCCTTCATGAAACAGCGTTACAGGGTGTGTGGCGGAGTCCCCCGCGACGGCGCATGTCGTCGGAACGGACGCCCCAGACCGCGGCGCTACAGAGTCCTTCGCATCCGTTGGGGTTGGCAACGTATCCAGCTGATTGCTGTTCAGTGAAACAGTACTGAGATCCTGCGTCGGCCCCGGTTCGATGGCGAGGCGGTCGTGGGGAGAGGTGCCAATCGACATCTCACGATCTACATCACCGCCGACCTCAAAAAGGGCGCTGTGGGAGTTTTGCGTCGCGAGAGGGTGAGGCGTGTGCGATTGCGGTTGGCGCCTCTGCGCCAGCACCGGTCGCTTCGGCACGGGAGACAGCGCGGAATTGTTAGCCGCGCTCAACGGCAACGGCGCCCCACACGGGTTGCTGACGGTGCTCTGAATGCTGCGGTTGCCGAAGTAGCTGCTGTTGAGCGAGGTGACATCACGCGGGGTGTACGGGAGCTTCCCGGAAGGACCCACGGCCGGCGTGAAGTCGGCGAGGGAGGTCTCTGCAGCCCCCACACGACGCTGAGAGACCGGAGGGGCTCTGCTGCTCGAAGACTCGCTCAGCTCCGCCGACACGAAAGAGTCGAGCTGCCTCGTGGACATATTCACGTTCGACTCGGGCGGTGAGTGGACGGAGTCGCATCGACTGCGCGCGCCCTCTTCCACCTTCGACGACCACAGCACGTTGCGGATGCCAGTCGAGCCGGGTGGGCTGCTCCCTCGCTGGGAGGCCGAGATGCTGCTGCGCATCGACACCTCAGCCTCTCGCGACGCACGGCGGCTGTGATGGTTGTGGTGCTGTTGGTGGTCTTCAAAGACTTCCTCCGTCACGAGCTGACGACGCAGCTGGCGCAACGAGGCAAGGTGAGAGCCCCGAAGCTCCTCCTGCTTGATGAAGGCGATGTACGCGGCGAGCTTCTCCTGCGAGGTACCGAGTCCGACCGCGGCCTCCTGAAAGCTGCGCAGGGCAGACTGCATGAGCACCCGGTACTCCGTCGTGGACTGCTTCGGCAGTGCGCCAAGCATGCTGGCGTTGCCGAGGACACGAAAAAGATGCTGCTTCAGCGACAGCTTTTGCAGCGTGTGCTGCGGGTGGATGTTGGCCATCGCACACGCCCGGAGAGATCGCGGTGAGTTGAGCTGCGGTGGTGGCGGTGGGTCGCGCAACATCTCGTACCTCTTGCACCACGCATCTTGAAGCTCTTCGAGATTCTCCAAGTCAATTTTGCTGGCACGCGGAGTCGTGGCGGACGGTGAGGCACCGCGCGAAACGTTGTGGTACATCTTCTATTGCAGGTTTTTTTTTGTTATTGTGCGAGTCTAGATAGCGGAACTGATTTGTGAGGTGGAGTCATCCGCGGACGGCATCCACTTCACTTCGTCTATTCTCGCCTTCACCTTTTTTGTGTTCTGAGGGTTCAATGAGTGGGTTAGCAGCGCACAGATTCCTCTAGCCGGATCGAGCACCGTCACAACAAACGTTTACTCACATGGTAAGCGAGCACGAAAGAGTGGAAAAGGAGATGATTTTTTGTTTTGGAAGTTCAGTTCAAATCAAAAAAAGGATCACTGGGCGGGAATGTGAGCTTTATCCATTCACCTAGAGTTCGCTGAACGACTTCTTAAAAGTTTTTTTTTCCTGCCTTCCAAGGGGGTGAAGAGAGGAAAGAAACTTGACTTCGAGAGACTTCAGAAACCGTTCTGCAAAAGTAATGCGCCGCGTTAAGTTCATCGTCGCCGTTTTGGTTGAGTACCGTTCTGTGTTCCTTTTCCGCTGTAGATGGGGTTCATGCAACGTTTCGCATGACAGTTGAAGCAAAGTAAGCCAGAAAGGAAGCGACGCAACACACCTGTCACTGCTAGAGAAAAGGTGATGCTGAGGTGAAGCATAACAGCTACAACGTCAGAAATAGAAAGAGAAGAAGACGGTACGCTCGTACCGTTGAGCCAAACAGTAGCTGGTGCTAAAGAAAAAAAAAAGAATGAGGACGATATAACACAGAAAAGGGAAAAGAGGTCATGGTATAATAGAAATTCTACACGCAACAATAATAATGCTAAAACTGAACGGCCCGGGTACATGTATATATAAAAGAGCGTTAATGCATAAAGCCCAAAGAAACAGCAAATGGTCTAGAGCAATCGCTCAGGCGATGTACATACAAAAGAAAAAAGGTCGCGCGTTTTTCATATTCACCCGCCACTCGCTCGTTCACAGAATCTTGCGGCTCAACAGGCGGTCAATCACACGCACTGTTCCTGCGCTCAATGACGTGCCGTGTACCGAGAGCCGACTCAGCAGCGGCAACGACGCCGCCATTTTTTTCAGCCTCAGCGCCATCTTTTCCGTCACCCCACGATTGTTGCTGATGTCCAGCACTTTCAGGCGGCGCAGGTGTGCGTGGCAGAAGAAGCAAAGCACGCGCGCCTCACGATCGGTCAAGCCGGTGTTCGAGAGATTGAGCGCCACGACCGTGTACCGGCAGCCTTCCAGCACACCAAGCGCCGCCACAAAGTGGCGCACCTGCTTTCCAATATCGCCGCAGCCGTGCAGGTCGAGGTTCAACTCGTACGGGATCGCGCACTCCACCCGCAGCAGCACCAGCATCTCGGGAAACGTCATCCAGCAGCGCGCCGCCTTCGTGTTGGAGAGCAGCAGCCGCTCCGGCAGCGGTGAGAGCGGGGAGGTGGCCTTCTGCGCCGCAAAGAATGACCCGACGGTGCCGCCGCGGCAGGGGTGCACACACTGCGATAGCCGGTGCGACACGACCACACTTGGCCGCACGTTCATCAGTTCACAGCAGCGCAGGTAGCGGCGCTGCAGCCACGCCGTAGCCGTCTCAGTCCCAAAGCCTGGCAGTCGCAGCAGATAGGTCTCCAGGTCATCGTCGTCTTCATCCGTCTCAGCGGCGTCGCCGTCTTTGGCACCGATGCCGTCTCCTAAACAGTCACTCGTCAGGTTCGGCGAGCCTGCAGCGGAGTCGCTCCCTATGGCGGTGCTCCCCTCCTCCACTTCTTCGTTCTCCGATGTGTTGGCGAGTTGAAAGAGCGCCTCTCCGTAGCGCGTCACGCGAATTTCAATTCGATGCCGCAGCGCAGCGTTCACTGCGTTCTTGGCGAGGGCACAGGCGGTCTGCGAGTGTACACAGACCTGCTCGTGCGACTCCGTCTCCACGCGGTGTCCGGCGCAGAGGGGGTCGTAGAAGCCGAACTGATGCACCTTTTCGTAGTCGTGACGCCTCTCCTGCAACTCCACAACCTTGGCGAGCCCAGGCAGCGAGGGGTCAGCGCTGGCTTCCTTCTCGTCTCGCCTCTTCCCGCCATTCGTCATGATAAAATGCAACGCGTCGCCCGCGGTGAAGCGCGTGAGCGAGAACTGGGCGCGAATCTCTAGATTCATGCGTTCAGCTTCCTTTAAAAAAAAAACTTCAGTCAGTGTATATACATACTTCGTTGGCCGTCAATGAAGAAAACCAGTTCTTCACTTCTACAGCCGCTAAAGAAGTCGATACGTGTGCAGCCTTTTTCCTTTGCAAAAGCGGGCAGCTGAAAAGAACTGTTCCCTCGCACAGACGCAAACACGCACACGCGTAAGTGCGTGAAGCACCCACCAGTTAGCGCGTAGGCGGAACTAGGAAGCGGATGCGTACGAGGTGCAGCAAAAACAAAATGCACGAGAAGTAGCCGGCGAAAAAACGAAGGGTTGAACGAAAATACTTGTTAAAGAATGAGTTTACCAGAGTTCGCGTTTTGCCTCTTTGCGTGCAACTTACGCCGCTGGTGTTCCTGTGAACTCCTTTGAGAGCCAGCGGTGTTGCGGCACGCTTCCCGTTCAACAAGGACACACGTGTTCTTCGCTCCGCACGCATTTTACTTCGAAGACTGTTTTTCCTTTTTAATTGTTATTCAGAAAAGCGCTCAATGATGGTACATAGAAGACTCAGATAATGGCAACACAGTGGCAAACACATGTACTTCAAAAAATAAATAAATCGGCGTGCTATCAAGTTACTCTACATCGCAATGACGGACCCACAGCAAGGATACCTCAACGCGCACACAGCACCTCCCCTATTGGAAAAAGAAGTTCGCGTAGAGGGGCCCTTCACCTTGCAAGTCGCAGCAGTGCACCGCGTTGTTCGTTTCACTCACGCCATACCGTGCACGGATCGATTTGGGGAATAGTTTCTTCGCGATGACGGTGTCGTACGGACCGCACGCGGCGCGCACGGTCTCCACGACGTTCACGCCCTCCACCAGCGACACCAGCTGCAGCACCCACGCCGTGCCAATAAAGCTGTTCACCGTGCCCTCCACGTTTGGCAGCACGCCGCGGTAGGGCGCTAAGAATTCGTGGGCGGCACCACTGCTAATGGTAGTGGTGGTGAGAGCAGTCAGTTCCAGTCCTAGATCGATCAGCTGCTGCACCGCATTGCCAGCGAGGCCGCTGCTCACTAAGGCAGGCTTCAGCACCACCACAGAGCTGTTCGGTTCGTTGAACAGGGCGAGTGGCTTTTCCTTCGCCAACTCTGTCAGCTTCCCCCACGTTGCCGCCTGCTCGGCATCCTTCGCGGTGCAGGTCCCGGTCGCACGCTCCACGAAGTCGAAGCCTTTCTCGACCGCCTGCTCCCGAGTGCAATTGACGACGACGACACGCGTGTTGGCGAGCTGAGCAGGCAGGTCCGCGCTGCTCGCCATCGCCTCCCGCACCCACACCATCTCCACCGCCACAATTGTGAAGCGGCACTCCTCGGTCAACATACACAGGTAGCGACCGAGGGACGAAAAGGCCTCCTCGGCGATGAGGACAGTGGTGCGTTCGCTCTGTTGCTCGCGCAGCTGCCGCGTCACCTCGTCGGCGTAGGCGAGAATCATGGTGGGTTTCCCAAAGAGCATGACGGTGGCGCCGACGGCAAAGGCGGTGGCGGGGACGTCGGTGCGCGTGCGCTTCAAGAAAAGGCGCCCGCTCGGCCGCTCCACGAGATCAACGGAGCTGTCTTGGGAGTAGAATCGCAGGATGAGCTGTCGCGGCTGCGGCGCGCCGGGGTCCTGCTGTTGAACCCGGAAAGCTATGCGCTGATCCAACGTGGAGGTGGCCATGCTGGTGTCTGCTTTTGGGGGGCGTATGTGCTTTATTGACGTGTTCCTCGTTTGTGTTTCAGCCAAAGTGAAAAAAAAAAACAAAGAAGAGAGCACACGCAGCTGGGCAACTTCTTCGGTGTGGTTGCTTTAGCGGTGAAGGAGACGTGTGAGTTGCGGGCTTGTAAAAACGGAGAGGGGAGGACACGAGGGGGGCGTACGGTAACAATAGAAGCTTGAAGCAGCGAATGAAGCGTAGAAAGGCGGAGGAGTCGAATCGGCAAGATGCCCCGTCACGACTGCCCTCGTTGAAAGAACCGGCAGCACCAACCCACAACTTGTAAGGAAATCGACGGGTACGAGCTCGACGCAGCATTGAGTTGTACAATGCGAGCTCGCCGCAGGAAAACAGAGACCTGAAAGCAGCACACACGAAAAATAAGACGGCGTCATTTGTTTCACTTGAGACCGGCGAAGCAGACGTAAATCACGGCCATCCGAAAGAACCCGGCAAAAATTGAGGAATAACGAACTCTAACGTGCATCTATAGACAAACAAAAAAGGCCATTTCGACAACGATGTGGTGAAATCAAGGGGGAGGGGGGGCGGAAGTGTTTGTTCACATACGAGCGATTCATGAAGTTCCAGCAGCGTACGTTCATTTCACCCGCTTTGCGATCTTGCGCAATCGATCTGCTTCCATCTGTGTTCGCTTCACCTCGAGCTCTAGCTTCTCGCGTTTGCGAGTGAGGTCTACGAGTTCACGCTGGCGCTGCTTCGCCTCACTCGCGCTTTGCTGTAAATGATTGTGGAACTCACGCATATCCGCGGAACTCTTCGCCGACATCGCCGCAACGGCGTTCTTCAGCTTCTCGGTTTTCTCCGTCAGCACCTCCGCGCGATCTGTGTCACGCGTGCGCTGCTCATCTAAAAGACGCGCACGTGCATACAGCTGCTGGATATCCTCTTCTTGCAGTGTCAGGTAGCTCAGAAGGGCGTCGACTGTTTCTGGTGGCAGACACGCGGCAGGCAGCGGGGTGCCGTCAGCCGTGACGGGGCCGTGCACGCCGTCAGCATCGAACCGTCGGAGAATCTTATGGAGTTCCACGACGTTCATGTTGACATACTCGCTTTGCCGAACACGGTCCTCTTCGATGTCAGCATCCTCTGGCCGCTGCTGGTCCACAGCAGATACTTGCTCTTCTTGGCTGAACATCATAGAGGCGCCACAGCAATCGCAAAAAATAAATTGGTGCTTTCTTTTGAAATTTAAATCGTCGAAGGCTGAAGAACAGCAAAGTGGAGAGAGAGAGAGAAAGAGAAGGGAAGAGGAAAAGATGAGAATGATTCTTTTTCTAAGACGCGGAAGGGTTCGATCAAAGCCACAAGGTCGTATCTCACAAAAGAAAGGACGCACCCTGTCATCCGCTTGAAACATTATGTTAACCCTTTTTTGCATAGTGTGGCATTCTCCTTGCGCGTTCTGCGGCTCACCTGACGAGCAGCGGAGTCTTGCCTGGACGCACACGAGAAAAAGAATCGTTGTGGAATTGGACAGGCTTAACGGGAAACTTTCTGGGGAGCCTTTCAGCGTTGCCGGCAGCAACCCGACCAGATTCGTCACTGACTGGCGCAGCACACAAGAGCAGGGAGGACAAAGAAAAAAAGAAACGGGAAGAAGTCGAAATGGAATGCGCGCTGTACACAATCGAAGAGAAAACGCAGCACAGCAGCAACGTCGTCCTCCTCTACACTTCTCCTTTCTCATCTTTTTCTTACTTAAAACTCATTCCTCCGCGTTCAGCAGACAGCCACGTGCAGTGCGGTTGAAATGCGGGCCCTCGTCGAGCACCACGCAGCGGTCATTATTGTTCTTGGTGTCGGTACTTGTCGCAGACGGCGCGAGACTTGACAGGCGCGTGGCCGCCGATGTCGCCTTCTTATTTGTCGACACGTGCTGCCTCCACGCTGGCCCACTCGTGGCGTGCGACGCACGGTTCACCGACATCGATTCGAAGAAGGCAGACAGGTCGAAGCCGGTAAACCGTGTCGCCACGGCCGAACCGCCGTACATGCGAAGCACAACATAAGCGAAGGGCTTCACGAGCGTGCGCAGTGCGATGACGCCGCAGTACAAGGCGCACATCTGCTCACCCACCTCAAACAAAAGAAAACGCTTCAGCACGCACCCGAGCGCCGCAAAGCGCAGCATATCCAACCACGTCAGCGTCGCCGCACGGGCGTCGTCTTCGAGGACGCGGCGAGCAGACTGCGACCCCACCACCCGCACGGAGCGCACCCACAGCAGCAGGCACCACGCCAGCTGGAAGACAAGGTAAGTTGCAATGCTCCTTTCAGTCACCAGCGGAAGCACGACGAACGTGACGACGAGAAGCAGACTAAATGACGAGAAGAGGCTCATCGGCATGTGCGGCGACTGCGTGATGCCCTCCACAAGGAGATGTAAGAGCGACATGACTAAAGAAGGAGGAAGGCGCGCTATCAGATGGATCACAGCGAAGACTAAGAGAACAGTAAAGTGGAATCGAGAACTGCCTCCGCACCTTTTCCCGCTGTTATGAATACGTCAATGTGGTCCTCAGGCGGTCTATGCTGCCGTCAACAGATACAAATTTTTATGGGTAACTGTTGATTGTCTGTGTTTCTGTGAGGTTTTGCACGACATGGCCAAGTAAAACAGGAAGGTAGTTCGAAAGTACAAGACGAAGGAGAAAGAAAAAGAGATGCCTGCTTACGTGCATCTCGTCTTGCTATTGTTTCACGCAGAAGGTGTGGACCAGTGAAGCAGACAAGAAGCCCTCTTGGCAGCAACCGCGTTACATAGCCGACGATGGCCACAACTCGTAATAGTAACAGAAAAACTGTCGTTACCTCGCGACCCACAAAGAGAATTCTATCACCGAAGTCAAGAAATCATTCATTATATATATGTATAGGGGTGCTTATTACGCGTGGAAGGCGTCCTCGCAACGTATACATACGAAAGCCTCCTAGAAACGTGCATAAAGCTGTTCCGCGGATAAAACCAAACGGAGAAAAGGGGGTTTCCACAACCCTGACGCGACAACAACCACCTCAAAAATGCCTATTTTACATTGTACAGGAAAGAGAACAAAAAGAAAAGAACTTCCACAAACCGAGCGACAACGAAGCGCAATTCCTCATTATCGTCTGCACTTGGAAGCGATGACTTCAAAAAGACCCCATGGCACGCGTAGACACACACACATACACACACACAACAAAAGATCTCAGAAAATTTCAAAACCCGCGGCTTTGCCGACTCATTCTTTAGAGAGACCACCCAAGTCTTCGTCGCAAAATGATGGGGCGCGAGCACCCTTCTCAGATGCCCAACAACAACAGCAAGAACGAATTCACTCATACTCACCCCATTGCCGGTGAAGCAGTTCCACGAACCCCTTGTCGCCCTCCACCAGCGCACTCTGCGGGATGTACCACTGCAAGAGCTCCTCAAAGGCAACCTTGCCGTCGCGCGCACGCCGCACATCCCAGGCGGTGAGGAAGTCATCCTTGTCGATCGCGCTGGAGGCGTGAAACAGTCGATGGAACTCCTGCACTGGTACGCAGTACGCAGTGTCCTTCTTGGTAAAGCGCTGTGCCCAGAGCCGCTCCAGCAACATGAGCCGCACCGGTGGCAGTGTGGACAGCAAGAGAGTCTCGTAGTAAAAGATGTCCACCGAGCCATCGCCGTTCGTGTCGAGGCAGCTCAACAACGCCGTGTCCCGCACGTAGAGTCGATGCTGCCGCAGCGCCGCGATGAAGTCGCCCTCGCTAACAAAGCCGCTGTTCGTCGTGTCGATCTCGGCAAGAGACAGACAAATCGCACGGGCGGCCACGCCGCTGCTGAGCGCCGCGGGGGTGTGCTGCGTTTTGATGACGTGCAGCAGGGCCGCGCGCATCTCCTCGCGTCGCGCCACCTCCGTCTTCTGCTCGAGCGTCTGCTCTGTGTGATAGGTACCTTGGTAGTGCGCCTCACCAGTGGCGAGAGAGGCGGTGAAGCTGTCCGACACCCCGGGAAGAGTCCAGACCCCTCTTAGAAGCGCTACAAAGGAGCTGTCATCGTTGCAGGAGGCGGACACACCGGCGTAGTACTCCATAAACTCCTGCCGGCTCACTCGCCCATCGGGGTTCGTTTCGCTGTTGAAGGTGGCCTCAAATTCTTGCTGGATGGCGTCTGCGGACGTCTCACCACGTAGCACGGAAGGGTGGCCTTCGGGCACAAACAGCTTGTGCATCTCCGCCACCGCCGCCGCTCCGCTTTGTGGATCCTTGAGAAAGAGCCTCCACACTCGCTGCAGCCACACTCGCCGAAGGGGGCTGATGTCCGTGTACATGGCGGCTATAAACTCTGTCGGGTCGATGGTGTGCGTGCCGGCGCGGTCAAGCACCGTGAAGACGTTGACAATTTCGTGCTGCGCGAGAGAGACGTTGTTGTCGTGAAGAGCCTGTTTGAATTCTTCTTCGTTGATCTGCTTGCCACCCAAGTCGTCGGCAATCCCGAGAGCACGACTGAAGCTGCGGATGCCGTTGACCGCGGACGCGCTGCGCAGAAGCAGCAGCCGTTTTGTTTTACGTGCCGTTACTTCCAGCAGCTGTTCGTTTTGCGCATCATGGTTCATCTTGGGGAGAGGCGGCCAATGACTACTGGTTTTCCTTTTCCCAGAAACAAAATTGCCGTCGTGTCGAGCCAGTGATTGAAGAAGCTGCTGCTGTCGTTTATTCCGCGACGTGGCACTACTTCTTTCCGTTTTCCAAGATGACAGCCAAAAGTCCCTGTTCGTGCAGTGACTGATAATGAAAACGAAACGTGGAAGAGGTGCAAGGCAGAACGACAAGAAGTGTCGGTGTTTTGTGAGGTGGATGCGTTGAGCGAAAATCAAATGTCAGGCCGCACGATATTCAGCACAGACATTTCATTGTTTTCTTTGTTGTGTACGTTAATGAAAACAGAGAGATCAAAAGGGGAAAAAAAGAAGCAGTGGCACTCCTCATCGCGCTATGGATCTATTCCTCGCGCTGCTGGCCGGCCGTGCTGGTGTGTCGGCTTCACACAGAAAAATCGCACCTGACTGTATGACGGAAAGCGCGTTCACTACTCGGTGGACGACTCTTATTGGTATCTTCGCCTTTCCTCTTTGGCGAGCTCATCCGCCTTCCGCTGCTGCGACAATAAATCCGCAAACACAAAAACAAGGCGAAATGCAGTGCATTTCCGCCCAGAAAACACCAAGTCACGCTCTAGAAGGAAAAGGAGAACGAGAGGGGAGGGGTGTGTGTGCAACCTAACATACATGATTGTCGTTGAACCTACCGTTCGGTTTGCATGTGTGCTTGCGCGTGAGAAACAAAGGAAAGCAAACCAATGTACAAAAAAAAACCAAGGCAAGCGTATTTACATCTGTTAGAGAGTGCTCTTGTCAGAGACCGACTTTGTGCTGCGAAATGTCGTGGAGTAGGGGTTCGCCTTCATCTCCTCCACGCGCTCCGTCAGCTCCCGCGTCACGGCGACTGGGTCCATGTCCCACCACTCGTCTGCATTGCTCATCTTAAACACCGCCGGTCCAGCACGCGTATCGTAAAGCGCGTCGAGTGACTCCGTCTCGGCAGTCCGCTTAAGACTTCGTTGTCCGGAGAGTGTCGCGTTGAGCTGCTTCACACGGTTGTACGGCGTGATGTAGCCGCCAACGGCTGCCGTACTGAGCGTTTCGTTGAGCTCGCGATGCGCCGCCTGATGCGAGTCGTCCTCTGGCTCTGGTGCGATAAACCGATTTCCACGCGAACCTTGAAGCGACGTACTCGCACTCCACCCTTCGCGTAGCATCTTCTTTTCCGGGTCGGCATCCTCCACGATGAGTCGGGCAAGGTAGCTGTGCGTGGGTTCCTGAGCTTCCAGCGCGCTGCAGCGGTAGGTGTGACGTGTCGAGGCCGCGGCACGGGTGCGGTTGCGCGTCCACAGCCTCGGCTGCGCGGACCCCGGCACCCGCAAAAAAGCGGAGCCCTTCACCGTCTCCGGGAAGTGTGTCTCCACCACATCCACGCCGTTGTAGCACGTCGTCGCGTGCAGCAGCGCAGGCTGCGGAAAGGGGTGCAGCTCGTCGTGCGTCGACGGGTTCCACGCGCGCCGCCCATGGGTGCCGTCGCCACGGCGAAATCGCTGCACCTCGCGACGCCGCACCGAGGCCGGGTGTTGGGCCGAGAGCGGCGCAAAAACGCGTTGGTCGTTGCGGTACGACGGGGCATGCGAAGCGGTCTCTTTGTTCATGTGTGCAGCGTGGTGTGCAGTGCTTTCTTTTTGTACTGCTGTGTTCAACGAGTGCGGGGTCTGCAGTAACAAGTGGGCACGTGGCACTGAAGTTGGAAAGACGACAGAGGAAAATGATCGCGCAGCGTCTGTGTGTACGTGTGTGTGATGAGCGGTAGTGGTGCAGTGCGTTCGGACGAAACTGGCGACCTGGGTTGCGAACTTCGGTAAGGGAGGAGGGAAGAACAGGCAGTTTGATGAAAGCACTGCGCTTATTCAGAAAAACCGAAAGAAGAAGGGTATTTGAGAACGGAGCATGAAAGAGATCGTCTCAAACGGAGGTGAGGCGTTGTCGATCGACAAGCCTCAAGAGAATGATAAAGGAATCCTGTAGCGCCGTCACCGAGACAGAGGACATGCGTAAAGCAAAGAGGAAAAGCACAAACACCAGCAGCACCTGTTTTCGCTGTTGGGCCTCAGAACTCTCCACAAACAGGGCTACGTACTTGTGTCTGTGTATGTTGAAACGAGCGATGGCATCCATGTGTAAGAGGAAAGACCTGACGAAATGAAAGTCCCCTCTCCGGGGTAAAGCAAGCAGGAGAGGAAGACAAGAGAGAGCAACGAACACAGTCAAGGAAGAGAGAGATCACATGTATCGCACGACGGAAGGAAAAAGAGGAGGAAAGGAGGGAGTGCAGGTCTTGACGAACTCGCCCTCTCTTCTTTCAGAAACCCATGCTTGGGCGCCGCTGTGAAAGCTACACACCGTCGGTCTCCGGTTGTGGTGTTGGTGTGGTTGCAGCAGCGGTTTCATCTCCCGCCGCCACTTCGGTAAAGGAGAGCGACACCATGACCGCCTTGCCCACCGCTGCCACGTCCACCTTGTCCAGATCCGCTACGCGGTAGACCATTTGCACCGACGGGCAGAAGGTTGTGTTGAACCACAGGTAACACGCCATCGACTCTTTGCCGGGCAGCACCATCGGCCGACGCCGAAAGAAGGCGAACTTTACGTCCCCCACCAGCGGTGCCGGCGCGAACTGTCTCTTTAGTGCGGCGAAAGAGAAGATGCAACCGACCGAGCTCCGCGTCGGCCCGCGCGGAAACCACATCCGCGAGTCCAGCAGCACCTGCTGGTGATCAGAAATGAGAAAGTACAGGTCGTCTGGGTGCTGAAGGGTGCCTTCGCGCGCCACGCGAATCACAACGTCCTTCAAAGCTAACCGTCGTTGCACGGGCGGCATAGTACCGTTGAATTCACGGACGATGCGTTCGAAGTAGCTCACGTAGCGCCGCTGCGAAGGGATTGTCATGCCCTCGCCGTCGCTCGTCCGCTGCTGATCAAAAAAGTGGATGGCGTCCTCGGCGGTGGCGAAGCGCTCGGGGTAGCGGTAGAAGAGCAGGCAGGACACCATAAGGCCCGTGCGCCCTTTGCCAGCTTTGCAGTGGACGGCGACAACGTTCGCCGTGTCCGCGTCGAGGAAGGCCGTTGCGTCCAGCACGAAGTGCAGAATCAGCGTGAGTGGCGGGGCGTTGTGGTCGTCAAACGGGAACCGTCGGAAGCACCCGTGGAAGCGGTGCGGGTGGTCGTACGCCCGCTCCGCACACAAGTTGTAGAGCCGGAAGTGGCCGCCGTGGCGCTCGTCGAAGAAGCGCTCCACCTCATCAATGGGGTTGCGAATGTAATACTCCGTGCCGTGCGCTGGGTAGCCCATCGCGATGATGTGTGGAGTAATGTACGTGAGATCCAGATTGAAATCTCCATTGCGGAAGCGCACCTTGTTTTGGCTCACGCGCGAGCGAATCCACGACGTGAGACGCGCCGGTGGTTTGAGGAGACTGCGTCGCGTGCCGGCGATGGACGGCGACGACAAGGACGAGGAAGCATCAGGAGCGGAGACAAGTGACGTGGACGGCGCCGCAAGAGCACTACGGTTGCCGGTGTGGTGATAATGGTTGTCGTCAACGGGACCCGCGCGAGACTGCGTGCACCCCGTCAATGCGGCCTCGAGGTGTTTGACAGTGGGAGAAGTGGGAGTCGGGAGCGAAACCCCTGTCGTGTCCGCGGTGTTAGCGGTGGAGACACGTGTACGGTGGTGCTGTGACAGGGATGAGACTACTGGTTCTCGTAAAGGGGCGTCTCGTGAGAGAGAGCGAAGCGTCTTGGAAGGCAAATCGCCCTCTTGGCCCGTTGCACAGCATTCGGGGGGCACACCTTGCGCGGGAGACACTGCTGCGTGTTCTCCTCCATGGATGCTAGACAGATTGCCAGCAGGATCGGCTAAACGCAGGTCCGATGGCTTCGGCGGGGGAGACTCGGCGACGTCCACGCCTTCAGACGCTTCCTGTGCTTCGTTCGTCCGAAAAGTGAAGTCTGACGGCCTATTGCCAAAGTCAGTTGCTGCCGCAACGCCAGACCCCTTCTCTTCCTCATTGCCTGGGCAGCTGCCGCGGCTGCCATCATCATCCGAGGCGGTGCTTCGCTGTGGCACGTGTGGCGAGAGGGGCACAGCAGCCATGTGCAAGACGCTGACAAGTGGGGCTGGCACCACAGTTGTCTTCAGAAGCTCGCTGCAGTGGTGCGGCTGCGGCGAAAAGTAGCTCAGCGACGGCTCCGCCACCCGACTGAACGACTCACCGTAGGGCGTGGTCGAGTGGTGATTGTCACAGACGTGGGTATCGGCCATCTTTGCAAGTGGCGCGCCATCCGCGTGTACGTGTGGCCGCCGCGTCGAGCATGGCCGGTTGGTCACGAGAAGAGGATTGCTCAAGTCGCCGGAGCAGACGCTGTTGGAAAGACACGAAGGCGGTGTGGATGGGCGAGCCGCCACAGCAGCGTCGTCACTTCTAGTTGGGAAGGCGCCGGCAAGTGCAACTTGAATGCCTGGCAACGACGCAGTGAGACCGGGTGGGGCAGCGCGATCGCCCACCGGCGCATCGGCACGCCCTGTGAGGGCCTCCGTCGCATGTAGTGATGCGGCGCCGTTAACACGAACAGCCGGCACGTCGCCTGCCGGCAGAGGCGAAGTCGTCTTCTCCCCCGTATGCTCCGCTGACACAGCAGAGAGGTTCATGCGTAGAGCGCGTGAATGCACCTATGCCGGGAAGACAAGAAAAAAATGATACTGGATGCGATGGACTACAGCCAACACGTAATGAGTGCCGTCGTGGTGATGCCGCCGCCGCTGCGAAAGTACTTCCGAAATCTACGAGGCGGTAAAAAGCAGCAGGGGTTGCACTAGGGTTAAAGCAAGGGAGAGAGAGCAAAAGGCAGTTTGCATCCGCGCATCGCTGTTTGAAGCTGCAGCAGTAGATTGGTTTTAAGAGTTAAGTAGGAAAGGGGAGAAGTCGCAGTCGTTGGGGCTACCCCTTATCGAGCAAATCCGCGAACGTTCGAGGATAAAGAGAGGTGTCTCGCCGCACTTCGGGAAGGAATGGGAAGGGGTCTATCTACCTCCGCATATTAAGAACAGCGGTGTAGAGCAACAACGCATGCGCTGCCAACTACGCCGCCCTTCACCGTTGCTGTTTTTGCTTGCAATTCGGAAGAAGAACAAAATAGCAAGCAAGGTGTACTGGAGTGATGCCTAAGTGTGGGGTCAGCAAGAACGGGACGAGGAAGAAAAGAAAAAAATAGAAAGAAGCAGCAGCGACTTGTGGAAACGTGAAATGATCCTCTTCGCACTTTTTCAGTTCATCCCCCGCACGTGCATTTGTATGTCAGCGTGCCAATGCACGGAAAGGCAGGTGGGAAACACAACAAAGCCACGGGGTCGTCTTTGTAGCACCGCCATCAGCACTACACTATCGTTTGTACTTCGTGCTTTACAGCCGTTAAGTGCCGTTTCAATTCTTGATGGAAAGAGCAAGTAACTGCGTTTAACTCCGTTTGCTTTTCAGTAGACAGGTATGTGAGAACAGCCACACCTTCTCAGGAAAGATGCGCAAAGCAACGACCAAACTCGCTGTTTGCCAGGCGAGTCACCACCGCAGGAACAACACACAATAACCGACCGAAGGACGGCACAACCATTCGGACCCGTAAAAAAAAGGGCCTTCGAGGTTTGATTGCCGCTCCTCACTCCCGCGAGAAGATGTTTCGTCCGCCGTTGCGCAGCATGAACAGCGACTTGATGGACAACTCACGCGTGCGAGCGCCGACGACGCGGTAGACGCACTGTCCGTCCAAGAACAACAGGGTGGTGGGGTACGTGATGACGTTGTACTCCTCCACTAAGCGAGGGGCCTGTGGGCCAGGGACAAGCGCCAGCTTTACCTCGGACGGGTTGCCGAGGTTCAACGCATTGATGGAGGAAATAAAAGAACGCGTAAGCGCGTCCTTCATCAGATAGGATCCATCCTTCGACGACTTCGCTGCGGCCGCATTACCGCCAGACTTGCCGCGAGATGCAGCTGCTGTCGTGGAGGTGTGTGTGTGTGCGCTGGTCAGCGGAGAAGGCGAGCCCCCAGCAGAAGCGACGGCCGCGGCGGCGTAAGGAGGACCGCTGTGCAGAATCACGACCACACCCTTGGCGCGGTGGAACTGCAGGTAGTCCTGCAGCACCTTTTCGTTGGGCAGCTCCGCAATTTCGTAGCCGGCAGCGGGCGGCTTACTGACTTTGAAGATCTTCGTGATGAAGAAACGACCGTACGTGCGCTGAAGCATTTCTCATATATATATGCACCCACTAACTACAGTAGAAGTAACGAGAAAAGACACGCTGAAGAACAACCGTTGCAGGGAGCACCCAAAACAAGAGCAACAACGCGGTTTAGAATAGAAGACCGTTTTTTGGCGGGGTTTCTAACACGAATCCCAACGCGTAAGTTTTAGATGAGCTTCGTGAAAGAGAGAGAGAAAAAAAAAGAGAAGGTGATCATCTCTCATGACGTGTTTTTTGGAGAGTCGTTCAGTGCGACAGAAACCAAAACCCAAATAAGGTGGTCGTTCGTTGCTCACGGAAACGTCAGAAGAGGAAAACAAATCAACGCGAGAGAGGAGGGCAAAACTAGCACCTATTCTCTTGTTTTGTTTTTGGGGGAATTCGGTACCACGCAAGGTGCCACTCCCAACGACAGCACTGAAAATGGAAATCCGCAACAGTAATCTCGTTTGCACGCACACTGTCATTCTTTTGAATTTCGGACACTTCATTGTTCCCTACGTTTCAGTAACAATTATCCGTTGTGTGACAGAAATCAAAGGAACGGCGTGAAGGCAATGCGCGACACCACACAACACACTACACCAACTCAAGCCCTATCGTGCACGCCTACACGTGGCTCGTGCGTATGACGCGGCCTTCACAAACGCCAACAAAACTGCGTTTAAACTCTTCCGGCTCAGTGTGTACATCCATCAGTCGCCTTCTCAACGCATGATCCCTTCTTTTTCTTTGGCGTCTTTTCTTTAATCAACACGAGGCAAGTGAGAGGGAAGTAAGAGGGAAAGGTGAGTGGACAATTATGTCTTCCAGCCCGCATTGCGCTCGTACTCTTCACGCATCCGCCGCTCCTCCGCCTCGGACGGCGTGGGGAACATGAACACCATCACGATGACGCAGATCGGGATGAGAAAGAGCTGGATCTTGAGCATTTTCTTCATCTCCGTCTTGATTTTGCCCGACATGGAGCTGTCGACACCGGGCGTGGCGCCACTGCTGTGGCTCTGGAACTTCTCCAGCCCGGTGCGAGAACGCTGGAGAAGCGCACGACGCGTCAGGCACAGCATCCTCGACAAAAATAGGAATCACGCTGTTGTAGTCTAAGTGTTGAAATACTTGTAAAGGTACTCTGTTGAACCGGCTTTAATAGCCAGCATCAGCAGTTGCGTGGGGAAGCAAACACACAAGAAACGGCGAGGAAAAAAAATATTGAGAATAGTCGAGATCCTCATGGAAGGAAGAGATTAGGTAAGATCTGAGAGCGTTGAATGCTTCGTTGGCTGAAGAAGGTTGTTGGCAATTCGCACAACTGGCCGAGTTGGCCGACGGCTCCATTTGTGCGAAACACAAAGCGGGGTGTTGTTGAGTTCTCGCATTCCCTTTCGCGGGTGCCTTCTTTACTATCATCATGATTGCCAATGTTATCTCCCATCCGCAGCGCTCTAGGATTTCTTTTCTTTCCTGCTGCCAAATCGTTCAATAATCATAATAAATAAAAGGTGAGGTGCTTTGCGGAGTGCATTTCAAACGCCTGGATTGGTGTGGGCGTGTGTGCGTGTGTGCGTGAACTCAACAGTGCAGCGTATGTGAAACATAAAGACGCATCTACCACCTCACAACAAGCGCCAACACGGTGAGAACGGCGCTGTCCTCACGCGGCCCGTCGCCCAACAATGGAAAAAAAAAGAGGAAGCTGCCGGTCTCTTCTTATACCTTTTCAAGGATCCACAGTGCGGGCCTCACGACGGGGAAAGCGAAAGCAAAGGAAAAGAAGAAGCGCTTGACATCAAAAATGCAAACAAACAAAAAAAAGCAAAGCCATCATAAAGCAGAGTTCATCGAACGCGGCGAAATTTTTTCTTCAAAATCAACAAAAAAAAGACAATAAAAGAGACGCAAAGACGCTGTGCCGGCGAGAAAAGGCGGTCAAAGTCAGAGAAGGAGCGGCGTCGCTCGGTGCGATGCGCACGTAGAACAAACGTGTTGTCGTGGTCGTGCCACGCGATGAACGCAAAAGTAGAAAAGAAAGACAAACACTAAACAGAAGGTGAGAAAGGTCCTATACGGAGCAGCGCGTCCCTTGCATTCTTCGGTTGCCTCCGTGCACTCAGCGTGCATCATGAAGTACCAGAAAAAAAAAGGGATAGGAAGGCAGTTTGGCTTTCATGTTCTGTGTCGCTTTTCCGAGTACGTTTCTCAGAAGAGACTAATAATGATAATAATGGAGTGAAAAGGTCCTATACGAATCGCCGAGATGAACAAGAAAGCGGAGAAAAACAGAAACGAAAAAGAAAAAACATTCACAAGAGCAAAAACAAACAACGGCAATCTCTCTCAGAGATGCAAGACCTGGTACGCGCATGAGGGAACGAAATACATAGAAGAGAGAAGAGACACTACAACCGAGAACGAATCAATAAATATATGCAACGCTTCATTATCTCTACAAGATCGGAAGAAATAACAGCACATATTCTTATTAGCACTATTATTATTATTATTATTATTATTATTATTATTACTCCCTCTCTCACTCTGTGTGTGTGTGTGTGTGTGTATGTGCTAATCAAAAGCGGTAACACGCAACGTGTGCGGTTACGCACGGAGAACATACGTGTACATGAAACAGAAGCGCACAGAACGGCCCCATCCAATGCACGAATTTTTCTCGCCAGTTACAAAAGAAGCTCTTTAATTCGACCAGCATCGTTTCGTAGCTCACGGTGACGAAGAGGAGTGTGTGCGGTTGTCATTGCACAAAATAAAATACTTTTAAAGACTCCGTTTCTTTCGTCACCCACATGCGGCAACGAGGCGTTGCTTCTCCTCTCACCACCACCGACAATTCGTACGATCAGAACGGAGGGGAAGCGAAGGAAAAACCACCGGCGTGCGGTGGCAACCAGGACGAGAAAAAAAAACAAAAAGAAGACACCGCCTTTGTACCTCAAGCACAAACCAGACAGAGAACCAAAGCAGTGCACGGAACTAGGCCGTAGGCTTGCGTGTTTGTGTGAACTTCTTTGGTTACTTCGTCGGAAAGTGCGTTGCCTTACGCGCGTTTGGTGAGAGCGTCGGCACGCGACCGAGCAGCGCCGACCCTTTGGGACTCCAACACTCCCGCCCGGTCTTCTTGTTGCCTCCCAACGCAACCGGGTCGAATACGCGGAAGACGCGACTCTGACGCGACAGCCGCTCTTCGTTGCTCGGGACTTTGGAGCCGAACACCATCCGCCCCAGCGTGCGCAGCGACACCGCGTTGCGGAAGCTGTCGTAGCAGTTTCGGAACGACGACCCATCCCACGTCACGACGCCCCGTGCAGCCCACCACGCCATCGACACCGCCAACTCCGCGTACACACACACAATAATGACCGGGCGAATGTAGATCAACATGAGCAGCTCCATAAAGAAGGAAAAGATCGCCTCGAGGTAGGTGTCGTGCGCCTGGAAGTCGACCTCTTGCTTCAGGAGACAACCGCCGTTACCCCGGCTGAGGTGACCAGCGACGACGAGGTAGTCGATCATGTCGTTGTAGCCCATCCAAAACAGATTGTTGTACTTGTGCTCGTTGGGGGGTCGCAGGGCCCACCACGACGGCACAAAGACGCGTGGCCGCACCGACGCGTCTTGGAAGTACATAGCAGAGACGGAAATCGTTGTCTCCTCCTCCATGCGTGGAGTGAAGTTGCTGATGCCGCCATCCGCGCACCACGCTCCGGTGCTCTCCATCTTGAAAGGCAGACCTACCAGCGGCACGAGACAGCACGAGGCGCACAGCGTTTCGTGGATGTCGGCGTAGCACGAAAAGCGGGAGAGAAGCCGCGACTTGAACTTCGGCAGCTCTGTCACCCCGATCTCGAGGCAGCCGCTCTCGAGCAGCTTGCGCATCTGTGGGTTGGTGTCGAGGGCTTTTAAGTTGCCGCCGAAGTTGTCAATAGAAGCGAGCAGGTACTTGCGCATGCGGAACATGTGGAAAATGGAGCTTCGGAAGTCAGCCGCGACGGCGGCGGAGAACTGCTTCACCGCTAAGAAATCGTACTGACCAGAGGCGAGGCACGTCGCGGCCAAGGCGCCGGCGCTGACACCAGTAAAACGGACTCGCTTGCCCTCCGCGTACCACCGCTGCAGCACCCCCGAGTCAATCAGCGCGTAAGCGGCGCCAAAAAAGTACATCAAGAACCACCCACCGCACGAGAAGGAGATGGTGATGTCCCATTGCTCGCTGTCACCGCGATGATCGTCATTGTCGGTCGATGAACTCGCGGAGGAGGAGGACTGCTGCGATCTCTGCGCGCTGCGATGGGAGCTCATTCTACCGCTGCTCTTGGGTATCGCTCCGGCAGCGTTGTAGTTAACAAAATAGTAATACACACACAGTCAGCGTGTATCGCAAAAAGGGCAGAATTTATAGTAATAGAGTCACCCTTACGCTCTACAAGAAGGCTTTACAACGCTAATGAAGTGCAACTACAACTCGTAGAAAGCGGTGTGGTGACAATACTTAGGTGAGTGACAGATCGACTTCTTGAGTCAACGACACGTCAAGGCGGTCTAGCGACAAGTAAAACAATGCCAAATATATAGAAAAAAGAAAGCGAAAAGCTAGACAGCATATATATTTATGGTCGGAAACAGATGAATGAGAAAATAGAGAAGAGCTGTCAAAAAATATCTTTCCAATTGCGCGTGTGTATCGCGGCGTGTCTGTATGAGGGCCGACAAGCGCTTCTTACTGGAGTGAGAGTGTTCGACGGCAAAAGGGGGAAAAATGAGGTGCTGATGATTGTAACCACAATAATGAGAGGAGGCGTAAAACGTGTGCTAACGAAGACGACAGAAGGAGAGTTCACCAGAGCAACGAAAACACCGAAAAGGCACGACGACCTAACGAGGCAGAGACGACAACGAAAGGCGAAGCGAAGAGGGAGAAAGAGTAGAGGGAGGTAAAAGCATCAGTTCTTCGTTCTTGCTGCGACTTCGTCAAACACGAAAACGGAAACAGAGTCTGCCCGCTACTGTACAGCAAGCCGTTTAGATAAATACGGTTAATCTGCACCTCCGAAACTATAGAGCGGACCTTTCGGCTTAGTTCTTGGCGGGAAAAGAAGCCCAAAAGCGGGTTCGCTTTTTCCCCTGACAAGAGCTCTCTGCAAGCCCGCTGCAGGCCTCACTCCAGCTACTCCCTCACACCAAGCAACGTATTTTCTCCATTTCAAATAATAAATGAGATCACAAAACAGAGGAAAAGTAATTAATGCATTCAAGTAGAAAAAACAAACGATCTCCTCAACGTCGTACGACAGAGGCAGTGCGAGACACCGTCGCAGGACGCAGCAGACGCGATAAGCTCGTGCAGACACTTACTTCTTGGTCGTCTTGGCCTTGCGCTCCACGGCGCGGGCAGCGCGCTCCTTGCGCAGGCGCTCCTCGCGGCGGATGCGGTCCTTCTTGAGGGGGCCGAACCACTGGTTCTTCTCCTTCTTCGTCTGGAAGCGGCCGTGGCCGATCTTGGAGCTCGTGTCGATGAACTTCAGCACGATCTTCTCCTTCAGCTGGCGCGACGTCTGCGGGGCCATCGGCCGGCGCAGCGTCATCACACGGCGGCGCGGGCCCGACACGGAGCCCTTCAGCATCACGTAGTCGTTGCGCACCGTACCGTAGCCAACGAAGCCGCCCATCGGCGTGATCGTCTTCGCCGTCAGATCGTACGTCGTCGTGGCCTGGTTCGGCTCCACCGCGACGGAGCGGCCGACCTGGTAGATCTTCTTGTTCAGCTGCGTGCGGTGGTGGAAGCCGTGCTGACCGGCGCGGGCAACCGTGTACATCACGCGGGCGGGGTGCCACGCGCCGATGCAGGCCACCTTGCGGAGACCACGGTGGGTCTTGCGCGGCAGGCAGGCAACGCCCCAGCGCTTCACCACACCCTCCGTACCGTGACCCTTCGACACCGAGCACACGTCGCACGCCTCCGACTGCTGGAAGACGGAGTCCACGCGCACCTCCTTCTCAAGCAGCGACTTGGCGAGCTCCAGCTTCGCAGCGACGTTGCCGCCGTTGATCTGGATCTCCTGCACGTGCGCCTTCTTCACGCCCACGCGGTTGTTGCGCAGCTTGCGCAGCTGCGTGTGCGCCACAACGCGGATCACCGTCGCGTGCTTCGCGAACGCCTTCAGCGTGCGCGCCTCCGCAAGCTTGCCCTCCTTCGTGTGCGCGAACTGCTTCTGGCGTGTGAAGGCCAGCTGCGCGGACTGCTTCCAGTTCTTGTAGTAGCGGCGGCGGAACTCCACGCTCGTGTGGTGCGCCCACACGGTGCCGATCGTCTTGAGGCCCACGGGCGTCTCACGGTAGCCCACGATGCCGACGATCACCATCGGCGGCGCCTCCAGGATCGTCACCGGCTCCACCACCTCCTTCTTGTTCACCTTGGAGCCCGGGCGGTCCACGTCGCGCACGATGTGCGTCATGCCGGCCTTGTACACCATGAAGCTGGTCAGGTGCGGCTTCTGCGTCGCGTCGTCCTTGGGGAAGGCGCGAGCGCGGCCGCGGATCTGGCGGGAGCGCTTGCGGGGCAGGAAGCCGAGATGGCCGTGGCGGGGGTGCTCGAACTTGCAGTGAGACATGGTTGCGTTGTGCGTACGTTAATGAGTCTCTAAGTTGTTTTACGTTATTATGCGTCCACTGCCACACGTAGAGATACGTGCGACGGTGGTGGTCTTTTTCATTTAAAGTCTTTTTTATTTTCATCAGAACCAAAGAAAGAAGGAAAATGGATCAACAAACAAACAGAACACGAAACGTCTGTTGTGTGGCGAGGACCCGAGAGACATGGGTGGACGGCGGGTGTGTGGTGGCAGACAGTCTCTTACACGTTGGTGATGCATGTAAGTAAGGATGGCAGAGAGTCACCGTGCGGGTGTGCGGCCTCATGCGCTCCTTTGATCTCTCCTTGTGGGTGCCAGAGCGGTTTGAGAGATGAGCGGGGATGTCGTGAGGGCGTCGCCATCGGCGCTTTGAAGCTTTTGATATGAACTGCTCTCCTTCACACACGGTGTGAGCCTCGATCCAACATCACACGTCGACCAACGACGTGCATAATGTCGTCGCCCATGCCGTTAGCCCTCCCCCTTTTTCCGGTCAATTCTATGCGCCGTATCGCAAACCGCTACGGAGCTCATTTGCATTCGAGCAGGCGCGTAACTCCTTTCCTATTTCTCATTTCTCTCTTTCGTCGCCTCTCCCTTTTTCCCTAAATCGTCATGCGCATGCTCGCTTCTTAACCGATGTGACGACTCCTGCAGCATTCCAAGTTTCACTCAACAGAGGCAGTGCGAGACACCGTCGCAGGACGCAGCAGACGCGATAAGCTCGTGCAGACACTTACTTCTTGGTCGTCTTGGCCTTGCGCTCCACGGCGCGGGCAGCGCGCTCCTTGCGCAGGCGCTCCTCGCGGCGGATGCGGTCCTTCTTGAGGGGGCCGAACCACTGGTTCTTCTCCTTCTTCGTCTGGAAGCGGCCGTGGCCGATCTTGGAGCTCGTGTCGATGAACTTCAGCACGATCTTCTCCTTCAGCTGGCGCGACGTCTGCGGGGCCATCGGCCGGCGCAGCGTCATCACACGGCGGCGCGGGCCCGACACGGAGCCCTTCAGCATCACGTAGTCGTTGCGCACCGTACCGTAGCCAACGAAGCCGCCCATCGGCGTGATCGTCTTCGCCGTCAGATCGTACGTCGTCGTGGCCTGGTTCGGCTCCACCGCGACGGAGCGGCCGACCTGGTAGATCTTCTTGTTCAGCTGCGTGCGGTGGTGGAAGCCGTGCTGACCGGCGCGGGCAACCGTGTACATCACGCGGGCGGGGTGCCACGCGCCGATGCAGGCCACCTTGCGGAGACCACGGTGGGTCTTGCGCGGCAGGCAGGCAACGCCCCAGCGCTTCACCACACCCTCCGTACCGTGACCCTTCGACACCGAGCACACGTCGCACGCCTCCGACTGCTGGAAGACGGAGTCCACGCGCACCTCCTTCTCAAGCAGCGACTTGGCGAGCTCCAGCTTCGCAGCGACGTTGCCGCCGTTGATCTGGATCTCCTGCACGTGCGCCTTCTTCACGCCCACGCGGTTGTTGCGCAGCTTGCGCAGCTGCGTGTGCGCCACAACGCGGATCACCGTCGCGTGCTTCGCGAACGCCTTCAGCGTGCGCGCCTCCGCAAGCTTGCCCTCCTTCGTGTGCGCGAACTGCTTCTGGCGTGTGAAGGCCAGCTGCGCGGACTGCTTCCAGTTCTTGTAGTAGCGGCGGCGGAACTCCACGCTCGTGTGGTGCGCCCACACGGTGCCGATCGTCTTGAGGCCCACGGGCGTCTCACGGTAGCCCACGATGCCGACGATCACCATCGGCGGCGCCTCCAGGATCGTCACCGGCTCCACCACCTCCTTCTTGTTCACCTTGGAGCCCGGGCGGTCCACGTCGCGCACGATGTGCGTCATGCCGGCCTTGTACACCATGAAGCTGGTCAGGTGCGGCTTCTGCGTCGCGTCGTCCTTGGGGAAGGCGCGAGCGCGGCCGCGGATCTGGCGGGAGCGCTTGCGGGGCAGGAAGCCGAGATGGCCGTGGCGGGGGTGCTCGAACTTGCAGTGAGACATGGTTGCTGAGTCTTACGTTATATGCTGAGCAGAAGTCGAGATTTACGCAGGCGAGGTTTGTTTTAAAAGATGCAGCGTGCGGTTTGTGTGTGTGTCGGAGGATAATAAGGAGAGGACAGAGAAAGAGGAGAATAAGATAGGCAAGGCAGGAGAAAGCGATGTTGAGACATGGTTGATGAGTGGAGCGGAGAGACACCCGTGAATTGTGCATGCGAGGGTCGAAGAACTGCACCCCACTAACGTGAAGAACAAAGAGCAGCATGAGTACTATACCTTGGGTTTGTACGCGGAAAAAAAAAAATGCAGTTCATCCAAGACGGATGAACTTGTCCTTGTGTCGGAGGAGCATTGGGCCCAACCGCTTCTCTGGACATCAATCACCACACATTCCTTGAGCGACGGGGTTGTTGTCTTTTGCGGCCTTTGGAACAGTCTTTTCTTCTTCCGGTAAGTTCTGGGTGAACTCTATTCCAGCAGCGAACAGAAAACCAAAACCTGTCAACAAAAACAGCATCGATTTCGAAGGTGAAACGGCTCCAACACGACATCATAGCCCCGCACGAGCGCAATGCGGCACGGTAGTAAGGGGAAAAACAAGGAGAGAAAACGAAAAACGCGAGGAGCAGTGCCCATGTCCCTGCATTCGCCTACCGCCATAAGTGCAGTTGCTCTTTGGGGGCCCAGCGATTCCCCACCGTATCTGCAGCTCATCGCAGCCAACTATCGCCGTTTGCACAGCATCACTTCTTACCTGCCATCTTCACACCATGCAGGCCGCCAATCGGGAAGTCCACTTTGCGCGCGATGTGGTTCTTCGTCATGAAGGGACCTCGCACCTTTGTCTCTTTCATCAGCGTGTAACGCTGCAGAATCGGGTCCCACATAACCTTTTGCAGCTTGCGTCCCGTAGCGTCCATGCGCTCCGTCTCCGTTTTAATGTAGCCCTCCATGTGACCTGTGTTCGCCTCGCTGCGCAGCGCCACGGTGTTGTTGCGGATCTTGCGCGGAATGACCTTGGGGATGAAGCCCACCATGCGCTTCTTCAGACGCGTCTTGTACTGGCCGTGGCCGAGCAGCGGAAACGACAAGCGAAACATCTTTGGCGCTGCACTACGAAAGTGTTGCAGTAGAAAGAAGGAGAAAGAGAAAGAGAGCACCTCCGCCGGTGAAGTGCAGGCCGGCAGATGTCCTTCAATGCGTTGTACAACAGACAAGGAGTCCTGTACCCTTTTCCTTGACGATGGTTGTCGAGGGCGTACATGCGCATGCAGCAAAGTACACGCACAGGGAAGAGCGACGAACAAACGAGAGATCAAGAAGCGCGGAAAGTGTCCGTAATAGGAGAGAAGAAAACAAACGAAACGGCGGTTGGGTCGGAGAACATCAGCAACGCCGCACGCATAAAAACTCTGCTTCTTGTTGAGCGACAAGGCTTCCATGGCGCGCCGCCTTGGATATCGACGACAACACCCAACGTCAACCCATTCAGCATGTCTCGCCGTTTCCATCAAGCCAACGGTATACTTTTCATCTTTTTCCTTGACGGTCAATGCAACACAAAAGAAGAGCCAAAATTGTGGGCTGTCTGAACAAGGGACGTCACAAGGCAGGCGAGAGCCGTTCATGTTTACAAATAAAGTGCTGAAATAACTCAAAGAGACAGAAAAAATGGTTACGTAGTGAATAAATGATGACTATTAGAAGTCGGTGAGTAGCAATAGTGATAGAAAGAAAAATCGGCGCATTGAATAAAGAGAAATATTCCTGGTTGATCTGTAGCTCCTGAAAAGAAAGGAGAAGGGGAGAAAGAAGCCGAACACCGCACACTCCCAACAGTCTTTGCAAGGCTGGGCGAGAGCAATTACGAAGACGATAAGCGCAAGCACTGTTTGGCAAAGCACCTCATACGTTGTAATGAAGCGCATTCAGCGGCTAAAACAACAACACAAAAGAGAGAGAAGACGGCGAGAAGAAAGGAAAAATACAACGCACACAATAAATCCGCACAACTTCACCGACAGAGGCGTGAACCTCAAAGTGCAATCGCAAACTTTCACGCGTCTCTTTGCGCCCTAGATGCCTGAACCGAAGTTCTCCAGGAACATGCGCTCGTGTGGCTGCAATACGTGGGCTGCCTTCTGCACAATGGAAGAAAAAGGCGGCACATCACGTACGACCCAGCAGTTACCGCCGATGGTGCTGCGCTCCCCGATCGTGACGCGGCCCAGCACGACCGCGTTCGCGTAGAGTGTCACCCCGTCCTCAATGATCGGGTGTCGCGGCAGGTCGCGGATCTTCTCACCTGTCTTCTTGTCCGTCGGAAAGCTACGAGCACCAAGTGTGACACCTTGGTACACGGAGACGTAGTTGCCGATAATGGCGGTGGCGCCGATGACGATGCCCGTGCCGTGGTCCATGAAGAAGTGATGGCCAATGGACGTGTGGGGGTGAATGTCAATGCCCGTTCTGGAGTGCGCCAGCTCTGTTAACATCCGCGTAAAGTTCTGCGGCACCCCGAGGAGGTGAAGCTGGTGCGCGACACGTTGGTGGACCATGCAGCGCAGACCGGGGTAGCACAGCACCACCTCGCTCGGTGAGGAAGCGGCCACGTCGCCTTTGAAAATGGCCTCTACGTCGGTGTGCAGGAGCCAGCGAACATGGGCAAGACGCTCCGTCAAAAACTTCGACACAATCGCGTCCGCTTTCCGTTTGCAGTTGGCGAGAAAGACATGGTTCTGCCCACCTGAATAGTTGTTGTCGCTCGCCGGCATGACGCTCTCGCGCTTCGTGTCGTCCGCTACAGGGATGTCGCACTGAACGAGGTTGGGCAGCTTGTTCGCCCCCGTCCGTTTGGCCAGCACCTTGTGAATCAAAAAATCGCTCGTGTTGTCCACCTCCTGATCGTGTGCGTTACCATTGCCGTTGCTGCTGTGATGGTTGCTGCCTTCCATCGAAAAGAGCGTCAGGGTCTTGCTGCTCGCACCATTCCAGTTCAGCTGGGTCCGCTGCGACGTGTTCAGTGGTCGGAACTTGGTCGTATCCAACACTGCCTGCGTATCGCCGTGCAGCACAAAGGCGAAGTAGATCTGTGCCGTGAGGGTGTCCGCGACGTGCCCCAACACCCACTCCATCATCGCATCCGCCTGCGTGTAGGTTGGGGTGGTCTGCGAGGGCGGGTTTGTGCACTCGGGGAAGAAGATGTAAAAGAAGCACTCGACCAACTCGCCGAGAATGCGCGGGCTGATGTGCGGCTGGAAGACAGATGCGTCGACCTGGGGCGGGGTGGGGTTCAGCTGCTCCAGCGCCTCGCGAATTCGATCCAGTCGCTTCATTTGCTGGCCGACACAAAAGAAAAGAGAAGGAAATATTTTGTGATGTTCGATGATGTGAAAATACGGTGTACGTTGAAGTGGTGAAGCCGAAGAGCGCCGCCAGAAATAATTAAGAGCTAAGATACGACTTTTTCCGGATGTAAATGTTCAACAAAACTATAAAGCTAGGAGCACTTTTTTTTCACTTTCGATAGAATACTAAGCTGACGTGCTTGGGAAGTCGGACTCCTTAGCAGGAGGAGGGAACAAGAGTGCGCGTTCTTCGAAATAGTTCGTACTACAGTTCGTCAAGAAAAGGAAAAGAAAACAACATGGCCGGAAAGGAAGAGCGGAAAGTGCGAGGAGACGGCGCTGTCCTTTCTCTTCCCATGTGCTTCTTCTTACCCTCAAGAAGAAGGGAAAACCAAAAATGACGTACCTTTCAGAACCAATCTGTTCCGTCCGTCACGTAATGCAGATACAATGAGCTGGGAATCAACCACAACTTAAAAGAAAAAAAAGAGAGAAGACTACATAGGACGTCGGTGTGAAATCGCATCGATAGCGCTTACGGTTATGATTGTCTGGCTCTTTGTTGTTGTTGTTGTTTTGCGAGTGTGCGTGTGCAAGTCATTCACCTCGTTCTTTCGTTTCCTTTCTACTGGTCGAGGGCGGAGTGAAGTGCAAACGGGGACTTCTTCAATATGAGCAGAATGCGGCCAGGTCGAAGAAACCCATCCCTCATCGCCTCTTCGCCATCGTCGCCACGGTCTCCCGTCTTCTTCTTGCGCTTCGCCCCGCCAGCAACGCCACCTGAAGAGCCCTTCGTGGCGGTGGAAGGGTCCGCAAAGACAGGAGCCTCAAAAACGAGCTTCACTTTTCCTGTTTTACCAAAGGTTGAATCAACGATGCCCATCACCGACCCTGCTGCGTGGGGCCGCTCCGGTGCTGACGTCGCGTCCTTCTCCTCGAGCGATTCTTCTGCGGTGCCGCCGGCGTCGCCTCCGTCTTCGAAAAGGACCTTCAGTCGGATGAACTTCTGCACCTCACCAAAAAGCTCACTCTTTGGACGCGACTCGGCTGGCGCCTTGCCAGACTTGTTATTCCCCAGCTTTCCTGCATCGGCAGGCGTCGCGGCCCCACTGACGTTCGAATGCCCGGCCAGCGACACGACGCCATCGGCAATGCAGCTGCGACTATCCAGCACGCGGTCGACCCGCAGTGTGCGTGAGGTGTAGCGCACTACCGGCAGCCGTCGCCACGCCGCAGTGTCGCCGTCCGCCTGTGTAGTGACGTTGCTATCGCCACCGTCGCCCGCAAAGGTGTAGCAAACTGTGCCGGCCAGCGCAATGCGACAGAAATTCTCCCGCTCGACGTCGAGCCGCATCGCGACCATCGAGTTGCCTGCCGCCGCCAGCACCGGACGCTCCAGCAGCAGAACAGCGTAGTACTCGCGTGCACCCGGCACAACAGGGGAGGGGCGACCCGCAGCAACCGCGGGGCTGCTGCTGCTGCTGTCTCCATCCACCGCTGCGTAGCTGGCCACGGCGTCCTCGTCCAGCTCCTCCACCCACGCACTTTCTACCATGGGGTCAAAGGCGTCATTCACTTCATGTGCTGTCGTGCTGCTCGACGGGAGTGGAGGAGCAGCACTGGAAGTAGTCGTCGCCGCACGCGGCCTAGCAAAGTAGCGCATCGTGCCCATCACCGTCGCGTGCCCAATGGTAATGTGAAATTTCGTGTGGGTGTCGCATGGAAGAGGGTGATACCGCACCTTGTGGACCCGCGCGATGAGCTGTGACGTGCTGACCAGCGTCCGTTCACTGCCGGCGGTGCTGCACAACACACCCCGCTCGAAGGAGGTAGGGTCGAACTGAGCGACGCAGAGGCCGACGCGGTCACCGCTGCGCGCGGACTCCACCGGCGTGTGGAAAACCTGCAATCCCTTCACCTTGCGCGTCGTCTGCAGCTCCGGCACGAGGATCGTGTCCCCGACGCGTACCATGCCAGCGGCGACGGTGCCGGTGAACACGGTGCCCTGCCCACGCACGGCGAAGCAGTGATCGGCGAGCATGTAAAAGCGCTCTGGTCGCTCACCTTCTCGTTCCTTCGTCGCCTTCAACGCGGCGAGGTCGACGCTGCGGAGGACCTGCGGCAGGACGGCGTCGACGTTGCGTGCGGCACCGATGCCACCGTTGGCCTCTCGCGGTGCCGCGGCCACCTCCACAACGGCGACGGTCGGCCACCGTGTGCGGCGAAATGTTTGCTGCAGCTTCCTCCTCAGCGTTGCGAGCGCGGCGGCTTTGTCGGCGGAGGTGCCGCCCTGAACAGCGTCTATCTTGTTCACCACCACCACGAGGGGCTTCGCCAGCACCTCGCCCAGCACCAGGCACTCCGCCGTCTGCGCCTGCATGCCTTTTGTGGCGTCAATGACGAGCACCATCGCGTCAATGATCTGTGCCCCACCAACGACGGTGCGAATCAACGAGGCGTGTCCCGGGCAGTCCACGAGGGTGCACTGTACCTTTTCTAGTTGGGACTCCGCTAGCACCTCACGCGCATCATCACCGTCGTCGCGTGACACCTCACACGCGCTGAAGCCCAAGTCTAAGGTGATCCCACGCGATTGGCTTTGCGGGCTCTTGTCAAACGCCGCGGTGGAGGCGGTGCAGGAAAGCGCCTTGGCAAGGGCCGTTTTACCGCTGTCCACGTGCCCCAGAAGCCCAATGTTGACATTCAGCATCGCTGAGTAGAAGTGCGATGCGCACCCCTGTCTTGTTGCACAAAGAGGTACGCTTATTTCCCTCTTTGGAGGAGAGGGAAAGCGAGACTGAAATTTGATGCTTCAGATGAAAAACAGAAAGGTTGTGTGGGGTTCCGCTTGAGGAGGCGAGAAGATTGCAAACGCCATTTACAGCAGTTTTCAAAAAAACGATTGAGGAGAAAACAAAAGGAAGCGATAAAACATGAGGAAGAAGTTGCACCCACGGAGGCCGCAGCGACCCCCCACTTGCTAAAAGGTGTACAGGAAACCAAAAGTCCCCTCCTCAATCAAGCACAAAAATGAAAAGCATCTACCTGATCGATAGGAGCAGAGATGTATTATCTCAGCACAGTGATGCGCCTTGGCATTTGCACCGTTGATGACACGGTGCAAAGCTTGCTCGCTGCTGATTTCACACGCGTACCAGAGAATGTGAATGTCAATTATGATCAAAAAAAAAAGGGTCCACGACCGCGTACGCGTCTAAGCAGGAAAACAAAGGTAGACCGTTTAGCTGCATTCCGCTGCCAACATCTCTGCGACACCGCTGATGCGCCATACAGAGAGAAGAAAAAGGCCGCCATCTGCTGTTCGGAAGACCTTCCACGCACGACAACAGATGTGGACAGCCGCGAGAAGATCGACGGTAACCTGAAACCTCTCCCTCCGGCGCTTCTCACCCACCGTGCAGGGTGGAGATGAACTCCACTTCGTCGCCGTCCTCCAGCACGTGTTCGACGCCGCCCATTACCTCCACATCACAGCCGTTCACCAGTACGAGAATGCCAGGACGAACATTTGCGCCGCTTGCGTCGACAAGCAACTCCGGTCGTTCCTTGACATAGTCTCGTTTAAGAAGTGTAACAAGCTGCGATACCGAAGTTCCGACTGGAACTACACTGTTCAGCGAAAGGTTTGTTTCCTTGTTGAAGAGGAGCTCGCAGCCGCCGCTGAGTGCGACCGTGATTTTCTTGTACGTCTCCGACATTAGAGAAAGGCTACCGACTTTACTGATATGCACTTTAGATTGTAGCTAAAGATGAGAGCAGGATAAACGGGTGATTGTAGTTCGCAAATAACGGCATTGCACCAATGCAGATAAAGAATCGGGGAGACTACATGAGCGTTTCGAAAGAAACAAGCAGCATCAGTGAAACTCTCCCCGCCTCAGGGAGAGACGAATTGATCGGCAACACATTCGGAAATTCTTGCAAGGCCTGATGAGATCAGAAGACAAAGGCCGCAGCAGCAGCAGCAGCATCAGCATCAAGGGAGAGAAACCGGTACGAAAGCCACCTGCTATTGACGAGGAAGAAATAACCGTCTGCGTTGCTTTGGAATGACGATTTGTTGATTATGAGAGAAGGCCGTATATATACGTGACCGAGCAAGAGGAGTTCTCCAAACATTAACACAGCGAACATATATATGCGAACGAGAACAGGTCTGAGAAGAAAAGAAAAAAAGGTTCGTAAGACACCTGTCGTCGCAAACGAGGAGAAGGGTGGAGGTATTTGACTAATCACAATAATAACGCTGCTTAGATCGGGAAAAAGAGGAACGCAAACGTGCAGCGGCTGCCTCGGACGCTGTGCGCCCTTCATCCTCCGACTCAAAAACACTGCTACCTCCTTTCAGCTTCATCTGTGCGTTGCCCGTAAAAGGAAAAACAAGAAAACAGGCCGCTTTCATTCATCATGCTTCATTGTTCAGTAATAATAATAATAAAGAATTACTCCATCACTTAACTCATCGCGCATTTCAAGAGAAGAGAAGAACACAAGAAGGTTTCGTTCAAACATGTCAACTGGACGAAAGAAGAGAAAGGGGAAAAGGGGAAAAGGGTACAAAATAAAAACAAGAAACCCGAAAAGACGAGACATGTCGACAGAGGTGCGCTGTCTTGTTCGGGGAAAAGAACCAAAAATATCAAAGATAATACAGCTTCAAAAAAAAGGGAGAAAAAGGAAAGAAGAAAAGCGGCGCTGATCGCTATTGGAAAAGTGCGCCGCCCGAAACAACACTTCAAGCCAGAAGCGATATGTCAGAATCGACTCAAAACAGTCTGTGATTTGGAAGGAAAAAAACACCAGTGCGAGAATCAAACAAAAAAATGAAAACGGCTTTTCATAACGCTGAGTTCTTCATCTTTACGGGGGATTCTCCTCGTTTTCAGTCGTCATCTAGACTGCAGCTCACAGTTTATGTGTGTCTGTGTCTTGGTGTGTGTGTGTCTGAACAGACGGCCTTCATGTTGCCTAGTAAAACCAAAAGGCGACTCCATCGATCCATCACGCACGCAAACACCTTTAAGTATATATACAAAGAAAGAGAAACACACCGTTGGGCACGTCAACGATTAACGCGAATATCTATGACGAAAAAAACAAAAACCGGTACAAGAAGTAAACGAGCAACGGCGCGCCCCTCCCTCAAATCAGCGGGGAAACCTCGTTTGAGGACGGGAGTTCACATAAAACTAACTCAAAAAATATATAATCTGGAACGCGCACAAGAAGGAACCACGGCTAGCCAAGTCTGCTGCTCGCGTCAATATCAGGGGACAAGAGCACGGATGTGTACAGGAAGACTGTGAAGTGTCATTCTCAGGCGGTTAGCTACGACGGCCAATAAAAATAGAAATATGAAATCGGATAAAAGTGTTTATTCACCTGTCCAACGCGATCAGTCCCCACACAAACGTATATGAACCGTATCACCGCCTAGCAGCGATTCATGCAGTTCTCCGGAGAGCTTTCGCACCAAACAGAAAAGGCTCCCGTGGGCAGGACAGCAGCAGAATGACCGGTATCGTGGGGCTTCTCCCTTTTCAACTTCGGCGAAGCCTTTGGCGTTTCTTCTCTTGTGTGTGTGTGTCGCGCTTTGCCCGTTACGCGGTGTGTGCGTCCTCCGTGGACTGCGACGGGTGCAGTGGGTCCGTCGCCGCCGAGGTTCCCTCCGACTGCTCGCTCTCGTACTGACGCAGCGACTTCTGCACACTCGGCGGCGGGGCATCGAAGTGCGGCGTCATGTCGAAGGCCGGCGGTGAGGAGCTGCGCATACGCATGTGATACGGGTTGTACGTCGCATCCTCCTCCACCAAGCGCACGAGCTTCTCCCGCACCCCTCTCGGCAGCACCTCAAAGGAGCGGCGGCTCAGCTTCGCCGTCTTCACCACTGGACTGTCTGCGTACACGGAAGCCACGGGGAGGTGGTGGTAGATGAACTCGATCTCTCCCACGAAGTGCCCACGCTGCACCACCGACACCTCTCTCTCCTCCGCGCCGTTGACGTCCGGCGCCATGACGCGAAGCGTGCCCTCCATTACAATGTGCAGCCAGTGATTTGGGACGCCGTAGGTAATCACCTTCTGGCCTTCTACGTAGGTGTCCTCCTTCAGGCTCTCCGCCACGCGCTCCAGTTCGGACGCCGACAGACCGTCAAAGAGCGGGATGGACGCCAAGAAGTCGATGTACTTCCTGCGTTTCTCCTCCATGGCGCGCGAGGTGATCATCTTGTAGGTGCGGCGCTGCAGCGAGGCGCACTGGAGCGCCGTGCGGGCCACCACCGTCGCGTCGTTCCGCAGCTCGTACATCAGTGCCACGTCCCCGCACGTGCTACCACGGATAAGCGGCACCACCACCTCCTCCCCTGCCTCATTCACCTCCGTCGTCTCAGCCTCGCCGTCTAGCACAATGTAAAAGGTATCGTTCGGCTCTCCTTTCGTCAGCACGTTCTCGCCCGCCTCGAACCTCTCCAGATCCATAACGGAGGCCACCTTCGCAATGTCGTTGTCGTCCAGCGTGGAGAAGAGGAAGTGGCGCACCAGAACCCGCGAGATCGTCTTCACCTTGTTCTGCGACTTCGGCGTGGTGGGGAAGTTCGCAATGCGGGCTTCGTCGATGTCGAGAGTGGAGTCCGAGATGGCGGGGCGGCTGGGGCGCTGCATCTGCATTGTTCGTCGTCGCACGTCTTCATGGTCGTCGATGAACTCCTCCTCGACCTCCTCTTCGTCCTCGTCCGTGGGAACGTCGGAGCGGCTGCCCAGTTTGCCGTTGTGCTCCGTGCCGGCGGAGGCGAATTGAAAGGCGTTCAACCGCTCGTGGTAGTTGTATGTCGCCGCGAAGAAAGGTGCGGACTGACCCGCACTGTCCTCGTCGAAACTTCCTTGTGAAGCCATTGCTGCAGCGGCAGCCTCCGCGTTGCTGCCTGCTAGCTCCGCATCGTCGGTGACGATCTGGTCTAGCGGGGGCGGTTGCGAGCTGCGCTTCCGCGCGGCCTTCTGCGTGGCCGGGGCCGCTGGGGCCGTCGCTGCCGGCTCGTCCGGAGGCGCCGCAGAAGCCGGGGGCGTCGGCGCCGTGTCCGCCACAATGGGGGAGATCTTCACCCTTCGCCTTGCTGCGTTGTGCGCCGTGGTGGACGGCGTTTCCGTCTCCAGCTGCCGCAGCTGCGCGTCGACGTGCTTGCCAAAGCTGAAGTCAATGTCCTTCACCTGCTCCGGCCCTGCCTGGCTGCGCTTCTTCGACCGCGAGCCGCCATCCTTTCTGTACGGAATCTTCTGCGACGCGCGGAGTCTTTTGCGTGGTGACGTCTTGTCATCCAGAGGGGCGCCGTTATCATGCCAAGAGGACCCTTTGGCCGTCGCCTTCCGCAAGTGGTGGTTGCTGCTGCTGCTGCCACCGCCAGCCGGACCGCTCTTCTTTGCCGCCGCCTTCTTCGTTGGCTCCGCTGTGTCCTGCGCACCCGCAGCCACGCCAAGTGCGGTCTCCGTGTTGCTCTTCGATGGCGGCAGCGGAGGCAGGCTCGCCTGACGCTCCTGGCGCCTGCGGTCCTGCTCCGCCCGTTCCTTGCGGGCCTCCTCCTTCGCCTTCTCTTCCTCCTGCAGTCTCTTCTTTTCAGCCTTCTTTTTGCCGGCCCTGGACGCGGCCGGGCCACGAAGGACCTCGTAGTCGCTTAGATTGCTTTTAATGTTCTTCAGCAGTTTCTCGCGAGCGTTCTTGGGGAGGTCGTCGCCGGCGCGGCTCACCCACTGCGCCACGTACTTGTCAAACTCTGACATCACACCTTCTGCAGTACTCGAAGTGCCTGAGGACAGAAATTCAGAAAAGGTACGAGAACCGTTCTATTAGTCGGCAGACGTCTGTATTCTCTTTTTATTCTTGTTTTGCTGAATCAGCAGACACGTTCTCCAGAAGCAAAAGAAAAAGGCGCCGGAGAGCAAGCCCAACAAAAAAGAATACTCACGACGACGAGGGAGAGCTGACTAAAACGTGCAATATACGAAGCGTAGCTTATTTGGAAAAATCGGCTTCTTTTGAGTGTGTGTGTGTGTATTGCTGCTGTGCAACGACTGTTTATGTATGTGTATATGCTTATAAAAAGATGGCCTTTTTATTTTTTTCGAAAACCCGTTGTTTCTTCGCTTCTCGTATGTGTGTCTGTAAAAGCCGCATCTTCAGGAGAACCATGTAATGCGAAACGCGGGCACGTTGCCGACCATTCCACGTGAAGCAACGGTGTTGACACAAAGCCAGAGACCGCAGAAGCGAGAGATGGGAGGTGAGAGTTGTTCCACGCACGCGCAGAGCCCGCGTTTTGCATTGCTCGGAAGGGGGCGCCTCCAACACGACGCGGCTAACGCACAAAAGAGAAGCGCGGCACTGTTGAGACAAGAGCAAGACGCCCCCACGAGAGAGGGCGAGCGGTGCCGATGCCAGATTTCGAGAAGAGCTTTCAGTATTCTCCGTTTTCTCCGATTCGTTTTTTTTTTGCTTTTCAGAGAGCAAATTTAATTCTCCGGCAGAACACGGACGCACTCCTTTCAAACAAAAAAACAAAAGGAGTAATAAAGTGAGCAAAGAAAGCGAAGAGAGCGAAGAAAGAAAGAAAAAGGGAGCTACTATGCATCGAACAGCGAGGTCATACTATCGACATCTTCTCCGCGTTATCAGCGTTTCATATTTTACGTTTTTTTGTTGTTGTTGTTGTTCGTGTACTTTCTCGTACTTCCTTTTCACTTACAGCACAAGAACAAAAATATGAAAACAAAAAAAAACAATCATTACGATTTCACCGTCATATCCGTCCCCGAAGCATTTGGGCGAGATCGCCGCTTTGTCGCAATCACCGCCGGCAGCTCCACCACGGGAGGCGATGAAGCCGCAACGCCGTTGATGGTGCCGGTGGCCGGAGACCCGCCACGACGGCGTCCGAGACCACCGCCACCATTCGCGCCGTTGGAATACAGCAACGAACGTGGTGGCCCGGTGGGGGCAGTTTGAGCGAGCAGCGCCACCGCCGCCTCCATCGGCAAAAAATCTCGCACGCCGCTGAAGGTGGTGCGTGGGAGCAGACGTGCCTTCTTGATGGTGATCTTCTCCGGGTACTCGTCTCCGTTTAAGCTGCGCATGATGGGCCCAAGAAGGTTGTTGCTAGCTTCGTGACCTGCCGCCTGCACGTCCTTGCCGTGTGACTTGAAGGCCTGCGCAAAGAGCATCTCTGCCGTTTCAATTTGCAGCTGCCGTTGCAGCCACATCGACACCCCGCGAGTCGAGTGATACGGCGTTTGCGGGAGTCGGCTGAGAGGGTTGATGCTCTTCAGATCGAGCAGTGCCACTAACATGGCTCGTCCAGTGTCGCCGAAGGTTGCGGGGGTGTGGGCGAGCTGCAGCGGCGCCGGTAGCACCTTCTCCAACTCCTCAGCCTGCGCGTTAACAAGCGTCACGATGGGGTTGAGTGTCTCGGCCATCACGTGGGATGTCTCGATGGTGTAGCCGTGCACTACGCCAGCCTCCGTGTACACCACGACGCGGCTCGACGAGTCTTTTCCCTTGCCGGACCTCCCCACCGCGAACATGTTCGCCTCGGAGAAATTGCAGCTGCGGAAGTCCAGGTACGGCGTGTTGAGTGAGACGAGCTTCGCGTAGAGCAGGTTCTCCACCTGCGCCGCACCGTCCATGCTGTTGCCGTAGAAAAATGTGCCGCGTTTGTTGGCGTGGGCGTGCATGTCCACGAAGAGCGCCACGCGATCGCCAAGCGACCGCAGCAGTGCCATGACGGAATACGGCGCGGGGTGGCGCTTGCGGGAGGGGGCCCGATACATGCGGTTCAAATCTACGCCGTTTGCGTCGACGCGGCTGTGGCCACGAACGACGCCGTCGGGGTTCAGCATCGGCACCACGTAGAAGACGAAGTTGTGTCGCAGCGCCGCCGCACGGGGGTCGGTGCGATGCACCAGGAAGTCAATGCAGCCGTGAATGAGGTGGCTGCCGGGGCACTCGCCAGGGTGGACGCGGGCGGTGAGGACGACGTACTTCTTGCCGGTGAACGCAAACGGTCGCTCCGCTGTGCGGTTGGTGGCGGAGTGCGGGATGCCGTCCTTCTCGGAAATGAGAGGCGCACGCTCCATCGTCATGCGGCTGCGGTCACTGATCGTCAAGAGCGTCACATCGTGGCCCTCGAGTGTTTTGCAAAGCACCTCGCGGTGGAAATAGATGTTCGTGAAGGAGGTGGCCTCCAGTGTGCTTTTGGAGCCCTTCTCGGCACCGTTGCTTTCGCCCGGTCGTGTCGTCGTAGTCGGCGTCACTGCCGCGCGGGCTTCGGCGGCGGGCTCGGCGGACTGCGAGTGGGTCGGCGCCAATGCGTTGGCCGCCGCCTGGACGCTCAGCGACCGGGTCGCGTTGCTCCTGCGCGCCACCTCCTGCCACGCCAGCAGATTGCGCTGCAGGTGAGTGTAGGAGTAGGGGTGATTGCTCGCGATGTAGATCGACACCACATCCGGGCGGCCTCTGGGCGGCGTATGCGTCACCGGCACCTCCGCCTCGATTTTGTAGTCGAAGGTGAGATTCATGGCGATGGGCTTTTTCTTTTTGGTGGCCTTCTTCCTCTTGCCGGCGGCGCCGGCTTTGCTGGTGGTGGAGATGGAGAAGGCCACGCCGCCGATCCCAGCGCCACACCCGTTCGGGCTACCGCTGTCCCCATTACTGCCCGCCGCAGCATCGCCGTCATTGTCGTCTTCGTTGTTGTCGCCGTCGCTGTCGGCGTCGCCCCTGGCGACTGCGTTGTAGGCCAGCAGCGGGTACTCAGGCGTTTCGGGCATGTTCTCCAACGGCTCCACCTTCGCCTTGCCGGGCAGCCGCGCGTACTCTGGGCGACTCGGCGTCACGGCTGCCACGGGCATCCAGTCGAAGTTGAACATGTTGCTGTGCATCATACCCACGAAGGTGAAGGTGACGACGGCGCCTCTGCTGCCGCCGCGCAGGGAGAAGTGAAACCATTGCCGGTTGTTCGTCTGCCACGGCGCGTTGCCGCAGTCCATGGCGGTGTACATGCGGTACTGCAGCGGCCCTACGCGCTCCACTTGGATTAAATTGCCGCTGTCGAACTGCGACGAGAATTCCAAATTGTCCTCCTTGAAGTAGAACGTGCGCTGATTGTTCGGCGGGCGTTGGAACACCCAGTGAGCGTCATCGATTTCTGCTCCGCTCGGCGACACCGACTTGTCTGGCATCGGCTTTTCATTGGGAGAGGCGGAGGGCGTGCGCCGCGCCTCCCTACCACGGAGAGGAGAGGCGTGTGCTGGCGGCGGTGTCTGCTCCGGGCGGCGATCTCCCCGTTGTGGCCGGCTGCCGCTCTCCTCTTGCGACGCCCGCGAGTTCGACGCCACACGTGGCGGGCGCGTCTTCTCTTCCTTGTCGTGACTCTGTCCCATCCTGTGCGGGTCCTCGACGATCTCTTCCACCAGCAGATCCTTCTCCACCTCTGTCGACGCACTCGTGAGGGCAGCGGCGGTGTTGTCCCCGTCGCGACGGTCGGCAACAAGGCGAAAAGGAATCGACGCTGCGGCAGAAATTGAGTTCTGCGATGAGCCGCAGGAGTGAGTCGACAGGTGCGGAACAGACGTCTGGCGGCAGCTTGGGCTGCGAGTCAGCACGGCGGAGATGCGCTGCGGTGGGGTGCACGAAGACGGGGATGTCGGCTCAGTGGATTGCAACGTGTGTGTCCGCGGCGTGCTCGTCGGGCTGCCGGCAAGGCTGGTGCCAAGAAAAGGTTGAGTGCGGGATCCGGTGCGTTGAAGGGTAATCTGTGGCGCTGGCAACGACAGCACTTGCAGACACGGTGATGAGCGCTGCACTGTGGGAGAGGATGAGGGAGGAGAGAAATTGACCGGCGGTGGTGTGGCGATTGGGACCGGGGAGGAGTCGCGCGCGGTGGGTGCCGGCGCAGGCGGAGGTGCCGTGCGTGGCGTGCTCGGGGGCGGAGTGCGACGACCTTTCTGCGTGCGCTGCGTGCCGCCTTCAAGATCGCGCTCACCCGCAATCGTCGTTGCCGGGGAGTCGCGTGCAAGGGGTGCGGTTTCCGTACTTCGCGGTGGCGTGCCAGTGACCGAGGACCTGCTCACACCACGCTGCCGCGGGAGCTTCTGTGATGCGCTACGGGACTCGTGGTGCGCGGTGGTGGCAGGACCGGGGGGAGGTGCGTGTGGTGCCACGTCGCTGCTGGGCCGCAATGGCGGGGAAGGCGGTGGGGCTCGCGCCGCTGCTGCGCTTTGATGGTTGGGCAGGGAAGCCGCGGTCGTGCGAGCAGCTGTCCTTCGCGCCGCCGTGCTGATGGGCTTCGGGGAGGAGAACGTGCTCTTCCGCCTGTCCGTCCTCCGCGCCAGCGAGACTACCGGTTGAGGGGGAAACCCGTACGCGCTGAGACGGGAAAGATTGTGTGGGTGTGCCAGTCAAAGACGACTGTCGGTCCTTTCCGTGGGATTCAGGCGTACGGCTGGCGCTGTTGTGGTGCGGCATTCAAAAAAGTAGCAAAAGAAAAACCGCCACCGAAGAAAACGCGGAAGCGTAAACGACAGGATACAAAACACACAAAACAAAAACGAGTTGGTGCACAGTAATATGAAGTGGTGAACGGAGACCCGAAATGAAGAACCTCCGGAATCGTATTGCCGACCTCTTTTCCTCTTAGTTTTTGGTGTAGCCTCGTTGGAAAGTGTATAAGAAACCAATCACAAGAGATTGGAGGAAGAGCAACCTTTAAAAGAAAAAAAAAGGAAGGGGGTACGGAAACGCAAGCAGCAACACAGGAAACGGGAAAAATGGCTTCAAAGACAAGCAACAAGCAAACAGACGATTGAAATGAGGTAGAGTTACTTTTGGAGAGCGAAAACAAAAACACAGAATTATGTGAATCACCGAGAAGGAGGGAGAGAAACAATTAAGGTCACATGAAAAGGAAGACCATGCTGAGAAACTGGGGGATCAGAAAAGCAGCGCACGTAGTCAATGAGAGACGATTTTTGCTGGTTCTTAACGCACGCTGTCAGCTCTGAAACCGGAAGGAAAAGACTCGAAGCAAAGAAGAATACTTACACGGAGTCCCAATTTAAAAAAAGAATCTCCTTTATTAATGTTGGAGGGGAAGAGAGTAAGGTGAGGATCGTTTCTCTTTCTGGTGATTGAAGAAGACGAGCAATAAACCAAAAAAGCGCAATGTTTGATAACGCCTTTATTATTGCAAACAGCAACCGTTCAATATAAAGATAGAAGAAAAAAAAATTGAAAAAGGAAAGATTTACTGTCATGATGCGTGAGGACGGATAGAACGATGCGGAGTGGGGAGATGGGAAAAGTGAGACGTATCCTTCGGGTCTGCTCTCCTTGATGTTGTCCCTGAAGAACCTCGCGCGCGTTGCACAACGCCGCAACACACTTCTCGACTGCGACAATAGCTTCTTTCTCTTTTTTTTTGTGCAGTCGCCCACTTTACGACGCTGCAGGCGACAGCTGACTTGCCAGTTTAACAGCTTACGCTTTCGATTCATGTATAGTAATACTACGCTTTCATGCGACTCGACACGTTCACCTCGTCTGTCGAGTGTCTTTTACCTTTTCCGATGGAGTGACAGCGTCATTGTTAGAGATATTACCAAAAAAAAAAGAACAGAATTCAGCTTCCGATTTTGGCTTCGCCAAGCCCCACCTCAACCCCACCTCAGCATCATCAAAGCCACCAACAAGCTCAAGATCAGGAGAAAGCTGCAAAAAAAAGGTCGTGAGCCCTCGAAGTAGCACCACAAATCGCAGTTGTGCACGTGCCTCACCCCTGCGCCAAACGCTTCGCTTCTCAGCTGCCCCACCCGAACCAGCCCTTCTTCTTTGCTTCCTTCGGCTTCGCACCTGACGTGTTGCCGTTACCGCCCTTCTGAGAAGCCGCCACCTCTGTCGCCGCCTCTTCCTCCATCGGGTAATCGACAAACGTGGAGGCGATGTCCACAAAGACCGGCTTGCACGGGGCGGCCTGGAAATCGGGAGGGAAACGCATAATGCCCTGCGCTACACCTACTGTCTCCTTCCCCGCCTCGTTCAAATACCCCACAGCAGCCGCAGTCGCAGACGATGCGGACGGCGACGTCGCCAAGACCACCTCCGCCGCCCCTTGCATCAACCGCTGCTCAATTAGCTCTTGCAGGTCGGCCACGTACGGCCCAGTGGCCTCCCGCAGCATCACCAGCGCATCGCGGTAGAAGGGCATCGCAGTGACCCACGCCTGCGACACACGCCAGCTCTCGCCAGTGTAGAAGAGCTGACCAGCGAGGCAGACCGCCTGCAGCGACTCCACGTCGTCGCGACCCGCCACGCCGGGCAGCAGCTCCATCTCCTCCACGCTGCCCGCGGCGGCCTGGTAGAGACGGACCACCTCGAGGGGCGAGGCGAACTGCGTCGGTGAAATTTCCGACTTCTTCTTCCGTTGCTGCTGCTGCTGCTGTTGGCTATGGTGCTTCATCACCTGCGGAGAGGAGGCGGCGGCGGACCCACTGCTCAACTGCCGGCCACCAGCCCGCAGCGTCCGCTCCGTCGCCTCAAAGCGCCGACTGTACAGCGCGGCGAGAAACAAGGTGCGCCGCAGCGTCTCGTGCGCGACGTGGAAGAGAATGCAATGGACGATGAGCTGATACTCCGTCTTGCCAACGCCTTCCTGCGCCGCGCGGAGGTCCTGCCGAGCGTGGGCAAGAGCGTCGTTGTAGTAGTTGATGCGCCGGTCCATCAAATCCAGCACGCGGTTCGACTGACCCACCGGCACCGGCCCGCGCGTCTCCCGCAGCTTCACCTCCGTCGCCTCCACCTCCACCGCCTGCGCCTCCCGTAGCGCGTCCTTCACCTTGATGCTGAACACGCTCAGCGTGCGGCCGTTCCACGACAGCTGCGAGGCTCCGCCGACCTGCAGAGATACCCCCTCGTCGCCCGTCGCACCGCCGTGAGTGTGAAAGATGGGGGCGGGGTGGTACGACGATGGGTCCTCGCCGAGGCGCTGCATGCAGTAGGTGGCGCGGTCATCGAGCTCGTTGAGCTTTGACGCAATCACGATCCACTGCGTCTCCGTGCTGGTCGAGCGCAGCGCCGCGTAGGTCTCCCGCGCGAGCAGAAACGCCTCCTTCGCCTCTTTGAACTTCCCATGGGCGGCGTAGCAACGGCCGGCGGTGTCTTTCAAGTAGGCGGTGCACTCCTGCTGCACCCGCTCCGACGCCACCGCGTTCGCCACCTCCGTCAACTTCGCGGCCCACTTCACGGACTTGTTGAGACGCTTGCGGTACTGATCCGCCGGCGCCACGCCGCCTTTTGGCTTGTTCGCGTCACCGCCGCGTGCTTCCTTCTTGGCCTGCAGTTGCACCTGCATCGCCTCCGCCTCGGCCCAGCAGCGCTCGGCGTAGAGGGCGAGCAGCATTAAATGTCGCGCATCCGTTGCGTTCTGCACCGTCACCTCCTTTCGTAAAAACCTCTTCTTGTCGTTCGACAGGCTCAGCTGCTGGCGCAAGGCGGCGAGGCGGTTGGTGGTGTAATGGTGGTAGCGCGTGTAGTCCTCGGCGCGCAGGCCGTGCTGCAGCTGCGTCTCCTTGATGAAGAGGGTGAGATCGAAGTCGATCGTCATCGTGAAATTGCGAGCGCCCCTGCAAACAAATTAGAAACAGTGTTTGGGGCGGGGGAGAGAGAACGAGACGAACACCCTCTACTAACTGAGCAGAAAGTCGCAACGTCCAAAAATAGCGTAAACGGTGTGCAGCCTATCCCGCTAGTCCTTATCTTGTTTGTATTCGGTCGACACTAAGCGGCAGGACAGAAGGTGATGACTCGTAAAAGATGAAAGGAATTGAATGAAGGTCGCAAAGAAAGGGGGAGGAAGACGGGGAGGTAGCAAGTAAATTGGAGTGCGAGGCAGAGAACAGAAGTGAAGGAGGCTTGAGGGCCGGCATCTGTTGCAGTCGTACTTCGACCAGCAGGCGCCATGTACGTGGCCGCGTGCTTGACAGTGTATCTTGGGTGTAAAATGGGCGTAGAAAGGCACGTACCGCCCGAACTGAGCTTTCTCGTTCGACGAGCCGCTCTTCGCTCCACCTCCGTCGACGAAGATCGCGCAAGAAGCGGTAGTAGCGGTTTTTGTGTGGGAGTTTGGCAGGTTGAAATGAGTGAAACCAACAAACGAAAAACAAAAGAGAATAGGGTGGCATCCGTATTGTGTGGTGCTTCGCACATGCAGAAGGAAGGGGACAGAGGGGTAGAAAGGGTGAAGAGGACGCGGAGAGGGGAGGCCACTTCTACCGCCCACCCCTGCTGCCTCTCTCCCTCGTCGCTCCTCCTTGACTTCCCTCTCTTGAAGGCTCGGCACCTTTTTTGGTTTCCGAGCGCATCACTGCGACAGACGAGCGTGCACCAGTGCAGTTCACTGCGCCTCAGCTCAGGGAGTCAAAGGAAGGCATGGTCACCTCACACACGGCTATTCGTTTCTTACTTGCTGGCGCCGAACTTGCGGATCTGCACCTGGAAGGCGAGGGAGTCGGCGAACTTGTGGCCCTTGCGGGTCAGGCGCTGGCCGGACTGCGCACCGGGCTCCACAAGGCCGAGCTTCGTCAGCGACTTGCAGGCCCAGTGAAGGGGACCCTTCGAGGAGGTCACGGCGTGCTCCGGGCGGCTGCCGTAGTTCTTCTTGTTACCGAAGCGCTTGCTGAGGCCGCCGTAGCCCACGCCGGGGCGCAGGTAGATGGCGCGCAGCACGGCGGCGCAGCGGATGTAGTACCAGTCCGGGTTCTGCGGGGCACGCTCGCGGCCGTGGGAGCTCTTCATGATCTCCGTGCAGTTCGGCACGAAGATCTTGCCCTCCTGCTTGAAGTGGCGGGCGGCCGTCTTGATCCAGCGCCACGCGCTGACGTCCTTCAGCGTCGCGCCCTTCTTCTTGCCGATGCGGCGGATCTTGTTCTTCGGAGCAACCATGATGCAAGATGAAAAAAACAAAACACCAATCTGCAGTGAGCGAATAAAATTTGGGTTGTGGTCGCAGTATTCATTATAGCGATTGAATAACGTGTGTGGAAGCGGAAAGGGAAAAGAGGGTAAAGAGAGACAATAAAGGCGTCAACGTTCGTTATTCCTCGGTCGTAAGCTGAACTTAGCAGCGCCAACTGAAATCTGCAAAGCAGGTCCTACAACTTGAATGGCTATTTTCTCCTTTCTTCGAACGGGGGAGCGGGAAGAACGTGAGACTTTCCAGTCGAGGGAAGATCTGCAGGATGCTGATAAGAACAGTCCATTCGTTTTTCTACGTGCGCACTTACGCACACGAGGCAGTTGTTGTTGTTGTTTGTTGTTTTGCTGAACGGTTGGCTTGTGATGGGTTGCGCGCGAGGCAACGCGGGCAGCGGCGGCATAGCTCCGATATATATATATATGTGGAACAGGAGAGCGGGAAAAGAAAAAGCAAACAAATAATCCCGTTTCATAGCATTTAATTCAGAGAAGAAAAACAAAGATGTAGCGGTGCGCCCCGCGTTCATTTTAACCAAAAAAAAAGCCATAAACAAGCAAGAAAGTGAAGTGTAGATTAGACAAACGGGGAGCATAGATAATGACGCACTCGCGCGAGACCCAAAAGCGATGCGAGAGGAACTCAACACATCGACAGGAGAGGTCATCTATATACGCATGTAAATCTACATACATATAATCAAAAGGAGTCCTATTGAAAGGAAAGCAAGAAAGCAGAAGAAAAAGAATAAGTAGACTTGAACTGGAGCGCAGAACGGAAACAAAAAGCAGATTGTTTTTCGAGGTTGATAGCGATAGGGCAGCCAGGCAGCAAACCTGCAAAAATAGAAACGCCAAAAGACAACAGTTCGCGAGAAGTAGAGACGGCGGGTGAAAAGAAGTTTGTAAGACGCATCTCTTACCTCCATTCTCGTTCAACACATACGCGCGCCACCCTCCAGCAATGCATTTTCGTGCAGCATCATCCGGCAATACTCTGTGCGCGTCTCGACAACGCACCACCACCACCACAGCAGGTTAGCGAAGAAACCGCAGCTGCTACGCCGTCGCGAGGGACTTTGTCGTCGTCTCCTCGTGGCGGGTGCGACAATGATGTGCATGGAAAGAGAAGGACTGTGCGTGGACAAACTCGGCTGAGACACTCTCACCGCTATGCTCAGCTGAGATCCCTTTTTCATCATTTCCGGGTGACCTGTTCCCTGCGCCAGGAAGGGTGATTTACCGATTTGACGAGCCAAAGTAGGCTTCCAACACAGGGTTGTTCACCACGTTGCGGTTTGGCGGCTGATAGGGACGCGCTTGACTGCTGCTGCTGCTGTTGGCGGCACCGTTCGCAACCGCACCACTCCCACCTCCGCCTCCGCCAGCCGCGTAGAGGTTGCCGCCGCTCGCACTATTCTCCCGTTTCCCGAGCCTCACCTGAGACCCCGGCGTCGACAAGACCCGCTTGAAACTGTCGTAGGTTTTGAACTCCAGCTGGATTTGGCTGCCGCGGCTCTGCGCAGCGCCACGCAACATCGCAATGGCACCCTTGTTCCCGTTCATGCCGCAGTAATTCGGTGCGGAGAAGATGGTGATCACTAGGCGCTCCTGCGTCCACTGGTAGCCCGCCTTCACGCACTGGTGGGCGCGCATGATGAACTGCATCCCCTGCGACTCCGACAGCGCCGCCTCCCGTTTCACCGTGGCGGTGGACGAGGTCAGAGGGAAGCTCGGCCCGTCGCCCCCGCCCTCGTCTTCGTTCTCCTCGCGTGCGTGACGGTGCGGGGGCACATAGCCGTAATTCGCGTCTAGAAACCGCCGTGTCACGTCGGGGCCGAAACTGTAGCCGCAGCCCCGCACGTTCGTCCGACACCCCGACTGCGATTCTGACGGGTCTGACCAGAGCAGGCCATCGATGATTTGGTGGGGCCCGCGTCGTGCGACCGGGCTCGTGCACATCTCCTGTGGCGACGGCTCAGGGCTGCTGCGTGAGCTGCAGGTGTTGCTGCTGCACGCGGAGGTCGTCGTCTCGCACTTCTCGGAGCCGTAGGTCTCGCGACGTACGCGGCGCAGTTGCGAGATGCGGTGCAGTGCCGGACTCAGCCCTCCGTGGGCGCAGAAGAAACGACCGGCGCTGCAACTCACCACGGCGGCGAGGGGCAGCCAACAAAATGTGGCGTTGAAAGACATCCACGCATCCACCGCGCCGTCAACGTTAAAAAGAGAGCCGAAATTGGGGCAGATCAGCGAGCCAGAGGAGCCCGTGGGGTCCTCTTCGCACGCTACATTCCGAATACTTTGTGTTTGCCCCACAGCATTGCCGTCATCGTCCTCGTCGCTGTCCGCCCTCCCCTCCCCGTCGCAGCTGTTTCTGCTCAACGTGCGTTGAATGAGCGACTCCGTCCCGCTCAGCATCAGCTCCCCTTCGCTGCGCAGCACAACAAAGAGTTTTGCTCGACACTCGCTGTAAAAGCCGTAGAGACGGCTCGTCTGCGCCTCCTCGTGATTGCCGCGAAGGAGAAAAACGTGCTGAGGGTACTCAATCTTCAGCGCCAGCAACAGCACAATCACCTCAACGCTGCGCGGGCCGCGGTCGACGTAGTCGCCGAGAAACAAAAAGCGAATGGTCTTGTCCGGCTGCGAGGCGAACTCGCTGCTGTTCACGCGATTCCACGAGGCAGCGGGGGCCGGCGAGCGCGGGACCCCACCGCTCTCCTCACCGCCGGTTTCCATACACACCTCCGGCGACGAGGAGGTCACCGCCGAGGAGTCTCGGACCGGTGCTGATTTGCTGAGCTGCACCGACAACACACTGTGAAGTAAATCGTTGAACTGTCCGTGGATGTCGCCCACAAGCACCAATTCATCATTGTCGCTGACATCTACATCCAGCACGGTCGGCTCCTTTGTTAAGATCTCGCGCGCGTCGCGGCACAACTCGATTGCCTCCACGGCCCCGCCACGCAAGACGTCCATTATATCGATGTTGTTGATGTACGACGAGTCGTAGTAGCCCGCGATGAGCTCTGATATGACCCGAATGTACTTGTTGCGCGCCGGAAAGACCACTTTAGGGTCGTAGAGGTAGTACAGCACATCCTCCGGAGACGACATCTTTGGTTTCCCTTATTGCTTTCGCAATCTATCGCGCTATATATATATAGAGAGAGAGAGAGAGAAAATGTACTTCCAGTACAATCTGCTGGAAATGAGAAAGTGGTAATGCACCGCAAAAACAAAAAAAGACAGAGCTCTCCCTTCTTTACGCACTTATTATCGACTTTATTGAGCGGTGCAGCGTGGATAAGCCAGAGGATTTCTCCGTCTCGTTTCCTCTCTATTCGGAACAAACAAAAGGAGTGTACTTATGCAGTTATTTTCTTCGATATATAGATATAATTATGATGAATTATTGTAAATCGTAGATTACCATCGACATGCACACGCAGCAAAACTCTCAAAGGAGGAGGGGGGAGCGCAAACAAAGTAATTTGTACTTTTCTTTTTTGTTTTTGAAAACAGCAATGAACGACGAAATAATCAGGCGGGACTGCAAGGCAGATGAGATGCTGCAGCAACACTTTAAGACACACCACCCGTCGAATTACACAGTAGGCTATGCGTCCTTTTACTTTCTCTTCCAAGACAGTTGAACTATGAATGAGGAAGAATCTACGCTGCTTTCTCGTCGCTCGGTTTTTCTTGACGGTAACACGACGGTGCAAGGATGCCGTGACCCGTTTGGAGACGAAGGGGAGGGGGGAGAGTGAAGAGTGAAGAGGTGGTCGGGCTGAATGGCAGAAAGCGGGCAGCATGCGCAGCGGATTTGTGCAGCGATGACTGAGGACTGGCTGGGAAAGGGAACAGCGACCCTCGACATGAAGAAGAGTCGCTGCGCAACACACAACCAGGTCGCCCAGTTCGCTGAGCCAGCGCATCAGAAATGAATCCGTTTTTCTGTGTTTGCTGTTGATGTGGTTGCTCGTTATGCATCGCCACGATTAATTGGAGTGTGTGTTGAGCTCAGCAAGTCGCATTTCTTTTCTGGACGTAGCGCACACGCAGTGGAACGCGCGCGTGTGCGATACGCCGCAAAAAACAGCCAGATAGAATCATCCAAACGAGCACCTGCAGATACCTTTTCGTTTTTCTTTCTTTCTTCTCTTTTGGGGGGTAGCTGACAATGTGAAACGATGAGCAGAAGTGACGCAAAGGAAAAAAAGAATAATAATAATAATAATGATAAGTCAAGGTGTGCATTTCGAACAATTCTGAACTGCGCCGTCACACACACGCGCACACACACACACACATCTCCCCGCCTTCGGTACACCGTTAGATGCGGCGTGTCCTGCCTGTGTATGCCTGTTTGCCCAATGCAATTTAAACATAACACACGCATCACCACAAGAGTATCGCAAGTTCTCCACCAGCACAACGCAACGAAAAGACGCGAAACAAAGAAAAAGAAAAAATCGATTACATAAATTCACAGATGGACCAAAAAATCAGCACAGCTGAGAAGCTAAACGAAACAAGATCCGATGCATTCCTCTCGATCAAGCATGCGGCGTCACTCCCCAGAGCTGCAGGTGCCCTGTCTCGCGTGATCTAACGAAAGCACGTGAACGCGGTACTCGTGTAGCTGACGACGGGACGGTCGGAGGCGATGCAGGTGCAACGCCGCAAGGTCCACAGGCGGCGGCTCCGCTTTTCTATGCGCCACGGCAATGCGTAACTTCGCCAGCAGGTCTGCCGCCTCCGAAATTGGCTTCGTTGTCTCGCTTCCGAACTTGGTGGGAGAAGGTGAGTAGGATTCTTCGCTGTCTTTTTCTTCCTCTTCCTCTTCTTTCTCCTCCGTTTTCTCGCGTTTCTCATCATCGTCTGCGGTTTTCGACACGTCCTCGTCGGTGCTGTGTGTGGTGGAGGGGGAACCCTCCCCGTCGGAAGTCGGGGCGTCGTCGTCCTCCTCCTCGCTGCTAGTCTCCCTGCGTTTGTCAGCCACCGGGATCGAGGGCGGCGTCCGCGCAGCGTCGCGAGGCAGCGGCGAAAGAGACGATCGTGCAGCACGGGGTGGTGGATGCGTTGCCGGAGCCGGTGGGGGATGCGCAACCCTATTGACCTTCTTTTCCTCTTTAAGAAGCTCTTCTGGAACCTGCAAGGGTCCGGAGAGAAAAGACGCAGCAGAGCTGCGAGCAGCGAGACTTGTAGAGGGCGATGGCGACTGATGAGGAGCCCGCGATGACCCTGGAATAGAATGGATGCCGTCAGCGTCGGAGAAGAGACTTGCGCTGCCATATACACGCGAGTCAAGTTGGCTAAGCATCGATGTAACCCACAGAGCTTTCGACGAACCAGGCTGCACGCCGCATAACAACAGCGTCTCCTCCGCTGTCAGGGCCACTTCCTCCTCTTTTGCGACTGCTTGCCCTTCGCTCAGTTGCTGCTTGCTGACGGGACTTCGAGTGCCATCACGGCGCATGGTAGGCCTACGCCTGTATCGGTTCGGCTGCTGTATGTCGGTTTGAATGCCGCTCTTCGGTGCAGCCGTTCTCGAAGGCCTCCGGGGTGACACGGCTGCGGCAGCACCAACAGCCTTTACCATCCCCAAATCCAAATTTACCGCCGAGTCATTCGTTGACCGACGCGGCGTTCTTTTGCCTTCCTGCGCGCGAGCCGAGCGCGGTGTCCCCGCTGGCGCGACCGCCGCCACCGACGGTCGTCTCTGCCTCTTGGGTGGCGTCAGCAGATTCTCCTGCTGCGGTGGCTTCCGTTGAGGCGAAACCATCTTTCGCACAGGGGCAATCTGCGGTAGAAAAGAGTCAGCGTCCAGCGATGGATTGGACGCCGCCGTGCTCGCACGTGCCTTGGGAACTCTATTGTTGCTATTAAAATCACTGCTCCGGTGAGGGCTGCGGTTGCCGATGCGTCCGCGCTCGTCGAGGGGCGTGGAGGAGAAGGTTGCTGGTCGTTTTTGGACCATTCGCGTGGGGGCAGACCACCGAAACGGAGAAAAAGAGGGGGATAAATAGGATAACCGTGTGGGACTGCAAGCCTTGGGCTGAGTAAAGGAATGTGTCTGCTATAAGTTCTTTTTTAAGGAGGGGGGGGAATATAAAGTGTGTCTTCGTCAAGAGGTACGCCGTGGCCGTCGCTCGAACTTCCACGTTTCTATCGCGTTATGTATCTGAGCGGAATGCCAACCTTGTATGTGGGAGCAGCTGAGGGACACAGCGTAGAGCAGGTTTTTGTTTTTCCTTGCTCTTGGAGCACAGATTTTAGAAAAAGAAAAAGGACTAAAGAAGACAAGCAGCTGATGATATTCTGCTTTTATTCTTAATCGTGCGCCTCAAAGCTCGTTGGGGCGTCGATGTGCTCAATGCGGCACCTGGCGAAGGGGAGGAAGGGGGGGAAAGGGGGGGGGAGAAGAGGAGAAGAAGAAAAGAAGAGGAAAAGAGTTTGTAGATGAGTGCGTTCTTTTACCTTTGTTGTGTCACGTGGCGACCACGCAAAAGACCGTAGCGATCAGCTCAGTGGGGCGTGTACGCCCCAGCTTTTCTTGTTTCACCGCTCTCCATTGCGCAAACCTTGCTACGATGAAGGTAGATGCGAGACCCTTCTTCACTAGGAGAAGAAAGAGAAAGAGAAAAAATACATCCTTCACGCGCAATCTCACCATCGCGCGAGCTACGAAGAACGGGAGCTGCCAAACATACAGAGCTTCAAATTGATTCTTTAATTTAGTGTTCCTTGTTGTTTATGTTGGGATAGTACATTCATGGACAATGCAAAAAGTGTGGCGTTGACGCCGGTTAGCTATACGTTACATCTGCATCAGGGACTACGGCTGATGCGCTCGCTTCGCTCCGACAAACACTTCGCTTTCTCGGAACAGCCGAGAAAAAAAAAAGGAAGGTGCGAAGACCAACGTCGCAAGCCGCGACAGACAATAAAAAGGGAGGAGGCGGTGACATGTATATATATTGGATGTAAACCACCATCGCAGTGATGAACTGCGGCGTGCTGAAAAAACGGCTGTGAGGTGCGGTGACTATTCGTTGTCTTCCTCCTCCTCCTCCTCGCCCTCCTCCGCTTCTTGACGCCGCCGCTCCTCCCGTGCCAGCCGCTTCGCCGCTGCCCGTGCCAGCCGCGCCTTCTCCTTCTCCTCCGCGTCGTAGTCGCGCATCACGGCGTTCCGCACCACCACGGCGTTCTCCAGGACACGGGCCCACTTCACACGATTGGCGCCTGTCGCCATAATCAAGTCGTTCGCCGCCGTTACCCCAGCCGGTGCACCGCCGCCAGCAACGCTGGACATCATGCTGTACCGCAGCGGCTGACCAGCGAGGTAGAAACGCATCTGTGGGGTACTGCGCACCTCTAACAACGCCAGCAGTTCGTAGAGCTGGCGATGCGCCGTCTGGTGCAGCTGCGCGATCTCGTGCGGGGTCGGCTTCTTGTTCAGCACGCTGAAGGCTGGATCGGCCGCCATCAAAACGTCAATGCAGGTCTCCTCCGCAGCGCAGGCGCAGACGTGAAAGAAGCGGACGTGGCGGCGCTGCACGGCGGTGGCCGCCTTGCGCACGAGGTGCTCCTCGAAGTCCCGATAAAAGTGCCCGCCGGAGGCGCCCCCGGTGTTGCACGCGCCGTCCTCGCTGCCGCCCTCCTCCTCGTCTCCCTCCGCTTCCTCTCCCTCCTCCTCCGCACCGTCCTCATCGACAGTCCCATCTGCGTTCCGCGGCGGCGCCTTCGGGTACGGAATGCGTCGAATACCGCACTGACGGCATATCGTGCTGCTGACGAGGACGCAACACAAATTGGCGGTATCTTGGCCGACCTTGTCGTTGAAATCTTGCTTGTTGAGCAGCATCGTTATTTGCTCCTGAGGCAGCACCTCCACGACGCTCCCCGCATCCGAGCCGTCCTCCTGCATTATGCACGTGCTAACGATGTTGTGTTGTAAACCGTTTCTGTGGCGCCGCGTGAAATGGGGGAAAAGAAACGCTGCCTTCTTTTAGTTGTGCACGTGTGATGCCGTCGGGCAGAGAAAGAAAAAAAAAAAAGAACAGCTGACGCTAAAAGCTGTCATTGAAGTTGATGGGGAGAGAGAGAGGAAAACGAAAAAAAGGAAAGGAAAGCTCAAGTGAAAGCGAACGCCTCAATCAATCATGCGCAAACGACCACCTTCGTTGCAATCGGAAGAGAGATCAAAATGCCTGCCTGCGTGGTCCACGACCAAGAGAGCAGGAAGCAGACAGAGAGAGCACAGTAGCCGAAAACGGCCGAGCGTCTCTCCCAGCGACATTGCCGCTCTAAACAAAGGGCAGTCACATCGAGCTGAATCAGAGAGAAATGAGGGTGAGATCGCACAGGACCTCGCATCACCAAGTCACAAGGTAGCTGCGAACGCACGTCACTGACCCTTATCCAGCCGGAAGTTGCTGTGGTGGTGGCCCTGAAGTTATTTCAGAGACGTTCGCCTCGGTTTATGCGACCATAAAAGAGAAAGAAGATTATGGTAGAGAATAGTTAGATTGTTAATCGACAAAAGGAAGGAAAGAGTGTGCTCTAAGCAATCCATTAAACAGCACCAATGCGTTTCTTTTTTTTTTTTGACTTTCCTTAGAAGCGAGGCTTTCGCTGCCGCATCGTGTACTTCGAGTCTGCCGACGTCGTGTAACCGCGACGCCGGCGCTCCTCTTTCTTCAGCAGCACCCAATCGCGCGAGCCGGTCTCTGGGCGGTTGTCCTTGCGGCGTCGCTTATGCCCATGCGCGGAGGACGCGCGTGCCCGCTTGTGGTGGTGGTCCGTGTCCCGGCCACCGACGTGGACACGCTTGCGGCTGTGTGGGTCACGAAACGGACCTCCCGCGCCGTCATCGTCGTCATCGTCACTGCCGTGGTACTCCTCCTCCCCCTCGTACTCGGAGTCCTCCTCGTCTGCGTCGTCTTCCGCCTCGGTGGTCAGGGCAGGCGGAGGCACAAAACCGCCCGCCACCTGACCTGCCTGCAGCACCAAGTAATACTTCTTCGCGCGCGCCGAGTTGGGGTAGTCAACCACTACGCCGCCGTTAAACCCGCACTTCATCGCGGCGTGGGTGATCATGTGCACCTGCGTGGGATCACTCGGGTAGAACTGAAGGACCGCCTTCGCACCGCGGCGCAGAGAATTGTAGAGGGACTGAAAGAGCGCCAGCAGGCGTCGCTGAGGGACTTCCCCTTTTTTGGTACTGTGGCAGAGCCACTGGAGCACGGAGATGGAGATGCAGCCGTCGAAGGTGCCGGGGCGAAAGGGCAGACCCGCACCGATGTCATTGCGAAGGACCTCCACGACGCGTGGCCCCGACATCAGCCCATCCATTTCCTCTCCCTCCTGCCAAGTCTCTCCTTGTCCTTCCGCGCTATCGTCGACATCCTTGTCGGTCCCTTCCTCATCCCTTTCGTCATCCTCCCCCTCATTGTCCTCCTCTTCCGAGGTGATGAGGCCCCACTTCACGTGACTCGTGTCCATGCGCAAGTTGCTGCTACTCGTCAGCGTCGACTCCGCCTTTTTCGCCGCTTGCCGTTGCGCCTCGCCCATGTCGTAATAGTTCAGCTCATCCTCTTTCGCGATGCGTAGCATGTCCATGCTGATATCCACCCCCATCCAGGCGTGGCCCTGCTCAGTGAGCACATCACCACTCAGGCCACTGCCGCAGCCGATGTCGAGAAGCAGAGCGGAGCGGTTGAGTCCGGTCGGGGCTTCGTCTTTTGGCAAGCTGAGCAGCTCGAGGGCGCGCAGTGTCATGTCACGCTGAATCTTCCGCACACGGGTGCTCACGGTGTACTTGCGCGCTTCAGAGGCGTTGTAGAACACCTCCGGCGGGTTCTCCAGCTCGGGACGCGTAGCGGGCATTGAACTTCACCACGTAGGCTCGGGGCTCCTTCCTTCTTCGGCTCTCTCTTTAGAAGATCGAAGCTTTCGACTGGGCGCCGCCGTCGTCGTGGTGTGCTCGGTGTTTCTTCCTCTTTTAAGACAGGTCGCTCCACGCTTGGTATGCGGAGTACACAGACAAAAAAAGAGAAAAAAGAGCGCACTGCACGGGAGAGACCTGTCGATGGCTCTCCTCAACGTTATTCCCCGTCAAACAAAAAAAGGCACAAAAACCCTTGAGAAAAGGGAAAAAGATGAAGTCATAACGATTTCAGTCAGCGGGAGGGTGTAGGGAGGGCCAGTGAGGGAGAGAGAGAGAATGTGTTGGATAGAGCCGCGCTTCTCCCGATACAGCAGCGAGCCAGACCACCTTCATTTCTTTACTTCCAACGCTGAAGTGCTGCGGGAGAGAGAGAGAGAAGGGCATCCACCATGCACGTGCATTCATACTATCATGATGATTATTATTATTATTTGGCTTTTAACCGCATCTCCTCTGCCCCACGCCGTAACGCGGCGTCGCAAGAAATACGTCCCGTGTGCGCAGCCCAGGCTACCTGCCTACTCGCACGGTACGTCAGTTTCCGGGGCTCCAATCGCTGCGTGGAGTTACGCGTTTTGAGTGCGTAGCTCAGAACAAAAAAAAAAATAAAGAGGAGGGAGGCTGTAAATAGCCATCCCGCTCTTTTCTGGTGTAACGAACCTCGTGCTGGAGTTTTCTGACTGCTTTTTCTTTAAGATCTCAGAGAGCCACAAAGGAGCACTCAAAGACAAGGAACTGCATTGGGAAAAAAAAAAACAGAAACACGTGGGGCGAAAAAAACTTTGAAACCTCAAAACGAAGGAGAACGCGTTGAAACGATCCGCAGATATAAAGTGAAAAAAAAAAGAAGAAAAGGAAAAGAGAGTCTTCAGATCTGCTGGCAAAAGCAAAGAAACAGCATGCGACGGAGAAGCACCAGTCAGTTGTCGGTAGAAGCTTTCTTTTTGCGGATTTCGCTCACATAGACGGGTAGCGCAGGAGCACCGTCCATACGCTTCGAAGCTCGAGTGCAAAAAGCAAAAACAAAAGAGTTTCATTTTTTTCAAAGAAGTGCGAGAAAGGAAATTCCAGTGAAAAACCAAGTGCGTTAGTTACTTAATTAACCTGCTTGGAAAGTGTACATGATGGAACGATGATTTCACAGCTTTACAAGAAAAAATCGCTGTTGATCCTCAGCTCAACTTCCCTTCCTCTTTTTTCCCTCGAAGACCCATAAAACAAACAAAACAAAAAAGAAGATCTACGAGAAGAAGAAAAAAAGAAAAAAGTTAAAAGCTGTTGGCAGTAACACTAGAATGAAAAAAAGAAAGCGTCAAAGAAATTAGAAAACGTTAAGGAACCGTATTCGGGTAACTGTGATTAACGGCGGCGTGCAATATGCCTCGAACACGAGAAGCATACGATGAAACAAGGAAACTCCGAAGAGCGCGTTAAGTTCGTCCTCTCACTCACACACACATATACGTGAGCACAAGAGAATACAAAACAATGCGCTACTCAATCTTTCTTTTTCAAGTGGTCACGTCGCACTTCACTTCTGCTTCTTTGAGTGTCAACAGCGAAATTGCACGTCACTGCCGAGTCATTTTTTTTTTGCCGTGAGTTTCCCTTCTCGAACAGCGTTCTCAGCGATGATAAAAACGGCGTTGCCTTTCTTTTTCTCTTCTCATCATTCATCGCAAAGTAACACAAAGTGTGTCCCAGTTCCGGTAACGCTCACTGCCGTTTAAGTATTCTTCTGATGCGTGTTTCCCGTGTCAGTTTTAGGCATTTTGTTTTGTCCGCCTGTCGCCATTGTCGACCCTTTTTCTTTCTCTCTTCTTGTAGGTCAGCTTGAGTGGCCTACCTGAGATCAGCAATCCAGAAAACGAAGAAAAAAAAGGCGACTTCTGTTATTGCTGAGTACTGCCTTACCTTTCACATAACCATTTCCGCGCTGCGACCCGCTTATTCTTTATATATTTATATGCAAGCGAATATTTGTGTGTATGGAAATAGTAGTGCAGGTGAGAACGGAGGAGCGGGCAAAGAGAGGCGTCAAAGACAGATATATAGAGATAAATGTGTTATTTTTTTTTTAGAAGTAAAAAGACAAAAGTAAAACAGGAATAGCAACTACAAGGTGGTTTTCTACTAGATAAACTTTTTTGACAGGAGTAGACTGCGTTTTGCGGTTGTTTGTTTGTTTTTCATGCTCAACTTGGTGCCGTTCTCGAGGATCGCATGAACATCATGCAACAGTTGCCCCAGGCAGGAAAAGAAAAAACAAACAAACAAAAACGAGTTGAATTACGCCCATCACTTTTCCCTCACTCTCTGCGCGCAAACCAGACGTCGCGAGTGCCACCCCGTCCTCCTAGGAAGTAAAATGAGAATAAAAGAAACTACAGCGAAAACGACAGGAAAAAAAAACGCAGCGAAGCCGCCAGTCTATATGGTTGTGCCGCAGCTCACGTTCTTCTTCGCCGTGCAGGCAGCAACGCGTCTGGTCACACAGACAAATACCAAACGTTGAAGCTGCCATCAAAAGGAAAGAAAAAAATGACTATCACGTGATAAAAGGAGCGATAAACAGCATCGAAGAAAGAGCCTGAAGAGGTTTTTGTCTTTTTTGTTTTTTTTTCTATTTGAGATTGAGCCCTATTGAAGGACTTTTTTTTGTTCCACACAGAGTTGTCTTTGATGGTGTCCTCCTTCGGAAGAGAAAAGGGAAATAAACAAAGACTTCGACCAGGTGGTGGATTTGAACAGAAGTGCAAAAGAAAGCGGATTTGGGGTTAAAAACAGTACCGCTACAATAACAGAAAGGAGGAAGAAAAAACAGGGGGGGATGAAAAGCCAAACAAACCAGAAAAAAAAACGCCTGGGCGGCACACAAGAATGATAAGTGGGAAAAGAGTTGTACGCGAACGTTATAACAGATGAACGGCCCACAACAATTTGCTCACTTCCATCTTGTGTGCGTTGAGGCAAACGTAAAAATAAAAGTAATATAAGTGGAGTAGAAGAAAAAGAAAAGGGACAGAAAAGACAAAACAAAAAAAAGAGAACCGAAAAAAAAGAGGTGAAAACAATATGCACGTCTTCTCTTTCTCCTTTCATTGATGCTTAGTTTCTTTTGGCTTATGTAACAGCGTAAACGATGCTTGCCGCACGTATGAAGATACGAACTTATTTGGGTCAAAATGAGTAGCTTGCCCTACGGTCAAGTCCTCTTTTCTCCTTCTCCTTCTTCTGCCCTTCCGTAAAACGGTTATGCTTGGCGTAGCTCTGCACCAACAGGGGTGACTGACAGCATTCATTCCTCTTCGAACTCTTCTGTGATGTAAAGTGCATAAACAATATAGACAACAAAATCACAAGTTGAACACGTCTGGTAGCCCACGGCAGCAGATGAAGCAATAAAACACATATAAATATGTATAGGGAGAGAGAGAAGGAAGAACCTCCAGAAAAGAGCAACTCGAACGCCTTGAAAACGGGGGTAATAGAAGACGGGCTCACCGTCTCAAAAAGGTCAAAAAAAAAGTGGGTACTTCTCCAATGCACACACTGGCACGCACACGAAGCACAAGCGCGCATGTTGCACACCCGTCACATCAAGTGTTTTTTTTAATTCTTTTTTCTTTGCCAGCTGTACCACAACATCGCATTTTATTTTCCTATCGCGCAACGCGACCGCAGTTCGCTGGCTACGTCAAGACACACGCACACGCATTCACACAAGAGAAGCGAAAAGACAAGAACGTACACCAATAATATTAAAAAGAATATAAGAAAAGAAGAAGAAAAATACGAGAGCACAACGACGTTTGGAAAAACGACAGCAACCACAACAAAGACAAAAACAACACGCGTGCAAGAGAGCGAAGTGGAGAAGGTCCATCCAGCATCCAACGCAGCTGACTGATCAAAGGAGAAAGAGGAATTGTATCATTATCATTTACTAGAGCTCAGCTTGCAAAAAAAAAAAGGAGAAGCAAAGACAGTCTATAGAGAAAGACAAGGAGGAACAAAACACATCCCACGTGAAGAGAACACGTCCGATCGCCGGGAAAAGACGAGAGCAAGAGACGGTTGCGGCTCTTTACATCACCTGCGCATGGGTAAGTGTCTTATATATATTCCTTTCCACCCTTTTTGGGTCCGAGATAGCCCATATATAAACGGCCCTCTTCCTTTATTCTTCAGTGAACAAACGATTTGTTGAGTTGCTTGCGTGTGGAATTGAAAGGAAAAGAGTTTCTTTTACCCCTGTGATCGGTCTCTTCTTACAGAAGCACACCGTGACGTCAGTCCAAACACCACACGCAGGAAAGCACCCACACGCGCGTGCGGTTGCACGATGACTCAATTCGCAAACACAGTCACCTCCAACACCACAAATCAACTTGTAGACTTTACCTTGAGAACTTGAGTTTCGATTTCACATACGTTCCTTTATTATTATTATTATTATTATTTCCTTTCCGAGCGATGTTGGGGCATAAGTTAGATTTTATAAGCCTCGCATCGTCGCCGTCTCCTTCGCGCATGACTCTTTTCGTCCGCTACCCGTTTCTTCTTCTCTTTGAACAGGGACTGTGAAACAGTAGAATATATACGTGTCCAGCACGCTGCTCTCTATCACCGTTGCTCAGCACCTTTCGCGGGAAGCCTTCCGTGGCTGGGGGGGTTCTGGAAAGAAAGAAAAACCCGACAAAAAAAGGGGCGGCGAAAGCGTGCGGAATTCAAGAAGAGGCGCGCACAGAGAAGGAAAAGAAAAAAGAAGGTGAACGGCGAAAAGCACGAAAACAAAACACACACACGCGCGAACGCTAAAAGAGAAGGGGGGAGAAAAAAGCAGTCGGTGCATCACGCTGTGCGTTGCTGCGCTTCACTTCCTGATGCGGAGCGTGCGTAGGCGGTTATGCCACTTACGGAGGCTCCAAAAATGCTCGTTTGTGAAAAGACGAAAACTGGCTAATGCAGCCATACTTCAACGTTTCGTGCTTAAAAGGTTTTATTATTCTTCTGCTTTCTGCTATAATTCAGAGAAGCTCTTTTGCCGAGAACATCATCGGATGGCGCACTCCACACGATGCTCCTAAGCATCTAGCAAGTGTGAAACAATGCGAGCTCTCACGTACGAAGGTCTAGAAGAGGGCTTCACTACCGAGGCTTTTACGACCAGGATATGAACGGTCGGCTGGGGAGGAAAGAGAACAAAAAAGAAAAACGCGAATGCTGGCCGCTCGCGGCACCTGTGAAACACACTGAGAACAAAAAACAACAACGAAGAGAAACGGAAACAAAAATCGGGCATGAATATAAATAGGAAATATTGGGGCGCCAAACGTACTCATGAATATTGGAGCTACACAAGTATAGAAGAGGTCGGTTTTTCGTTTTCCTTTCCCTCATTTTTTTCCCCCCACTGCTCGCCGTACCGAAGAAAGAAAGAACGAAGAGTTTGGTGTTTCATCGATGTCGCATAACACGGAATGAAATCGTTACTTAGGTGCGCCTACGAACACTCCTTCAAAAACAAAAAAAAAACAGCGGGGAAATGAAAACCGTATTTAGGAGTGAATGAGGAGAAAACCTCTCGCATCTGAGTTGCGAGAACGGAAGACGGGATGGAAGACGTTGCAACAAGACACTCCAGAAGAAGTACTTGCCAGAAAACAACAGGTAAAAACGAAAAGCAAGAGAAAAAACGTTAAAGCTGGAGACGATAAATCAGCGGAGAAGTCGAAGAAGAAAGGAAGACAGAGCCACAATTTACACTTTCGTTTCTTCCATTTGAGGAGTGATTCTTTTTTTTTTTTGATGATGATACTCCAGCCAACATTTACTGTCTCAAATCTATACATATATGTGTGTGTTTGTAAAGATAAAAGAAAATGTGTAAATATATACACACAAGAAAACATGAAGGAGGAGATTAAAAGAAAGAAGGAAAAAGTGCTTGCCCATTGCAGCCTACAAATGATTCTCGATCGCTTGAGTGCTGAAAAAACGCGGCTTCCGCTTCTCGGCCCGTTTTATTTTATTCCTTTAGAAAAGACCATCGAAAAGAGAAAAAAAAGCTTAACATATCAGCAGGAACAAATACTGGCAAGCCTAAAAAAAAAAAAAGATAGTAAAACGAATGATAATGCAAAAGAAAAGGGAAAAAGTCTACGCCGCCTTCGGCTTCGGCACGGGGCGACCCGAGGTGCGGTCCACGTTGCAACACACCACCTTGCGTACGACACGGGTCGAGGAAGACGGCACTGGCTGCTGCTGCGACGGCGACGCGGCGCGCTCCGGCGACGACGGCCGCGGCGACTGCGACTCCGTCGGTCGCACCGGTTTGGCACCGCAGGGCGACTTGTTCGGTGTCGAGATGAGACTGAGCATTTCGAGGAGGTTGCGCGTGGTCTCACCGAGGGTGGAGGGCTTCTGGCCAGCGGTGCGTGTGCAAACCGGCGTGTTCATCAGGCTTGCCGTTGGCGTTGCCTCCGTCGCCACGGCCTCCGCGTCGCCGTAGCACGCGTAGAAGGTGTCCTCCGGGGTGCAGGGGCTGTTCAGTAGGCACGGGGAGTAGGGGTCGTTGCGGCGCGGCGTCGCCGGCGTGAAGGGCTTTGCAAAGACATGCACGTCGAGGGCAGAGGGGCGGTGCTCCTCCAGCGACACGGACGCCAGCGTTGTCGCGACGGTACGAGCGTTCACCTTTCGGGTGCCGCCGACCACGCGCTCACGCCGCGCAGACGGCGTCTTCTCCGTTGCGTCGACAGAAGCAACGACATGGCTGACCTGCGTGGGGCTGCTGCGCGCGTTCCTCCGTTGGCTGGGCGCGATGGCGCTGACGCTGACCTTGTGGAGCAGGAGGGCCTTGTCGTTGCTGTTGCGGATGTTTTCCGCGTTGTCGACGGCGAGCGTGCAGTCCGACAGCGGACACGTAACAGGGGCGATGCGACTCATTTTCACTGCGTTGCTTCGTTTTGTCGCTCAGTCAAACAGCAGGAAACACACGCACACACACGCACGACGCAAAGACGGACGGAGAGTGCTGAGATAGAAAGGCGGAAGTGCGACGAGCAAAGCAGGCGCAACGTGGAGGCTCGCAAAACAAACCGTATTGTACCGAGGGGGGGGGGGAAGAAACCAAAAAAGAGACGAAAAAAAATTAAATCGGCTAGTTCGCTCGTAATGAGAAAGTTGATAAAAGGATAGATTAGCGAGCAAATGAAAAATATAGATGTCTCAAAAGGAGAAAACGATAAATCGTATGTTTTGAAGAAAACTTCTACGTCTTTATCTGTTAGGTAAAGTCTCGCTTTCCCTTTTCTCTTCTCTTCTGATAAAGCGCGTGGGAGGATGCAGTTTCTGCAGTTTTTCCTCTTTATGTAGAGATGGAGATTCTTTGAAAGAAGAAAAAGAAGTTGCCTTTCTCTGTCAAGAAGAAAACTATGTCTGCTTTGTGTGGCTGTAATTGCAGGAGAAGAGACTAGAAGTTGTGCACTCGACGCGTGTGAAGGAAAATGGGAAAAAAGAAACGTTAAAATCTGTTTCGTGTGCATGTAATTGTTTGTGTGTGTGTGTGTGTATATGGATGTGTAACGGTGAAGACGTGTGTGAGTGCGTGGGTGCGAGTGTGACAAACGAAGCGCCGTCGAAGACACAAAGAGAAGAGCGAGTTCGAAACAAAGAAAGTGAAAAAAAAAAGAAATCATCTACACCAAAAAAAAATGGGGAGAAAAAGAAAATTCATGCAGCGTACGTGTGCTCCAGAGCGAAAGCGCTATTCGCAATTGTCTTGTAAAGTATGCCTCCACACACACCAGGAAACAAAGAACCAAAAAAAAGAGGCCTTGAACACTCGCGTTTCAGCCAGCTGGTTAGCCATGTGGCTCTGCGGTGCAGCTTCTTCAGCCTTCTGCAGCCAATTGGCAAGAGATCAGTCCAGGTGAGTCACCACTCGCGTCTGCCCACGCATACATAACAACTCAAATACGTCGGCTTACAAGCAAATCTGCCGTTGAAGCGCAAAATGCGGGAAGCCACAAAAAAAAGTGGAATTCGAATGTGATGCCGAATGGTATTTCATGACACCGCGCCGTCAACAATAGCACGAGGAAAGGAAAGGTGGAGAGAGACATACAACGCAAAAAGGAAAAAAGAATGCACACAGGAAACCGTGCCAGCAGGCACCTAATCCGCCTCTGCCTTCATAAAGGTGTCCAAGTCTTCGGGCTGAAGAGTCAGACGCCGCGTAACACGCGTGAAGATGCCAGCGCCGACGGCAGAAAACACCAATCCCAGCGAGAGAACGTTGAACACCATTGCGCCGTCCGGCCCAGGAATCGTCGTCCCGCTCGCCACCGTCGACCGCACCCAGTACACACACGTGCTTGCCGCTCCACCGTCCAGGTTGGAGGGCACGAGAGAGTTGCGCCCCGCGGAGGACGCCGCCGCCGGCGCCTTCCCGTCCCTCCACACGAATGTGTGGTTGAGCATCTGAAACATCGCGGCAAGCGAGCTGACGTGGTCGAGCGGGGGGACGCCCTGTGCCGGCCCAGCGTCGCGCTGCGCGGCGCAGAAGTCCTTTTCGCCCTCCTCCTCTGCCGCGCTCTCCGATGTGTTGAAGGGACGGGTGATGACCACCACCGGCTGCGGGACGATGCGATTGCCGTTATCGTCAGGCGGCATCGAGTGGAGGGCCGTCCAACCAAAGGAAAGCGGAAAGCGACCGAGCATGACGCCCTCCGGTCGGCCGCGCTTGCGGTCGGTGTGCCCCGCTGAACTGCCGTGGTGGTGCCGCAACAGCGCCTGCGCGTACGCCGCCTCGTAGGCCGCGACGTGCACCGCCGTAACGGGTGTCTCGAGCAGCGCGGCCAGCGTGTTGGAGCTGACGTCGGTGTGGGCGTGCACGAGCCGTGTCGATCCGACGAGGGACTCCATGTTGTACAGAGAGGGTCGGATAAGGTGCAGCGGAAAGAGCAGCAGCGTGCGCACCACGTCGCCCTCACGCAGGCGGTACTGGTGGAAGCGTGATGCCGCGTCGCCGGCGTTTGCGTTGTCGCCAACGTGCACGCCGACCTGCGCGTCGAGAGTGGCGAGGGCGGGCTGCAGCTCCACCGTTAAGTAGCCGTGGTCCTTGCCGCGACTGTGCACCTCGTAGCGCACCTCGGGGGACCAACCTACGGCGACGCCGCCGTCGCCGCTGTCCTCCGTAGACGCGGCCACGTCATCGCTCGCCCTCTTCGTCGGAGCGGCGGCCTCGTTGTCTTTTTCGGACACGATGGCGGACTCGGGAAGCGCCGCGCGCAGACTCGCCGAGAGACCGCCAGGTCCGACATAAATTGCTAAGCGGCCGCCGTCGGCGTATGCGGGCAACTCGCGTGCCCAGACGCTCGCCAGCGCCTCCAGATCCGCCTGCTCCCGCGCCACCATGCTCATACGAAGCTGCACCTTCAGCTCGACGACGGCGGGCGTGCCGAGAGAGACGTTGGCGGGTCTACGCTCTTGCGTCGCCTTGACCGTGAAGTGGTGAAAGGGGCTGCCAAAGAAGTGGACAAAGGATGGAAACACCGCCTTGAAGATGCCCTGCGGGAGTCCTTCCTGCACCCCGCGGCCCGACCGCCCCCCATTCAGCAGCGGGCTGACGTGCTGCGTGCACAAGGTGTCATGGTACACTAAGTGGTACGAGCACCAGTACGCAGCGGCCCCTCCGTTTACGTCCTCTGTGCCGCGGTGCACGTTGTCGCAGTGACTTTCCAAGAGGATGCCGTTGGGCTGTGTGTGCCGCGGCGTGGCCGACGTCCAACTCAGCGGTGACGACGTCAAGGTCGAGATGAACTGCGCGGCCCACTGGAACTGACTCGCAGCGTCCCGCTCGTGGCTTGCCCCGCAGAAGGACACGGAGGAGTACGTGCAGACGGCGTGGTGGGCGAGGTAGTGATGCAGCTGGTCGAAAAGTAGCTCAGAGGCTTCGTTGCCGGGCGGGGCGGTGCCGCTGCGCTTCGGAATGGACCACTCGGGACGCCACTTGCCGCCGCAACCGGACCAGTCAAGGTGCTCGAAGCCACGGCGACGTAGCACGTAGTACCAGATGGGGTCGAAGTCTTCGTCGAACGTCAGCGTTGCTGCGGCCTCGGTGTCGATCTCGCTGGCCTCTGCGTCGCCCTCCCAGGCAGCCGCGGCGGCTGACTTCGCGGGCAGCGTCAGCATTTTTTCCTCCGTGACGGACACGAGCGTGGGACGGGTGCCCTTCTCATCTAAGCCGCCCGTCAGCTCTTCGATCAGCATCGTGTACCGGCGCCTCGTCAGCGGCACATAGGCACCCTTCCGTGCTGCCTCGGTTGCCACTGCATCTGTGAGGGAAAGGCTTAGAAGACCCACGAAAAGACCCAACAGCACTATCAACTGAGAGAACCGAAACGCCATGGTTGGTGGGCCAATGCTTCTCGCTGCAGCGTGTGTGTGTGTGTGTGTGTGTAGTTAGGCAAGTTCAAATTTAGGCATCGATAAGGCCTTCCTGCTGATGTTGTTTGCAATAAGGTTCGCTACGTTGCTCTGCTTTTACCACACTATCAAAGGTGTAAGGTGCGTGTTGCTTTCAATTTGAGCACGCAAGTAATGGGAAGTTGGAGGCGAGAGGCGCCGATTTGACATTTGTATTCACAAAAGAAAGAAGAAGAGAATGGCAGCGAGAAAAGAAACACTGAACAACGAGCGCGTTACAATTGCAAGCAACTTGTCGTTTTTTCGCTTTATTTTTTCTTTCTTTTAGTAACAACAGGTAATGCTTCGCTTTTCGCTTCACTTCCTTTTCTTGACGTCACTTGAAAAGTGATGCAGCACTTGGAGTCTGAAGAGGAGAGCTCAATACGACTCCGTATGTTGTGGCGTTTCCTTTACCAAGTCCATTTTTGGGGGAGAGGGGGTGTAATTCCAACGCAGACCGAAGAACAAACGAACAACTTAAAAACGCTCACATTATACAGTAACGGTGACGCAACTCAGAGCGGTAGGTGCGGAAGAGGGAAGAAGAAAAACAAGCTGTCTTTGTTGTTGATGTTGATGTTGTTGTTTCGGGTGTGATGAAGTCAACGCGCGTGATCCGATGCCAAAGGGCCGCGGAACTGACTTTCCACACCTGCGCCTCTCGCAACACAGTGAGCACGGCAGCATTTGCTTCTTTATATGACGGCTTTTTGATCATAACTGGCACGATGCTGGAGAAGGGACGGTCAATATAGGAAATTATAAAAGATATGCAGTCGTTCATTTTTTTAAAAGCACACTTATAAGTGTTTGAAACGAAGCTCTGCCGTGTCTACGTCTCTGTTGTGCGCTCACGGTATACGGAGAAGACGTGGGTGCCACACGCGAGAGTAAAAAAAACAAAAAAGGGTTGTCTGCATCATAATACTCGCAAAACCACAACGAGCACCTCGAAATTTCCCGTGAAAGAGACTCACGTAAGCGAACAAACGCAAGGGTAAATAATAATATAAAGCACCCTTTACGTTGTCATCACACTTGTCGAAGACAGCGGGGGGAAAAAAGGACGAGCAAAAGTAACCGCAGCTGAACCAACAGCACAACACTTTGTATCTACAGGAACCGCAAAAAGCAGGAAAAAAAGGCTTCACTCAATACGGCTGTGCACCGTCCCCCTTCTGTTTTTTTAAAACTCGACTCAAACGCGCGCGTCTCGTCTGCGTGTGTGTGTGTGTGTGTGTGTGTGCCGGACTATGCGTCACCTTCTCGATTAAGAGAGACGCAGGAGGCAATCTTGCGCACGTTTTCAGCCGTCAATTCGGCCACTATCACCTGCTGCTGTACCGCCTCCCCTTGGCCCTTTGCACTCGATGCCAACGTGCTAGAGGAGTCACGTTTGCCGGTGGCATTCGGCGCGCACGACGGTGAGGAAGCGCACACAGTGTCGTATACCAAAACTGGCTGCGGCAGACGGGAGTCGTTGCGCACCGCAAACGGCAGCAGCGCAGACGTCGAGACGAAGTGGAAAAAGAAGGTGAAGATAAAGGCCGCGCCGTAGCCAAGGTGATCGGCCATGACGCCGCCGAGGATGGCGGTGCCAGACCAGCCAGCCGACTGCACCGACTCTAGCGCATTCCAGCGGCTGTGACGCTCCTTCGGCACGAGGTCCATCAAGAGCGCACGCGACAGGCCGGCCGAGCAGTTCATGAACGCGTTACGGAAGACGTACGCGACGCACATCCACGAGCGCGGGCCGTACTTGGTGCGTTGGCAGAGTGCCATGTACAGGAGCAGCAGGGCACCCATCATCTTGGGCGGGATCAGCGCCCGCACGCGACCGTAGCGCCTCCCCATCATGCCGCTCGCAATGGCCATAAAGGCAATCACAAAGGAGTTGCACAGATTCAGCGCGGCGATGGCGGCAGGCGAGATGTTATAGACCTTCATCATAAAGAGCGAAAAGTACTGCGTCGTCATGCCACTGCCAATGATGAGCACCATGTCGCACACCACCACCGCCACCGGGTAGATGCGAAGCGGCAGCAGCTTCATAATACAGCGGCGCACACCGGTCGCCTCCTCCAGTTCGTGGTCGACGTACTCGACGTGAGCCCCGGGTGGGATGTTGTTCAGATCCACCGTGCCGTGGCTCTGTTTGGTGCCGCCCTGCGTCGCACTCCACGTCGTGCTGGCCTCGTTGTCCACCTCGTACGCCGCCGTGCTGCCACGCTCGATCGCCTCGCCTGCAGCGTTGCCGTCGTCGTTGTGTCCCGTGCACACCGACGGCTCGTACGCATTGAACATCGGCGGCGGGGCCATATGAATCGTGCTCTGGATAATCGAGGTGCGGGCACAGTTCATCAGCTTCGTGTTCGCGTTGTGCAACAGCGCGTTGGGAGACAGCTCCACCTCCCGCTCGCTCAGCGTGTCCGTCACCCGCTTCTCCTCCACGTCGTAGGACGGCGAGGGGGTGCTCTCGTCGCTCTTGCCCGCCGCGCCGTCACCGCCGGCCGACGCCGTGATGGCGACATCGGTGGCAGCCGCCTCCCGTTGCTCGTCCAGGTGCGACGGGAGGGGTCTGAAGAGATGCCAGAAGATCAACATCGAAGCCAGGTGGAGCAGCAGTCCGCAGGTCATGACAATCTGCAGTACCTGAGTGGTCCACTGGTCACCCACCACGAGGTAGAGAAGAATTGACGAAATGAGGCCCACAATCGGACCCGCTGACTCCATGCTGAACTTCAGGCTGTACAGCCGGTCCCGCTCGCCGGTGCGCAGGCATTGGGCAAAGACGGACTCCACGCACGTGAAGCTCAAACCCATGTAACAGCCCTCAAACATCTGCGCTACGATCAGCAGCCACTGCTTGCGGGCCCAGACCGCCACCATCACAACGCACAAATTGACCACGCCGAGGCGCACCGCGAAGACGAGGGTGCGGGACGGGCCCCACATCTTGTCGGCCACGTGGCCGCTGATCAAGGCAAAGACGAGCTCCGACAGCCCGTTCACGCCAGAGACGATGCCCACGGCGACGTTGCTGCCGTTAAAGAGCAGAAACACAAACGGAGTCCACGCATTGAACATCCAAATGGAGGTGGCCATACTGTTTAAGAAGGTGAAGAGAATAATAACGCCGGCCATGGATTCGGAGAAAGGGGGGATGGTGAAGAGCGCTTTGAGGTTGGCCGCGTACTGCCACGCCATCTCCACTAGTTTCGACGTTAACGCTGACATCTTTCAATGCCTTCGAAATACGGAAGTAAGTAATGATTGAAAAAGAAGATAAATTATTTCCTCTCAGACAAAAAAGTGACTGCGGAAGAGTCAGAATTTCAATAGGTCGAGATGTTTCAGTTAGAAAAACAAAAGTGATAATAATAATAAACAGAATATATATAAGAGCGAGGACTTCAAATGGTTCAACAACGCTGATGTTGGTGACCTGCGAAAGGAAGGAGCAACAATCGATGCCGTTCGTTACGACAGTTCTGATAAGACCTGAAGAAAACAAATGGAGGAAAGAAAAATGAAAAAGGAGTGTATTCTCTTTTTCGAATAATAATAAGCTAGGGAAAAAAAGAAAAGAAACATACAAAAAATCAGTAGCAAGAGTGGCTGAATGTGATGTACCCCCTCTTGCTACTGATTGTGCCACCACATAACGCAGAGGATTCCTTTTCAGACAGACCCAAACACGCACACGCACACACGAGAACAACGCCACAACGTTAAGATCGCTAAAAGAGAGGCGAGAAAACAGCAAGACACACAGAAGCACCACCGCAGAAGACAAGTGATCACCTCTATCGGTCGTCCTCTCTACCAAAAATATATATCGAGCCTCGCTAAAGCGCTTGTACGTTACAACAGTGCACCAAGTCGAGGTAGCGACCATGCGAGTCAAAAAAAAAAAAACAGGAGAGTTTTAGAATAGAAACGTACGACAGTAAAAGCAGCCGATAAAAGAAAAACAAAAAAATAATTTACGCGTGAATAGCTTGGAAACAATAACAATACACCGCTGCTTGAATGAATGCTACAGAAGGCCGAATAATCAAAAAAATATAAATATGTAAAGAAGCGAAAACCCTCCGCGAAGAGAAGGGTAGGTGAACTCTTTCGATGGTGTACAACTGCACCGAACTGCACGTCAACACAGAACGGTTCGTTGTGCTCTTCTCCGTTCGTTTCTCTCTCTTTTTATGGACACCTTCGAAGTAGTTTGAGAGCTGCTGAAAGGAAAGTGGAGGGCTGACAGGTGGGGGCGAGAAGAGAACAGCAAGGGTGACAAAAAACAACAGAAGAAAGGAAGGCAAAGCGAGAGGGGAAGGAGGAGGTAACGTGGCGGCCACGATAAAGAGGCGCGAGGGCAACGGAAGAACAACGGTGGAGAAAAGCAGAGAAGAACAAAGCTGCTCTAACTCACGCACACACACCCAACAAATGCAGCACAGCACGTTAGGAGGCAGCAACTTTGTTGAACGTAAATAGAAGAAGATGTAAAACGGACACGCCATAAGTCAATAAGGCGTGCGTCCATGCATTAGTAGTTCACGAGAGTCAATAGGCCACGGCGCACTCGATGACCGTTTGAGTAGTAAAATCCATCGGCTATTTATGTTATATTTTTCCTTCCTCTCCTGATGAGGACGTAAGAACCACGTAAAGAAAGAAAAAAGATGAACAAAGTAGTACTGGTACAAGTCAGAAATAAGAAGGAAGAGGAAGAAACAAAGTTCAGCTGCCCAACTCTTCAGCCGACGTCACTTCGATAAAGAAAAGAGATGAGCAGAGGCTTCGTCACCAGAACGAGAAGGCGATCGAGGTGGAATGTCACAACGAAAGAGAAGAGTCCAACAGTTTTTTTTTCTAAATGCACCCACCATCACTATCTATTTAGAAGCGCTCACTTAGCAGTTCAGGAGGGATTCCGGTCCACGAAAACGAAAAAAGCTAAGCTGTGAACTTGTCGTACCGTACAACGCAGTCGCCTTGGAGCAGCTGAAGGATATATTTTCTCCCTCCTCCTCGGCTGCATCTCTCTTTTCTTTTCAGTGGAGTTGGTTCGCTCCTCCGCCGCCGATCTGACTGACAAACGACCCCACAACCAACCACGCAAGGTGCTGGGTGCGGTTCGCCGTCTTGAGCGCCAACGTCTCCGCCCCGCACGAGAGGCGAGACCGAAAGCGGAACTGCAGAACGTAGTCCGCGTACACGTAGTTGGTGGACAGCCCGGTGCGAGGGCCACGCAGCAGTCCGGGCTGCACCGTGCGCCGCCGCACGTACGGGTGATCGGCGCCGTCCGCCTTCACCTCCAAAAGGTCGTGCAGCGGCAGAAAGCGAATCATGTGGCGGCTCGACGTGTTCCTGTACCACGCCAGCACCGCGTGGGGCACCGCGATTTCCCGCAGGTTACCCGCCGGGTCGTGCCGGCGCCGACCAGGCGCGACGTCGAGGAAGCGGATGGTGAAGTAACGCGAGTGCGGCGGGCCGTGCGGGATGAACTTCAGCATTGTCGATCCGCGCGACACGTACTCATCAAAGGCCAGCGTGACCTCGGAGGGAATCATCGGTGGCATCTCCACACCTCGGTAGTACGCCACGGACTCGATGAGGCGGCGCAGCAAACCGCTCGGCTGAAGCGCCGGCATCGGCGGCGCCACCGCCGCCTGCTGCGAGGCCGCTCCGCCACCACCTTCCGCGAGTCGCCGTGTGGTGTTATCGTTAGAGCTGCCTCGCCCGTCGCCGACCCAGCACACCGCAGCTTCCGGGTTTGTGGCACGCACCGCACCCGTCGGCCCGGTTGGCGTGTAGCGCACCGGACGCAGGGGCCGCCCGTCGTTCCTGCCGGGTGAGCGTGACGGGGCTCCTCTGCCCTGCTTGGCACGTCCGCGAGGGTTATACAGCTCATCGCTGCGTCCGCTGCTCACAGCGGAGACGTCGCTGCCCGACCCGCTGCTGGTGGAGTATGAGGAAGAGTAGGAGTAGGAGTAGGAGTCGTCCTCAGAGCCACCATGGTCGCCGTTCCGGCGATACCTACCCGCGCTTCGGCCGCGACCATCATTTTTGTTTGAAGCTGCTGCTCGACCGCGCGCGCGCGTAGGCCGGTCGTAACGGCCACGTGCAGGGCCGCTGCCACGCCGCCGGCTCCCCTCACCGCGCGATAAAGTCGGTGGCGAGCAGTTTGCTGCCGCCCCGCTTTGTCCTCCTCGGCGGAAAGAGTCGTCGTTTTGGGAGTAGCGCCGAGTAGGCCGGTAGCCCTCGTACGAGGCGCGCTGGCCGCGGTCTAGGGAGCCGTACCGCAGCGGCGGGCTCTTCGCGCGTCTGCCGTCTTCATAATAGGGAGTCGGGTTTGAAGGGCTGTACGCTTTTCCCCGTCCCATGCCGAGCCTGCGATCGCGCTCAGACGACATGGCGCGAAACTCCTGCGAGAGGTTGTCGGCGATGGCCTCGTTGCCCTGCCACATCGGACGCTGTGGGGAGGACCAAGACGGCCGCTTGTGTGTGGGTGCCCGCTAGTGCGGACGCTGACCTACGGGAGGAAAGAGTCGAGTGAGGCGACGTTTACGGCGTCGCGTCGTTTTCCGTAGAGCAGAAAAATAAGTTTCGGATGGTAGCTGGAATCGAAGGAGAAAGAAAAAAAAGGAGGTGAATCAACAGAGCGGAAGCAGAACAACGAAAGCTGACAAGAGCCAATGATGAAAGCGGAATACACATTCAAAGGAAAAAGAAGATATGCGTACCACTGAACGCTCCGGCGCAGCAGCCAAGGGGTCTCGGAAGTTGTACGGCAGCTATGACCGACCAATAATCGCGTTGTAAAAGAGTACAAGAAGAAGAAAAAAGAGAAAGTTTAAGGAAACCGTTCGTTTTGGGGATGACAATAGGCAAAGGTGTGGCTCTTACCTCAGAAACGGCGACAGAACAAACATGCACGCGCAAATAGCATTCGATATTGGCTTTGAAAGGGCAGGAGCCTGTGAATTTAAAAGTACTGGGGATGAAACACGCCCTCTGAAGAAGGAGGAAGCCAGTTCCACCTGTCTCCATCTCCCAAGCTTCCACCGCAACGGCGGACAAGACTTACTTCGATCGTTCCCTTCGTCTCTAGCACTGCATCCAACGTGCACGTCAATTTACTGACGCCATGTGGTCGGTCATTCCGAACAACTTCAACCGTTTCTGCTTCCTTTGTATTACTGCTTTGTTTTGCTTGCCTTAATTAAGTCACAGTTCGTCACTCTTACCACGGTGGTTAAATACTCAAACACAGAATAAAAGAAATAAGAATCAACACAAAACACAAAAAGTTCCACCACTTTGGGATCCACCGCGTCCGCAGCGTCCGTTCCACGGCGCTCACCGCGCAACAGCAACAATAATCATAGCGATGATGAGAGTGCCTTCACCTTCGAGACTCGCACGAATGTGCAACAATGCGCCGACTGAGGAATAATAATAATAACAAGAGGAGAGGTAAAACCGAAGCTGCACACTCATTCGCCTTGCAACTAGGCCGCCTCCATGAGACGCGCACCATAGGGGGGGGGGGGAGGAACAGAAATGAACTAACAAGAGAGCGAAACGGAAGTGAGAGGCGGCATCAGCGATGAGGGAGCACAAACACGTACCTGCTTTCATGTTGCGCTCCACTGTTCTCCGTTTTTCCTCGTCCTCTCCCTCTTCCTCCCTTTTTCTCTTCATGTACGCAGCAACAGGAACACAGCCATCACAATCACACACACACACACACACAGATACACATCAATCATTGCAAAAGCGATTCACGCACGGCAACGAGACAAGATGGAAATAAAGAGCAGAGGAAGTTCAAAAGCGGTGAGCATGCCGCCCTCTCACCGTGCAATCCTTCTTTCTCCCCCCTTACCCCTTTGTCATCTGTTGCACAACGCTTACAGGCGGGTCTCGGCACGCGAGACGTCGAGTACGACGTTCTTGAAGTGGAATTTGCCCTTTTGGATGGCCGCGTCCGCCATCCACGACTCGTCGAAGATCACGAAGGCGAAACCACGCGTCTGGTTGTTGTCGCCACGCGGAATACGCACCGACTTCGCGCTCCAGCCGAAGCCCTCGAAAATGCGAGACAGGTTCTCCTGCGTAACGTCGTCCGACAGGTTGCGGATGCGAATACCAGTGGACATCTGCTCGCGTGAGTCGGTCGGCTTCGAGACGGAGCCCCACGTCGACCCGGCCGCCGCCGTGCGCGGGGCCGCCTTCTTGTCCTTCTCCTCGAGTTCACGAATGACGCGCAGGTGCTCATCCTTGACCACTACCTCCATACTGCTCGCCTCGTGGATCATTCGCTTCACCTCTGTGCGCGTCTCACGCTCCCACTGATCCACGGAGCCCATCTCTAGCGCCAATGGCGGCTCCGTCGACACCAAGGTCGTCTGGTCTCCCAGACCCTTGCCGAAGTGCTTCAGGCGGGCGCGAAGGTCAGCCATAGAGATCGGGCGGTCCACGTGGTACTTGCGCACCTTGCGCGTCACGACGTAGGTGTTGCCTTCGGCGTCTGCCTCCTGTGTTGTTTCCGTCTTGGCGTTCGCCCATGACATCTTCGGATCCTCGAACTCCGAGTTGTAGCTGCCGTGGGATGCTACATCGTTGTAAAACTCCTCCTCCTCTTGTGCCTGATCCGCCCAATTGGACATTGTGACGTCTGCTCTTTAAAAGGAGCGTCGAAGTTGTTGTTGCTGTGTTTTTTTCCCTTGTAGAGGCAAAGGAAAGGCGGTACGTAACCGGAGTGTTTGTGCTGGGCTTTCTTCCGTCTCTGTGGGTAACGAAGGAGTGACAGACCTGGTGCTTGAATGAAAATGCGCGAGAAGGTGCTGATAGATGATCCAAGGGTTTTTAAAAAAGACGGGAGAGAGAAAAAAAAGGGAAATTACGTGATGCAAGCAGTTCAACTCGTGTCAGCGTGAGCGGACCAAACAGCACATCAGCGGCCTCAAAGCGTGTGAGGGTCCAGTCTGGTCAGCACGAAGTATCATGGGATTCATTTTGGCAGCTTCTTTTTTCGAGTTCGACCAGAGGCGGCAAAACAAAAACAAAACAAGGGGGATCGTTTTACGTGTATGTTGTCCTTTTGGAGGGAAACCTTTCCTTGTTGTTCTCGCCAGCCCAGGAGAAAGGTGAGCGTTGTGGCAGCTCAAACACGACACGTCATGAACAGCCGCGCACCGCTGGCAAAACACAGTCAATGAACGCTATGCAAAAAGAAAACGGCCCGCTACATCACCATCACCTCCATTGAGGCCGTTGGGGAGACGCAAGACGGCTACGATCGCGGTTGTCGCCGGACCTGCTGCGCTGTCGCTCTGCCAGTTCCCGCCACGTCGCCGCAGTTGCAGTCGCCGGTTGTGTTTCTGCGAGCTGCGCCGCCGCAGAGTGAGGTTGGATGCGCTCTGGGCTGCGACGCGTTCCGCTCGAGCGGAGACGCGCACCGTTCCCTTCATTGTCTGTTTTCGCTGAGTTCGGTGCTTCCTTGGAGAAGGTCTTGCCGGGCCCACGACGCTGCGGGTCGTCGACGGTCACGAGGGCGGAAAGGGCGGCGAGTTGCTCCTCCAAGTGTTGCACCTGTGCACGAAGCAGTTGTGCTTCGGTACCGTTGAGCGGCGCCTCTCGGCCCTGCGCGTCGTGCGCTTCCCCGTACTTTCGGTTTGCCGCGGTGACGCTTTCAGAGAGCCTTTTCGGCGGGCGACTTGTTTGCTGCCTTTGCCGTGGTGTGACGTTGGCTGGGTGGTGATGGTGTGAATTAGGAGGACCGGCATCATCAATGGTGGCTGGGAGTGCTCGATCACCCTCGACCGCACGTCCCGGTAGCGCTCTCTCTTGCTGGCGTTCCTGGCCAGCGTCAGGTGCGTCGTCCTGCTCGGCCCAGAGGTTCGGCTCCGGCGCCGTCCGATGAGGACGTCGTTCACTTCTTCCCCTCTGCGCCTCGCGCCGCTGCATGCGCCGTTGCTGACGCTCGTACTGCAAAATCTGTGTTGCGTAGAGCTGCTGGTAGTAGAGCATCCAGGCGTAGTAGACCTCGTACCACGGCACCGGCGTGCTTCTGGTGCTCTCCTTATCCACCGCAGGCGGAACAGCACTCGGGAAAGGGTTGCACACGAAGGGTGTCGGTGGCATTTGATGCCATGCGGGAGAAGGAGGATCACGCACAGCAGTTTCTTCCGAAACGGGCATGTTAGACGGCCACGGCCACGGCTGGTGTGCAGCACCAGCAGGGTACATAAACGCTTGTCGATCTCTTTGCGTGTCGCGACGGCGATGATGGTGATGACGGCGCTCGTGACGAGCCGCTTCATCGCTTTCGTCATCGTGCGCACGTCGGCCAGTTTGCTGGCTGGGTCGCTGCCCATCTCTATCCAATGGGTCACCGTTACCGTGCGAGCGAAGGTGAGTGCGGTGTTGGTTGGCTTGCGCGTGCCTCCGCTGCGCAGGCGTCGAGCCAGCTGCGTTGTTCGTCGGGTGCGTCAACATGTTTTCTGCCTCCCGCAGCACCGCAGCAACGGCGACGGGATCCACGTCGGGGTTTTGCGACAGCTCGGCAAGCCGGTCGACCACGCTGCGGTCGGTCGACGAAGTGAAAGGAGCTCGTTCTCCTCTTGTGCCTTTCCGTTCCCTTGCATCAGTCGCGCTTGAACCTTCACTCCTCTCTCCTTCCTTGTCAGTTCTATCCTCTTCCCCGTCCAACGGTGACACTTCCCGGACGCAATCGCTAAACTCATTCCATTGAGGCGTGCAAAAGACAGAAGACGACGACGACGTTGCCGGTGGTGGTGGGGTGGGTGTGGAGGAGAGGACGGAGATGTCTCGGTTTCTGTGGGGGAGGTAGCTGCGCAGCGGGCGGGGGAGGTTGTGGTGCTTGTCAACCGCGAAGGTACCGTGCATGGTGTCGTGGTACTGTGAGTGGAAGGCAACGGCATCGTCGGCGGAAAGCTGCGAGCCCGCAAACGCCGACATTTGTATCTGGGCCGCCCGCTGCCCTTTTTATGGGAATCTATTTCTCTTTTTTTAGCGGAGATCGGAAAGGATTTTGTAGAAAAAAGAAATAGGAAGTATGCGTTTATAAGAAGGTCATCTACTAGCTCTAATCAAATCTAACGGGGGAACATAATATACAATACACAAATAGATGAGCAGCAGATGGAGCGCTACACGAAGCGGAGAGGGACGTGGTGAAGCCGGCGAAAGCAGGGCTGTTGTTTTCGGCTTTTCAGCCAAACGGTGGATTGGGTGGGGCTTACGGATGAAGTCGACAGCTATGAGAGAAAGACGAAAAGTGACTCCTTCTTTCGTGCAGCCTCAGTCAACCCTGGAAGGCAGAGCACGTACGCCAAATGTCAAGTTCACAAGAACAATAAGAGGAGGATTGCAAAGGAAGAAGGAGGTCAAAAGGGGAAGATAGGAAACGTTCAGTTGCATTTTAAGATCACGCGGCGTTGATGCAGAGTGCGCCACGCACCTCTACAGTCGGTGAACCGTTTTTGTGTTGGAATTCGCCAAGAGCGTTGCGCGTGAACACTGGCGCAGCGTACCTTGTCGAAGGTCTTTGAAGTGCCGCTGTCTCTTTTTGCGTTGCAAGAAGGAGGCGAAGTCCGCTACCAGCCGTAAATGAATGTGCGTCTTCGTCTTTGCTTCCTTTCTCTCTGGGCAGTAGTAACGTAAATAAGCCGCATTGAATGCAGCATAGAACTCACAGAAGCTGAATGGGGGTGGGGGAGGGGGGAAGCATGGGAGTCAAGAAACATACAAGCAGTTTGGCTAGGTGCAGATGCCGGCTGGTTCGAGGGGTACTCACTTTTCCATCTTTTCCGCCTCACGACTTTACGGGTACCCAAATACGCACGGTCGAGTCTGCGCTCGTCGTGGCGATGATCGGCTTGCGAGAGCGACGCACCGTGGCCCCCGTCACGCGATCGCGGTGCCCCTCCAGACGCTCCAGCACTACCACTTTTCCCTCGTCGGTCACGTCAAACACCTGAGCCGTGTTGTCGGGCCCACCGGTGACGAGGACGTCGCACTCCGTCAGCCGCCGCGGCGGACGCGCCATCGCGTCCATCTCACCATCGTCGAAGAACACCGACACCTCCGACTTGCCGGCCCGCTCGCCCTTCCAAAAGCCCGACCTCATCACGTTGCCCCGGGTAGGAATGCCCGTCATCACGTTACGCAGCACGTACAGGTTCGCGCCCTCGGTGCGGCCCGCCGTGAAGGCGTTCAAGTTCCCGCGATAGAGTCGCACCACGTTGTCGCCCGAGACGCAAATGAGCCGGCGGGTGTCGTCGTCGCTGTGGAAGTGGGCGATGTAGGAGATGGGCGAGTGCGACGGCTCGTTCTTCAACTCCGTCGTGCGGGCCAGCCGCGTTGCTCCGGCAAAGAGGCCGCCCGCAGAGCCACTACCACCGTTACCAGAAGTGCCCAGCCCACTCGTGTTAGCCGTCACATTGAGCGCGGCCATGTTGCTCGTAAAACTGGCACCAGGAGCGTCCTCCGTGACCCCTGTCGCTGCTCCAGCACCAACACCATTCAAATTTGCACCGGGCACGTCTCCAACGTCTGCAGCGTCGACAGCCGCCACATCACCCGAGCTCCCACCCATTCCGCCTCCGCGCTGAGGCGGTGCGGTCGGCTGCGACGGCGCGACAGGCGGCGTCACCGCACTGTTACCTCCGCTAGGGGTGGCCTGCAGCGCCTGGTCTGGCCGCCGCATGTCCCAAATTGAGATGACGCCGTTGCTTTGCCCCATCAGCAGTTGCTTGGCCGACTCATCGTAGCTGAGACTGTTCACGCGGTACTCGTGGTCCTGCACGAGGCCCTTGCCGCCTACGCGAACGTCCACAATTGCGGTCTTGTGGCGCGAGTCGGAGCAGGCAAAGAGCGAGGGGCCGAGGGGAATGGCCGAGAGCACGAAGCCGTGCGCGTTGTACTGGTACAGCACGTTCTTGTTCGACGTCCCACCGTTCACGTCCCACAGCTTCACCGTGGCGTCGTAGGAGGCGGAGAGCAGGCAGCGGTGGTCGAACCAGGCGACGTCGCTCACCGCCTCCTCGTGCGCCGTGGAATCCCACAGCTTTTCGCCGGTGAAGTGGTTGTGCACGATCAACCGGCAGTCCATGCCGCCGGTGACGATGAGGGGCTCCTCGCGGTCGGAAAAGGCGCAGCACTGCACAGCTTTCGTGTGCTCGGAGAGTTGCTGACGCATCTGGAACTTTTTGCTCGTGTTGTGCCCGGTTGTGGGGTCGCCGTCTTTGGGTGATGCGCCGATCGTGTCGTCCTGCGCTTGGGCTGTCTCGGCGCTGGCGTGCTGCAGCGCCGCCGCGCGCAAGGCGCGGATGTCGATGGGGGTTTCCAAGGAAACACCCAGTGTGCCCAGTTTACTAACGGCGATGTCGAGTAACGTACTCACCTGATAGAGTTGTTGCCGCAAGATGGTGTTCTCCATTCGCACCTCCGCCAGTTGCTTTTGAAGGACGATGCGCTGGTGCTGCGCAGACCCCGCCTTTTGGGGGGACCCTGGGGAAGCTGGATTATCGCCCATTGGGAATGTAAGTGTATGTTTTCTGCTGTGCGGGAAATTGTGAGTTTCTTCGATAAACAAGAAGAAGAAAGGATAACCCTAAACTGTCGCTGATCGTCACTCCTTCCGATGCTCCTTGTTGCGGTGGTGCGGCAAAGCTGAAGGGGAGAACAACAGCGGCCAGGAAACAAAAAAAAGTGTAAAATCGCCAATCAAATTCCTCTGTTGAAGAAGTTCATGCAGGGTGGTATGCGCTCCCACTGCACCCACCAAGAGAGAGGGCAGTTACCTGTCGCAGCAAATATCAAGCAGCGTGCACCCAAAATCTGATCTTCCACGGAGACAGTGCTGCAATGCTGTTATGCACGAAAGTAAAGCGTGGACCAGGGAGAAGAGAGTTCGAAGAGCGATGTGCAGGAATTGGAGGAGCCAACCATCAACCCCTCTGTTTACATTCAGACGCGCTCAAAGAAAAAACTTTTTTGAAAGATCGCAAAGAAGCCACGCCTCGTTGGGGGGGGGGGGGGGTTACTTCCATGCGCGCAAAGGTAGTTTTGTCTTCTTTTCGCCAGTGCCCACAACGCGTGTGGTTAGAGAATTGTCCAGTGGTCCGTGGCAACACGTCGACATCAGATGAGAACCAAATTCAGAAAAAAAAGGGAAAAAATCGTTCAGTTTTCCTTCCCTTCGTGGCGTCCGAAGTGCAATCGAGCAGCTTGTCAAAGGCACCGATGGCCGTCATAACTACGCGGACCAGGAGTCGACCTGGTAGCGTCCCACACGTGCCAAGCCCCTCACGTACACGGCCGCACCCGCCTCGTCCTCGACGCCAGGCACCGTCGCCTCCACCGTCTGCTCCACTGTCCTTTGCACATCCTTCGGCATCTGCTTCGCGTTACCGCAGACGTAGATGACACCGGGAGGCAGCGGGCGCCCCTCGACCTCCTCCGGCTGCACAAAAGACGAAACCAGCTTCGCGTGCTCGCCCAGCTGGTGTTGAACGTAGATCTTCTTATCCGTGTCGCGCGAAAAGGCTGGGATGACGGTCAGCGAGGGTAGCAACCCCTTTGCCCTCAGATCCGCCCACTCTTCCCTGTAGAGGTAGTCCTCCGCCTCGTGACGGCAGCCAAACACCAGCACCACCGGGACGTCCTTCCAGCCCTGCGCCGCGAGGCCCGCCACCTGACGAAGCACGGCACGAATCGGCGCGATGCCGGTGCCCGTGGCGACGCACAGCAGCGGCGACGGCGCAGCGGGAAGGGCGAGGTTGCCCTGCCACACAAAACATGTCAGCTGCGACCCGGGCTGTGCACCGACGAGGTACGAGCTGCAGAGCCCGGTGCGATGGCGCTTCAGCGGCGTGTGCCAGTCGAGCAACCCCACACACACGTCGAAGCGGCCTGGACCGTCCATACTGAGAGCAGAGGCGAGGGAGAAGTAGCGCGGCAGCATCGGTGTGGCAAAGGTGAGCACCAGCTCCAGCGACGGGTTCAAGTTCTTGAAGTCGTGCAGTACCTCGCACACATTGCGTTTCTCGCGGTGAGCGTACTGTAGATAGTCGTTGACGTTCGACGGGTTGCCGAGCTCGTAGAGCCGCTCGCGAGAGTCGTGCGCATCTTCGTCGTTGTCGTCGTCGTCCCGCACCTCGTGCGCCAACATCCACATGAACTCCTGCGTCACCACCGCGTCCAAATCGATATAGTGACGCAGCAGCGACCGCAGGGTGAGTGGGTGATGAAAAAAGGGGCGGGCGGGTTGCACGGTCAAGCCGTGAGAGGCGTCGGGCTCGACGACCACAACCTCGTCACCGTCACGACGCAGACGCTGCAGCAGTTCCTCCACCAGCTCAGGACGATTCGGGCAGTACACCCCCAACGCATCCCCCACGTCATACGTTGAAGACGCTGTCGCACTCTCGGTGCCGGGACACACCCGCAGCTCGAGGTGGTGGACAGCTTGATTGCAAGAGGCGGCGGTGATACGGCGGTTCGAGACCACCTCGCACGCCATGACGGGCTCCGCGTAGCGCAACAACTGCGGCGAAGCCTCGAGAGAGTCCGCTGTGCCCTGAAAAGGCCGCACGGAATAGAGAGGGAAGTACGGCACATCCTGCTGTGGGTAACGGGGTCGGCGGAGGTCGGCGGTGGGGGCCGCACCGTTCGTCAGGTCCAGCGCTTCCCACAGCTCCGCTAGCCACGGAACAAGCGTTTCCTCGAAGCCTTTCGCGTCGCTCTCGTCGCCTAAACCACGCATCACGAGCGGCGTGCCGCCCAACTGCTTCAGCCGGTTGTGCAGCATCTTTGCCATGTAGTTAAACTTCAAATAGAGAGAGTCGCCTAAGCCGTACACGGCGTATTGCAGACCTGTCATGCACGCAGCTGGCGCCGTGTCGGGCTGCAGGAGCGACGCCCACGAGCGACGAAAGCTATTCGGTGCATCGCCTTGGTTTGCGTTGGAGCAGAGAATCACAACTGGCCCGCCCGTTCGTGGCCACTCGTGGATCGGTACATCGTCCGCAGAGAGGCAGTGCACGCTCTTCACGCCCTGCCGCAGGGCAAGACGGCTGACTCGCAGCGCAACTCGCTCTGCGTTGCCCGTTTGGGTTCCATAAAGAACGGTCAGCTTTTCCATTTCGCGGCTACACGACAGACAAGGAAAGAATGCTTTTTTGTTGTTTTAATGAAACGAGAAGGGTGACGGTTCAGGTGCGGTTTCCGAGAAAAAGAAAGGATGATGAAGATCGGAAAGAAAAAAAGCGCCGAGACGTTACGCGAAGCTTCTGCAGCTTTACTACGTTCTCCAACGTCCCCATTTGTTCCTTCCAAGAATGACGTTTCGCTTCGCTTTTAAAGGTAAAACAAGGCATGGGAGGAAAAGCGAGATCAACATATCTGATGGAAACCGGAGACGAAAGGCAACCTGCACTTCATTCATGTGTTTTTCTTTTCTAATCATTCACAATTCCGTGGTCGCAAGAGTAGATCAGCAGGAAGGCATCAACAAACAATTCTCACAGACAAGAGACGAACATAGCAACACCATACCCCAAGCAAGCATCGCCCGTGTCGAGTATCGCGGCGGTAGGCACCTCAAGAATAAGGAACAAGGGAAATAAATAAAATACAAAAAGAGAGCGACGATATAGTAGAGGCTGGAACTTCGACCAACGGGAGTGTGAGAATGCCACGGCCATGCGCACCCACACAACAATAAAGACGAAGGGAGTAGCGTGGCTGCCGCCGAGCACGCAGCGCGCTTCACCTTTGTCTACATCTTCTCCTCGAGCATGTTGTGCACCTCATGCAGGACCGTGGTGGTGTTGAGCAGCTTCGACTGCAACTCGCGATTCCCGCTGTAGAATTGCGCCACAAACAACGAAAACTTGCGATTCGCCTCCGCCACGGTGCCAACAATTTCGCTCAACACGATCGTGGAAAGCTCCTGGCACTGGCGCAGCTGCACCGCGGTGATGGCAGGGTTCACAGCCCCGCCGCCTGTGCGCCCCAGCGACAGCCGGACAGCCTTCCGCACGATATCCACCATCGTGGTCGCGTCTTTCTGCCACTGCGCATTGAGCTGCGTAGCGACTTGCAGGGTGGTCTTTTCATCAAGCTCTGCCGGAAATGCCGGCAGCCCCGCCCCATCACGCCGACCGGCCAAAGAGGTGGATTGGCTGCTTGCGTCGAAGAAGTCGTCCCCAAGTACTCGGACCGCCTTCGAGACAAACTTCGTTAGGTACTGCCACGTCCCTGTGCCCTGTGCGTCTGCGTCCACCCACGCCTGCACGGCCTCTTTAAGGCGTGCCTCCAAGTACTGCGTCTGCTGCTGCTGTGCGATCGTACCGCCGGAGGCGCTGGCCGCTGCAGTCGGTGTGAAGGCTGCTGCGCCGTCTCTCGTCGCGGATGCGCGAGCGCTTCCAGGGTTCGACCCGGCGGCTGACGTGGTGCTCGCCGGTTCACCTTGCGACTTGCGGTTCATGGCCGACCCTGACAGCGAGCCGGGTCGAGACACGGAGGGAGAGTCCGCCCCCATGGTGGCCGCGCCCACCGACGTCAACTCGCACCACGTCGCCAGCACCGTGTACACGTTCACACAGGCGAACACCTGCTGCGCCAACGCGTTTGGGTGGCGCTGCTTCAGCTGCTGGATAAAGGACATCATATAGGCGAGGGCGTCCTTCACAAACGTCGCTACAGCCGGGTCGAAGGAGCGCTGCGTGTCACCGGCGAACGCAGCCGACTTCACTGCAGCGGTGTTCAAGTACTCCAGCTGGCTCAGTACGCCGCAGACGCGGTAGACGAGGGGGTGCGGGCCGAGGGTGGCGCAGTAGGCCTTGTTGCCCAGAATTTCCGCCCACGCCGCCCCACCCGCTGGGGCGCGGTAAAAAGGCGACAGCTTCACCGCGGGCAGGAAAGCCAAGGCGAGGTTGTCGTTCTTGAAGGCGGTGCGGAGGGAGTTGCGCAGGGCGGCCTTCGACATCTCCAGCACACCGCTGAGCAGCAACAAGGGAATGGGATCCAACGAGGTGCAGAGGTGCTGCTTCACGCTCTCCAGCACCCGCAGCCCCGCAAGCACCTCCGCTCGCGCCATGACCAGTGGGAGGTCATCGATGATGGACGCTTCGACGTTGCCGACGGCGCGGCCGAGAACGGCGCGGGCGATGCGCTCCGCGTTCTCGTAGTCCTCGCCGCCCTCCACATCGCCGGCGACGCAGAAGAAGTTGCCGATAAAGCCGCACTCTGACTCGCAGCTGTTCACCAGCGTCTGGAAGCAGCGGACAAACTGCCAGCACCAGCTGTTGCACTGATCCAGCTGCGTCGCAACGGTCTCGTCAACGTGCAGTTTGCCGTAGCGGACACCGAGGGAGTTCACCGCCTTCACCGTGTCCTCGAAAGTGGCGGGGCGCAGCATGCGCAGCGACTCCGCCGTGGACGCCGCACCGGTGATCCCGCTCGCGACGAAGTCGGTGAAGCCGCGCATGTGCTGCGAGACGCTGCGCTCTCGCCGCGCCAGCGTGCGACCGGGAAAGTTTACGTTGGCGGGGTTGACCTGGTTGCCCGACGGCGACCCCCCATCCCGGTTGCTCAGGATGTCCTGCACCTCCTCGGCTGACACGAGCGGCTCCAGCGGATCGGCGTGCAGCTCCGACGCCTCCGAGAACTGGCTGAGAAGGTGGCGGAACTGCTTGACGTAAAAGTCAGACATGTATTTGAGATACAGCTTCTTCACCTCCTTCGCAACGGGTGGGTTGTAGAGCTGCAGGAAGCGGAAGGCGAACTGCGCCGACTGCTCGAGGTTGCGCTGCTCCTCGGCGGTGCGGGCCGGGTCCTCCGGCAGGGCAACAATTTTCTTGGTGAGAAAACGCTGTAGCTTGTCGCCCGCCTTGTGCGCGGCTGCCGTGAGTTTCGGCCGGATTTCGTTGTCCACGGCGGAGTGCTGCAGCGCCTTGCTGCCGGACAAGAAGGCAAGACGCCGGTCCAACTCCCGAAGGTTCGCCAGGTAGTTCGCGTCGACGTCTTTGTTCGAGATGACGTCGCAGAACGAGTCGCACTTCTGCAGCGCGCTGTATACCTCGTTGATTTTGTTGCTGACCTGCCGCCGGTTGTTCACCTTGCGGACCAGGCCGTCGGTCTGCTGCTGCATAAAGACGATATCGTTGGCGTTGCCTTCCAACTTCCGCTGAAACGAGAGAATTTCTTCGTCGAAGTCGACGACGTGCTGCTCGCACGCGCCGAACTCGTGGTACAGCTGCGCGATCGCCTCTGCTTGGGTGATGTTCGTCTTGATGTAGGCGTCGCGCAGATCTCCCAGTTGTCGGTCGTGCTGGCGCAGTGTGCTCTCGAGGTCTTGGCCACTGCGCAAGTACTGAGCGAGGGTGGCGGACTGCGAATCGTCCTCCTCGCCAGTGGCGCCGCCGAGGAGTTCGTCGATCTCCTCCAAGCGGTAGAGCGCGAGTTCCGCGTTTTCTGCCTCGTTACCGACGGTGCTGTTCAGCATCGCTATTGTTCGTTTTTGTGTGGTGCTGCTCGTGTTTCGTTCTGTGCGAGATGAGAAAAGGAAGTAATAAAGCTATCGAGTTTGAGTATACTTTTTCGGGGGGAGAGCAGATTTGCTTTTAGGATGCGTCAGGGCACCAATGGAAGCGAGGAGCTCCACTCAACAGATCGGGAGTAACGAAGAGGTAAGGTCGAGAGAGGAGACGGTGAGGCTACCAAGGAAGAGATTCCGTATAGCTGGTCAGTCGCCAGCATCAACCATCTTCTCTTTTCTTGTTACGAGGAACAAACAGCGAAGAAAATGAGTCGCACATGCGGCTCATCCTACCGCTCAAGCAGAGAGTAAAGCAAGGGAGGAAGGTGAGGGGCGAAAACAAAAGGCGAAGCATCCCCTGCGACCGCAACCTTTTTAATTGCTACACCTTGCGGAGGAAGGTCTCCAGAAATGACCACCAACAGCTCACTACAACACCCGCACGGATTCGCACGTATCCTTCACTCCACCCCACCCCACTCCTTGTTGGAAACGAAGGAACAGTCCTTTCGTATTTCAATTGATTGGGCACTTCTTATTCGTAGTTCGCTTGCTATGAAGACAAAATTACTCGCGAGATGGCAAACAAATGACAAAGGATCAAACAGTCACCAAGCATCCTTGTCGTGGCGGGCAACCACGGTAGTGGGTGAGTGAGTGGGACAGAACATATAACTCGCGATTATGACAGCTTGAATTCGGAGAGAGGTAGATTCAAGCCAAGGAGATCAGAAAAAGCAAAGGCAAAAAAGAGGGGAATGAGATCAACATCACGGTGGGATAAAAGATGCGGTGCTCTCAGCATCCAGAAGGGTTTTCCGCCTTCCCGCCTTCATTCTTAGAACACGGCTGAGACAACGTCTTCGTACGTCATACACCGCAGCCATTCCAGCACCTCACAAAAAGAAGACAACGCGTATCTGATACGAGACAGCAGCAACCTCATCGGGAGGTGTGCAGTGGCCTTCGCTCAAAACGCGCATAGTAGCGCCACGACCGCACCCGTCCGTACATCAATAGAGAAGCACCGTACGTTTCCTCTCTGCCTATGGCATTTTCATTTCTCCTCCTTCTTCTGCACGTCAGCGTCATCGTCGTCATCCACACAGATTGATCCGCGGTCACGGCAGGTGCCTGCCGTTTTCTTTCCCTATTCAACACACCGTGTACCACATAGACGTGTTAAGAAAAAAAGGGAAACCAGAAAAAAAAGCAAACAAAAAATAATATTACAAGGGAGCGCTGAATCAGTTTCATTCCAGCGGATTACGGTTGAGGTCAGCAAGCTGCATCGAAATTGAAGAGACAGACGGAAACAGGAAAAAAAAAGAGGAAGAAGACAGCGTTGACAACACAAAGTGCGCCAGCTTTTGACTGAACTTGCTTTGCACGTTCATTATGCAGCATAGCTGCCATGTGTTTATCTGAGTGAACAGCAATTATTAGCTTTCGTCCAACTCCGTTTTCTGACACATAAACACGCTTTCCTTTTACTTCCTTGCATCACTACACTAATTAGCTGAAAGAAAGAAAAAAAGAGGGAACCACTGCAACGCAACAAGAGATAGAGAATTATTATCGACGACAGCGTTTTTAATCTCGGCGCGACGAATCTGTTAGCTAGTAAACCTCTGGCTACAGGATAATGAGAACAACGCGGTCGAGGAGCCGCGTAACTCGGGAAGGGTGATGGTGGAATTCAAAAAGAAGGGGTGTTGCAACATTCTGTGAAGAAGCACAACCGTACAGTTTATATATATATATATACAAAGCAGAGGAGCTATCGCATTAGAAGAAGAAAAGAAAATGGAAATTCAGCTGGCAGCTCCACTCGAAAAGAACACCCGAGCGTTCCATGTCGTTGTCGACTCCATCTTTTTTTACCTTTCCTTTTCTGTCATGCGCAAAGGCTTCTTCACCTCGCATCCTTCCAAGACTTGCCGTCCCCGTTGCCCAGCGACGACCCTCCTGTCGAGATCTCGCTGGGTGCATTGTTGCAAATGCGCAGCATCTCCACATACGCCTCGCGGGTGATCTGCATCAACGTCGTATCCTGCACCACGCGGCAGCTAAAGGTCGGCACAAAGAGGTCGGACGACAGAGCATCCGTCGCCAACAGCGACCAGCTTCCCATCTCCAGCGCGATAGACTCTTTGCCGGCGAAGACCTCCACGCGGCCGGAGATGATGAGGGAGAAGACGGACGATGGCACGCCATCGCGGTAGAGCCACACGTTCTGCTTGTCGTCGTCCTCCATCCCACGCGCGTCCTTCGGGGCACGCACGCGGTACACCGTCGTGCACTGTGATATGCCCTGAATGAGCTGCGACACGTCCTCCATGCTGAGCTCCGGCAGCGACTCGCACAGGAAGAGCGCGGCGGCGCGCAGCTCGTTGTGGTTCAGGTGCACGCGCCGCGAACACTTGGAGGTGAGCCCGATCTGGCGCTTGGAGGCAATGTTTGCGCTGAGGAGGTTGCCGCCGGCGTTGTGCTGAATCTGCTGGGGGTCGATGTCGTACTCGTCGAAGATCTCGCTGTGGATGAGCTCCTCGATGATGTCCTCCATCGTCACGAGACCCTTCACCTCGTAGTAGGGGTCGCCGTAGGGCCGCTGCTGGACTTCCTGCACCAGCGCGATGTGCGACTTGCCCGTCTGGAAGTATTTCAGCATCGAAATCAGTTTCGTTTCCGACGGCACGACGTGGCAGCGACGGTTGTAGAACTTAACGAGCAGCAGCACCTTTGTGTTCTCTTGTGGGTTGGCCATGAGCAGGTCCTTCGCGAAGAGCACACCAATCACGTTGTTCTTTGTTGTCTGGTACACCGGGATGCGGCTGTGGCCGTGGTCAGAGATGAGCTGGATCGTTTCCTCGTTCAGGCGCTCATTTGCCTCGAGCATCAGCATCTCGCTCACCGGCGTCATCACCTCCATGACGGTCTTCTCATGCAGCTCCATCGCCCCCACCATGAGATCCACCTCCCCGGCGCCGATGCCGGACTCCGCGCTGCGGGCCGCGTGCATGAACATGAGCTTCTTCAGCTCGTTACGCTCGTAGATCTGGCCAGGGTCTTTGCCGATAAATTTGTCCAAAATTAAGCTGAGTGGCTTGCAGATGGGCCAGAAGATCACGACAAAGAACTTGACGATTGGCGCGGACCGCGAGCCGACCTGGAGGGCGTGGGCGGCCATTAGCGCCTGCGGGATCACCTCACCGCCGAGGGTGGTCAAGGCAGTGGAGACGACGGTAGCCACCCAGCCGTGGATGTGGGAGTCGGTGATCTGCGCGATGAGCGTGTTGACCATGACGTTGCCCAGAATCAGCGTGCACAGCAGCTGATTACCCAGCTGGCGAATCGGGAGAATCTTTTGGGCGTACGTCTTGTCCGGCTCCGAGCCGCTGTCGGCGATAATCTCCAGCGACAGCGTGTCCAGCCCGAGCAGCGCCAGCGTCAAGCCGGCAAACAACGCCGCAAAGAGCAGCAGCACCGTGTCGGCCACTACCAGCGAGATCCATCCTGACGCGCCGAGGTCCTCCGTGTCCTCCTCGAGAATGAGGTCGCCGTGGCCGTCGTCCGGCGACTCCACCGTGGCCTTGGCGGTCGCAGCCGCAACGCCGTGGGCCTGCAGCACGAGGCAGCCGATCAGCACCAGCGCTATGAACTGCAGCGCTGAGAAGAGAGCAGCGCGTGGGCTGGCATGGCGAAAAAGCTGTGCTTTCATGAACGTCTACAAAAGAGCGACTTCGCAAGCGAAGCGAATAAAGAACGAGAAAGAGAAAAGGGAAAGGAAAGGAAAGGAAGAGAGAAACAAAATATGTGAGAAGCAGGCAGTCGACGAAGTGCAAACGACAAAAAAAACAACTAACACACGGCAAAAAGAAGGACAAAGAAAAATACAGCGGGTTTGCGAAGAGTATGCGCCACGATGAGACAACTCTGCAGGTGGAAAAAAGGGGGAGAAAAATAAAAGCGAAGACACAAAGACTTCGTCAAGCAAGCAATAAAGCGAGAACACTCACCAGCAGCAGGTGAAGGCGATTTATTATTGTTGTTTATTTTGATGTATGTGTCGGTTCGACCGGTCGGAAGGCGGCGGATTTGAGACGCAGGAGGAAAAGCAGAAGAGAGAAGTACGACAAAGACGCCGTAGAAAACAAATGGAAAGAAGAAGGAATGCAGTTGAAGCAAAGGAGACAATAATGTCAGAGGTTTTCTTTTCTTTTGTATTGCACCAACGTGACGCAGGTCGGAGAAGAAGTATATATAAAGAAAAGGCCAAAAAAAAAACCGCCATAAGCACTCTTGGAATTGTGTGTTCCTTCATCGGTCTGTGACCGCTGACTGGTGGGCAAATGCAGCATCAAAACTGTAGTGAACGAAGACCGTGATAAGCAATGCTCTCCAGCGTGAGACGAGTCTGATCGTTTGTTTGTGTTTATTGTGGATGATATTCTTTCACAGCATCTTGGAAGCAGTCACGTGTGAGACGTGTCACTAGCAGGGAAAAAACGAAGTAAAGGGAGAGAAAAAAAAAAAGAATAGCGGCACGGCGAAATCGACCAGACAACGGTCTTCCCCTTCGGCAATAGCAGGGAAGCAAAAAAAAAAAGGGGGCGTTACTCGTCGACTACTGCAACCGGAGTGCGAAAGCACGACTCTACTCCCTTCCCCCTCTCTCGCTCTTTACAATTCTCTTGCAGGAGCTGATCTCTTCCACTAGCGTGGCGGCGCTGACGGAGGACTTGGGCTGCCTCGCAAGATGTCCACGATCAGCGACGCCAAGCGCAGCCGCTCCGCATCGGACACCCGGCCGAGAAAATCGGCTGTGAGGTCCGTGGCGCACCCCGACGGGGCTGTCGGGGTTGACGCAACGGAAGCCGTCGCCGCCGGCATCGGAGGCGGTGGAGGAGGCAACGGTGGAGGAGGAAAAGCAGAATCCGCACTCGCAGATGCGCTCACTGCTTCATTTGTGTTTCCGCCAGCTCCCGCACTCCACGGCGCAAAGGGGTCGAACCGTGCCACATTCGTTGCGCTACTCCGCATCGGAGGAGCAGAGGAGACTGTGGGTAAGTAGAAAGAAGAAGTAAGGCCCCGCAGGGGGGCTGTCGGGGGAGCGTTGTACCTTTCATTGCAGCAAAGTTGCCGCCCCGGTTGCAGCCGCGGACGCTCTTGCGGGAGGTTTGAAGGCCACGAAGCACCTTGCAGAGGCGTTTGCTGCTGCATCGGTATGAACCCAGAGCGACCGCCAGCAACGGCGGCGGTATTCTTGTCCGGCGATGGAAACGATTTGCGGGGGCCGAACAGAAAGCCGAGGGGTAATTTAGTCCGATCAGCGATGTCAATCGGCGTGGCTGGAGGCGACGGCGCAGCTGTTGGACCGGCGGCTGGAGCAGTCATCACCATCGCCGGTTGATTTGAATGTTCTACTCTCTCTCGGGGGGCTGAGGTGGCCGGTGTTCGCTGGGTCACGCTGGCAGCGGCAGCCGCTGCGTCGCTGCCCAAGACGGTCGTCAAATAAAACTGAAGCGTGTCCTGCTCGTGCGAAGCACTCGCACCGGTATCTGCAGTTGTTGCTTGAGCTGGAGGTGAAACAGAGATAGGGGCGGCACTCTGTTGACCCTTTTCGCTTGACGATGTCTCTATTTCAGTAGCGACAGCAAGGACACCAGCATCCGCCGCAGACGGTGGTGGTGGTGGTGGTGGTGGCCATGGAGACGCACCCGCACTTTGCGTGACCTCGGCTGCATCTCGCAGCAAGGCGTCGTAGAGCGTAGCATCAAAAGAGAGGTGCTCATCACATTCCGTTAGCTGCGGTGTATCGATGTCCTTGGCCGGCAACAAAACGTCTTCGGTTGTGATTGAGGAGTCAGGAGTAGCAGCTGCAGCCGCCAGCACAGGAGTGCCCGTCTCCAACCCATTCACTTCCGCACACCTGCTCGCATCTGTGTCAGAGAGAAGCGTAGACCTCCAATGAATCGGCGGGAGTGGCTCCGGACCATAGGTTGCGATGAGTTCCCGCAGCAGCGCTCGTGCGGCTGCCGGAGAGAGGGACTCACCTGATTGACGCGTGCTCTGCGCCAAGTCGATCTCCCAACAAGAACCGCCCAGCGTGCTCGTGAGGCCGCTCAGCCAACGCGTGTAGCGCGACAAACGCACGGCAACACTGTGGTCGTGCATCGCACGCGTCGAGCCGGCCCACCTCCTCAGCAAGTCCGTCAAAGACAGGTGGCTCTCTGTGCCCCTCAAGAGCGAATGGGCGTGAGGAGGTGTAACGCGAGGGCAGTGCAGCTGTTGTTCTCGGTGCCGGTCGCGACACAGCAGCAGCGCTGCGACAGCCAAACTCGCTGCGTCGTGGACTGCTTTCATTATGGAGTCTCTTTCGGCCTCACCCACAACCTCATGTGTGATCTGATCAGGCGTCACCTCTATGCGCACATCGTGTCGCTGATTGACTGTCGCCGCCAACAAAAGGTCTCCCTCTTCGTCGTCCTTTGCCATCAACTCTCCCATCGGAATTCCAGCGTAGCAGGCCACGTGCTGGAGCGGGCAGAGCGTAATCACCGAGTCCTGTAAGACGCCAAACAACCGTGCCAGCCCACCGCGCCGCGCGTTGCCGTAGAAGCGAGAGGGGACAACTTTGGCCACCGAGTCGTGGCAGAGAAGACGCGCAAGCGCATCCACCCCACACGGTGCCTCTTCCGTTTGTTCTTCCGGTGATGAAAATGCTGATGATGCGTCAGCCTGGCTCGTTTGTCCTGCGGCAGAAAGACGTGTGAGCAGCGCCGAAACGCACGGCGCAGTAATCACAACGACATCCACACGAGTTGACACACACGCAAAGGCCAGAAGCAGCTCCTGCCCGGCACTACTCGTGGACAAGGGCGTCCCTGCGCTGCGATCGACACAAGAAACACACACGACGTTCCCGCGAAAATGTCTCTTCTCCTCTTCTTCTGCCGTTGCTGCTGCAACGTCGCTGGCCCCAGCAGAAATTTTGCAGCGCAGAAACGACGCAAGGGATGGTGGCACCACGTCGGTAGGACTGCTTCGTACATGAACGGCGACAGAGGCGGGCACAAGATGAGAAGCAGCCGCGGTAACGCACACTGCGGCAGCGTTACATGCTCTCTGTGCCTGCCGCAGTACGTTCAACACCACATCCGCTGCTCCCCGGAGTTCGTGTGCAAAGGCAGGATGTAATTGAACATGAAGCGAGTTATCGGTGCTGTCATGCCGACGCACACCTGGCCGCGGCGACGGAGGCGGAAGCCCCGCGCAAACAAGGTCACGCGCGGGATCATGGATCTGAAGGGCAAAGGCCAGATCTGGATGGTCCAGCAGAACCTCCATGCAAGGGAAAAAAGTTCTACAAACTGAGAACGGCGGAGAGATGTCGGAGCTCTGCTGAACGACTGCTTCCGCCGTGGACGCCTCTGGCTGCTCATCACCCTCCTTTCTACACCTTTGTACATCAAAGACGCGTCGAATGTCGCTGAGATTCGCCGCCGCTGTTGGAACTGTGGTAGCGAGCAACCAAGAGGCGTAGTGCATTAGCTGTGGGCCGTAACGAACGTTCTGCACAAGCGAGTAGCGCTCCCGCGGCATCGCACAGGTGCCCGGCTGAGTGCTGAAAATAAGACGTGCTGGGCAGCCAAACTGAAGGCACACCTCCTTCGAGGGCACGCGTACGGCGCGCCCATCCGCCGTTACTTCAAGGCACGGTGCATCAGTACTAGAATCACCGAAGTCGGTTTGCGCTCCATTTGAGGGACTCACAGGATGCCCGTCAACAGCAACAGCAGCAGCTCGTTCGGCTGCTGTAGACGCCGTACGCGTCCACAGGTGCCAGAGACGCGCTCCGTCGGATGGATACCTGCGCAGCACATCTTCTCGTACGAGGTCAGCCGACACATAAAAGGTTGGCACGCTCTCTAGCAAGATGCGCCAGCTGCGTTCCTGGTCGGTTTCATGTGTTTTCTGGAGGGAGACAAAAAACCCGTTGGGCACTCCGTTTGAGCTTCCAACGCCGTCACACGTTGAAGTCGCAGAAGACGGTCGTCGCTGCGTCTCCATACCCTTCTGAAAAGAGCCCGGCCCATAGTGAGAAGCAGTGAAAGAGGTAACACCCGCAAGCAGACGCTCCCTCTGCGCTGACGTCACCCACGGCTGCCACGACACGCGCACCTGTCGCAATACCCGCTGCATGTACAGACTTGCAGCAGTCGAACCCTTTTCGGCGTTGCCCTCCATCGCCTCGTCGCAGTACGCCGCGAGCACGGCAAGATGCTCCGTTGCAGCATCGAGCTGAAGAAACAGTGGGGCAAAAATGCGCAGCTGAGCAAAAACCACTTCCGTTGGTGTAGATGGGCAAGGGACGTGTTTGCCTCCCCACGTCGCAAGGTGCAGCGAGTCGACAAGCGCGCCGACACTTGCAGCCGCGGACGTTACGGGGCTGCGTTTGCAATTGTCTTCCGCAACTTCAGAGTCTGTCTCTTCTGTAATCGTGCCGTGTGCTTCACCCAGTTCGGAGATAGGAATGCGTGACAGCACGTCCGCCACGCTTCTCGAAAGGGCAACCGAGCTGTAGGCAGCACCACCACTACCCTGCTGTCTCCTCCACCTCAGCCATGCGTCAACGACGGCGTCGGGGAGCACGTCACCGCCTTCCCTCGACAGCGTGACGGAGGCGGAGGGGACGGCGCTCGTTGTTGGGGACAACGCAGGACTCAACCACCAGCGGCTGCCCAGCCTGCGCTGTGAGAACGCGATCAGAAACCCGCTCCGAGTTCGGTGCATCCGTTTTCGGGCCTTTTCTTCACTTTTTGGGGGAGATGCACAGGAAGCAGAGTATGAGGCGGTGATCCACCAACACACTGGCTCAGCGCGAGCCTTTCGCGTCGTTGAAGTGGGTGTCTCCTTCTTTTCTCCCGTGTGGAATATGCGGAGGAGCGGGTCTTGGGTAAGGCGCTACTTGCGCATCGGCTGACAAGGCGTTGGCGGGAAGGGCGGGTACATAAAATGTCTTTGGTGTTCAACGTGGGTATTTCGAGTGCCTTGTTGAAGCCCAAAAATAAAAGAAGTCTTCAGGTGGGTTTGTAAGTATACGGGGTAGAAAGCACAAGACAGAGGGAAAGAAAGAGTTGAGATGCTACATGAACGCTACGTTCTTCGCACTTGTGCTACACTGACGGCAGAAGCAAGGATGATCAGCGAGTCGCGAAGAGGTACAAGAGAAACGTACAATAGGCATCAACGCGCCCCGTCTCCGCGCAAACAGCCTGCTCGATCTCGGCATCCTTCCCCGCGCACACGCGGTTGGTTTAAAGGTAAAAGAGTTCCAAGAAAACCGCGCGGGATGCAAAGTCTCTGAACCTCAGAAAGGGTAGCTGTTAATAATTTTATAATTCATCCTTGTATAGCACAGTAGCGAAGCAAAAGTAGTTGCAAAAAGAGGTCCAGTTATTCTCAAAAAAAGGAAGCGAGACCGTAAACGAAGTAGTTGGGCATGATCGGGGCTGAGTACGAGATCAATAATGCTGCCACTGCCCAAAAAAGTAACCACAGAAAAGCCCTTACGATGCAGCAGCGGGGGCGGGAAAGTGTCGTAGCAGCTCACTTTAAATAAGAAGATAAAAAGGAAAGAAAACGCATTTACTTGCCTCATCACATGACGGAAAGGAAAAAAAAATCGGAGCAACAAAGATACGCACCAAAGACGCGAAGAAAAAAAAAAGATAAGGGAAAATGAAAACGGTGCACCTTCTTTAGAGAAAAAGGGAGGGCTCTTCAGCCAACGCAAAATCTGATAGCTTGCGGGGTTCGCATGCCACGACCCGCTTTAAAGTGAGAATGAAAAACTATAACACAACATGGAAAAGGGGAGGAATATTCTGATTTGCAAAGTGACCAGAAAACCAAAAACCTTCTTCGTCGTTGCTTTTTTTTAGCTTGCACCAGTGATGATGTTAGATGCTTCGTTGCACCAACCGGAAGACTGCAAGTAGAGGGAAAATAGAGGAGACAACTGCTTCGCCAATGCACTGTTAACCTCTTTCTTGGTGTCGCCACAAATGCCGCGCGTTGGCAGCATTTACAGTTTTTCTTGCTCGTACGGCATCGTACATATACTGTCATATATATATATTGCCGTTCCGCAACAGCTTCAAAGTGTGTCATTGCATTCCTTCTGTTTCTCTCTTTCCCTTCTTTTAACATCGAGTGCCTTCATACATGCGCGTTCGCTATGCCTCGTCTTCGCCCACGTCCTCGTTGACGAAGAAGCTCAGCTTGGGGGGCGGGTAGTACTTCAGCGCGTGGTACGGCGAGATCGACTTCCAAAAGTGCGATGGATTGTCGTCCTGGAAAAAGGTGCGAAGCACCCGCACCGGCACACTGCGCCGCAGCCAGCTCCGCTCGCCAAGGTGCACCATCAGCAGCCGCTGGAACTGCAGCGCGTCAGGGAACCACATCACCTTCGCCATCGCGTAAATGGCGAGCGAAGCGCACACGGCCACCGTAAGGCCGACGTAGGCGAGGTAGAAGGATGGGCTCGTGAGCAGCACCGAGAACGTGCCGTTCGGCGACGTTGGCACCCGCGCGTAAATCCAAAAGCTGATAAAGCACGAGTACACGGAAAAGAGAAAGCAGTTCCAGTGGGCGATGGTGATGGCATGCGACTCGGTGCACACCGTATACGTGTGTATCGTGACGACGGCGATGTAGACGGCGTAGAAGTCGCCGCCGCGGTCCAGCACCCACCCATTCGAGACCAACGCACCGCTGCCGCTCTGCAGGCCCATGGACAGGTAGTAGACCATTGTCCCATGCAGAAATGCGCGGGCAATGTAGCCGTAGAAGGTGGTGGCGCTCATGTAGCGACCGCGTTGCGACATGCTGTACAGCTGCGGCGTCGTGCGCAGAATCCACTGCGAGAGCGGCATGTCCATGACGCACAGGAACGTTACCGGTACGGTGGGGATCGCGTTGTACAGGGTGAGGCTCAGCGAGTCCCAGTACGACACCCCCGAGAAGTCGGTGGAGATGTTGTACAGCACCTGCACCCACGCAATGAGGACCGTCTTCCAGAAGCTCTGCTGCACGATCATCGCCGTCCGCTGATACGCCGTGTGCCCGTGGACCAGAATGAGCTTCGATAAGAAGCGGAACTGCCCAATGGCGAAGTCCGACGCCAGCTTCGCCTGGCTGCCCTCGAGGCCTTTGATGCCCACACCGACGTGTGCCGCCTGCAGCATCGGCACATCGTTGCCGCCGTCGCCGATGGCCAGGGTGATGTGGCCCGAGCGCTTCACCAAGTCCACGACGTACGACTTTAGCGACGGCGCCGTGCGGCTGCAGACGACGGAGCGGGCCTGCAGCAGGCAGCCGCGGAAGAGACGCACGACCGCGCTGTGCCCGTGGGAAGCGACGTCCTCGGCTTCGAGGAGTCGCAGCGTCTTGCCCGACAGGGCAACGCAGTACCCCCGCTTCAGCCCGCACGTGTTGTAGTTCCCCGACGCCGTGAAAGCAGAGCCGAAGTACAGGCCGGGACGACGACGCACGGCGCCGCACACGGCTGGCACCGCGTCCAGCACCACTTTGCTCACCGGACCACTCTGCGCCTCAATCAGGCTGAGGGGCTGCGTGACAAGAGGGTGGTCGACCGGCCGAATCCGCTCGCACGTCGCGGGCCGCGTGAACTCGTGCACGAAGTCGCACAACCCCGACGACCGCCAAAAGAAGCGCCGCGACCACTCCTTCAGCTTCTGCCACCGCGTCACCGTCTTGCGGTCCTGCGTGCCCTCCTCGGCGAGCAGCTGCATTATTTCCCCGAGCCGCACCGACACGTAGGCAAGGTGCTCCGTCGCGGTGAGGAGGTCCTCATTCGGCGGGGTCAACGTGACGACGCGGTCCTCGGAGGTCAGCAGCCCGCAGGCCACCGCCGTCTGCTTCGCCGTCTCCGTCTTGTCGCCCGTCAGCATCCAGACGCGAATGTTCGCGTGGCGCAGCTGGGCCAGCGTCTGCGCGACGCCCTCCTGCAACTCGTCCTTCACGGCAGTGATGCCGCAGTAGGTGAAGTCGTGCTCGAGGAGGGCGTAGATGCGCTGCAGCTCGGCCTCGCGGGTGGCGGCGGCAGCAAAACTTGTCTTCACCGTCTCGAAACGGCGCAGCGCCTCCTTCGCTTCCTCCTCTGACAGAAAGCGGTAGCCGTACACGAGCGTGCGCAGGCCGCGGCGGGAGAAGCGCGCCAGTCGGTTCGTAATGTCCTCCAGGTGCGTGCTGCTGTATTTGTCCGTGCAGCGCGGCAACACCTTTTCATCTGCGCCTTTGATCAGCAACACGTACGTGAATCCAGACGACGCGCTTCCTTTGCCGGTAGAACGCGCCGCGTTGAACGCCATTCCAGGCACATCCGGGCAGCGCAGCAGCACGCTCATCATTCCACGATCGGAGCTGAATGGAAGGGTGTAGACCAGCTCCACCTCCAGCGACGTCCCCGAGTCACCCCACAGGGCCACCGTCGCGTGGCTGCGGCTGCGGTGGCGCAGCGGAAAGCCGCACTGATCCGCGCCGTCGACGAGAGCCACCTCGTCCGGGGAGGCGGACATCCACCGACTCGGCGACGGCGACGCCGCCTCCGAGGCGGTCGAGCGGGTGGCGCTGCCGTAGCTGCTGCTGCGAGTGTGGACGCCACCCGCACCGCTGAAGCGTGGCGACAGCGTGCGCTCGATAGTGTTGCAGAACACCATTGTCAGCATTAGATAGTAATCCTCCACGCACCCGGCGGCGAGGCCAGCCTTGATTGTTTTTCCAACCTCACACAGCGGCTGCTCGTCGTCACTGCCTCCGCCACCGCTACCGGCGCCGACGGAGTCGTAGGTGCTCGAGAAGACCGCGTCCGTCGCCGTGGCCAACGCGCTAAACGTCATGGTGTTCGCCGTCAGCGTGCCCGTCTTGTCGGACAGCACGTACTCTACCTGTCCCAGCTCCTCGGCGAGGGCGGAGTTGTTGACGGACGCGGACTCCTCACTTGTCTTGATGTCCTCGTCCCACCGGATGACGTAGCTGACGTAGGCCTTCGATATTTCCACCATGACCTTGAAGGACAGCGGCACCATCGGGGAGAGCATCATGAGATAGCGCAGTGGCAGGATCGGGAAGTACTCGCTGAAGTCCACCGGGTCGGCGTCGCCGCCGAGGTACCAGAGCGAGGCGTGCTTCCGCAGCCGCGTGCAGGAGAAGAAGGCGCACGTCGCGACCAAGACGACCTGCACCGCGAAGATGAACATCGCCAGGTAGTTAAAGAGGTGGTCGATGGTGGCCCACTTGGTCGGCGGCACGTTGCGCGTCATGCTCGTCTTCGTCTCACGCCCGGTGAAGACGACAAGCGCGATGATGAAGTGCGTGTTGCCGGTGCGGCTGGAGGCGTAAATCACGTTGTCGATGTTCACCGACAGGGTCTGCTCCGGGCCGTCGAAGTACTCTACGGCGTCCGCCACCGGCGCGGCAGAGTCAAACGCAGAGCGCGTCGACGTGGAGGGGGCGACCTCGCCCGGCGAGTTATTCGCGGCCAGCAGTCGGCTGTGCTCGTCGTTGCTGCAGCGCGAGTTTGCCATCATCGTCGGCGACGCGTGCCCCGAGCGGCGAAGGGTCATCGATGACATCAACGGCATCGGCAGCGGTCGCGGAAAGCCCTCGTCGAGCGCCGCTTCGGAGGGGAGGGGGGATAAGTTGTGTGAGACCGTCACGATGGGCGAGATCTCCGCCGCGTCTACGCCGTCAGCAACATGCAGGGCGTCAACGGAAGCATCAACAGAGCCGTCATGATGACCAGCGTCCGCGTTGGGGGCTGGGAGAGTCCGATCGCGCCAGCTCACCGGCGACGACTGCGGCACGCGTATCGTTGCAGCGCCGTGGTAGGAGTGCAGGTGCGAGTTCGGCCCTTCCGAGCTCAGCGCGAAGCGGGTGGAGAGAGCGTAGCGGAGGCAGTGCAGTTGGTGCTCCTCTGCCGTCGCGCAGCAGCTCCGCACGTCCCGCGGCGGATTGTCGGTGGGTTTGCCCGGTAGTGCCGACGTGGCGTGACTTGTTGCGGCAGCGGCTACAGCAGCGTCGGGTGACGCCCCGCCGTTCAGCCCAGACGGGTGCGGCAGTGACGCCACGGGAGAGGGGGTATTCGAGGTGTACTTGAAGACGTGGTGGAGCAGGGCAAAGCGCTGCTTCGATCCCGTTTCGCCGTCCAGCGACTCGGTCGTGATGTACGCGCCGCCGCCGTCGTGCGACGTCAAGAGAACGACAACGTCGCTGGGGACCACCTCAAAAGGGTGCAGGAGCAGCAGGTCGCCAACGCGGATGTCCGCGCTGGCCACCTCCTCCAGCTGCAGCGTGCCGGGCCTCACGCGTTGGTAAAGCCGCTCATTCACCTCAACGTCCTGGCGATGTCGTCGCAGGTCATCGACGCCCTCCTTCACCGCGTTAATCAAGAAGGCGGTGGTGATGGGGAAGATGGTGGTCAAGGGGCTCACAGGGGCCACCGACGGGATAAACTGCAGGGCGGCAACAGTCAGAAAGTAGATGTTAATGGGACGGTGGAACTGCTCATACAAGTTCAGCGGCAGGAAAGTGAAAATGTTGTATTTCGAGCTGCAGATGCGGTTGTCGCAGTACTGCGTTCCGCCGTGTGGGTCGTTGAGTTCGATGATGCGCGTCTCGGACGAGCGATCTTTGGCCGGCTTCGTGAACAGCTGCTGGACCCACTGCTTCATCGTTCCATAGGCTCGCACGTGTACGCTACGACAACACGCGACGGCGGAAGCGACGCTGTAAGGAGGGGTCCGCGAGGATCGGCGGCGGGAGGGCGGCGTCGTGATTGCTATTTGAAACTAGTGAGGAGAGTTACCTCGTTCGGTACTTCAATTAAATAATGCAAGGAGTTTCTTGTTCGGGGAGAACAAAAAAAAACTCACTTCACCGTGGCCGTTTTTAGCCTCCAGAGATGGAAAAAAAAAAGAAGAAAAGAATGCGAACTCGTCGTGCCCAAGGCAAAACCGATACGACAAAAGAGAGAGAGGAAGGGACTGCTACCTGCGTTCCGCTTTCAGTGCGCGTGTGCCAACAAACGTGCTGACGTCCAACGAAGGCGATGAAAAGCAGCTGGGAAAAAAAGAAATGCAGAATTGCAGTGTCGCACGGCGTTAAATAAACGCAAAAAGACGAAGAAAAAAAGATGATGCAGGCGAGAGTTGCTTTGAAGTTTGCAGGAGAGACCAGTTGAGCAGGCGGGAGAACGGAAGCCACGTCCACCTGAAATCTTCAAGACGACGAAAGCAGCAAAGCAAAAACGGCAATTTTCATTTTTTCATGACGAAAGGAATTCATGTTGAACTCAACGCGTTGCTGGATGGTGTGTTGGTGTGGAATCACTCTACTGCAATCCGCTGCGCTGTACTTTTCGCTTACTCTCCTCAACCTTTGCCGGTTTACACCCGTTGGTGGACATATGTATTTGAGAGTGAATATTGTGAGAAGCACCCGATTATTTGTTTCATTTCAGGTGAAAATGAACCTTTCAACGCTTTCAATGCACACCAGCCATGGCGTTTCGTCTGCAGCCACTCGAAAAGCACCTAATTGCCGTTCAGGCGTGTGAGGGCGTCAGCGATGGACGCCTTCAGTGCAAGCCCTTTCTCCCGGTCAAGGAACGTTTTGCCAAACCTCCACGATAGCCAGCAGTACATCTCCGCAAGGCGAAACATGCGCTCGAGCTGCGCCACATCCTCCCTACGTTGCGGCACGGACGACGACGACGGCGGCGATGGAGGCCGTGCGGTGCCGTGATGATGACCGTCTTCGTTTTTTGATTGCCGAAGGCGCTGCAGCAACGCGTCGCACGCTGCATCGATCCGAAGACGCACGGGGATCTCTTTGGCGTGGTCCTCGGCGTACGCCACAACCAGCTGCAGCGCCTCCGGGCTGTCGTCGCTGAGTGGCAAGTAGCAGAAGACGATACGGTCCACAAGGGCGAGGTCTCGAACGGGCTCCAGCAGCTTCGCAATCCGCAGCAGCGACCGCTCCATCGCACAGGCGAAGAAAAGCGACGATGCCATGCACGTCGCGGCAAACTTAGACATCAAATCGGAAAAGGAGTCGTTCATCTCCTCGCCGTTTTTGCGGGCACGCGTGCTTTCCAGCTCCACATACAGCTGCAGTATGTCCGCCGTCGGCAGCAGCCCTGCCTTTTCCAGCGGTGGCAGCGTGGCGGTCATGGCTTCTTGGAACCGGCGCATATCCCGCTCGTCCATGACCGTGCACCGGCCCACGTCGTGTTGTCGGGCGCGACCAAATCGGCCAGACCGCCCGGCAATTTGCTGAACCGTCGCGGCAGGCACGTCCACCATCGCCGTGCCGTCAAACTTGCGCAGCGCGGTGAAGATCATTCGCTCGATGTTCATGTTGAGGCCGTAGGCAATCGCATCGGTCGACACCAATGCGTGCTTCGGTGTACGCGCACCTGCTGCCGTGCAGTTCGCAGCGGCTGTGTCCGAGGTTTGTCGAACGTAGGCGGCGACACCGCGGTTGAAGCGTGCCGCCTCCGCTTCTCGGACCTGGAATGGCATCGCCCCGTAAATCGCAGAGCTCGTCACGCCTGGGATTCGATTCAGTCGGTCACGCATGTCGAGCACCTTCTTCTTCGAGAAACACACAAAGCAGTCTCCGTTTTCGACAGTCTCCCGCAGCGACCCGGAAAGGCTTGGCGACACAGTCAACGGCACGAGCCGGGTGTGCTCCACACACGCAAGACGTTGCCGCTCATGCGTCGCGTGGAGCAGACGCTGCACCAGCGGCAACGCACGCTTCTCCCCGCAGAGGTGCACCTCGCGGGCCGGGATGCCTAGCAGGGCCCGTGTCCACGCCCAGCCGCGGTCGCGGTCGGCGAGCATCTGCACCTCGTCGATCACCGCGACGTCCACCGTGAGATCGATTGGGGTCATCTCCACCGTGCAGGAGACGTGCTCGGCGGCCCCACCAAACACGCGCTCGTCGCCGATGAGGAGGTCGCACGGTACGCGGTCATTCACGCGGTGCCACACCTGTGCAGCCAGCGCCTTCAGCGGGGCGCAGTACACCCCGCTCCGCGCCGCCATCATCGCCTCGAGGGCGGCGTGCGTCTTGCCGCTGTTGGTCGGGCCGTGGTGGAAAATGAACGTGCGTCGTGTGAGACGCGCCTGCGGGTACCATTCCCATGGCGCGTGCATCGCCACCTTCGTCGGGGCCTTCCGCACCGTGTGCCACTGCGTGACGCGCGTCAAAACAAGACGAATTTGCGCGGAGAGCTGCGGTGCTGCCGCGTCGAAGGCGGCCGCCCACGCCGCATCGCGCCACACCCCGGCGTCTCCCTCGAACTCACCCAGCAGGCGAAGGGCGTTTTCGTGCGACGGTTCGTGAATGGCCTGGCGAAGGGCCTCGCGTGCGGTGGCGCTGCGGTAGATGGCGTTGCAGACGACGTGTAAACGATCTTGACGAGAAGCGAGCGGTGGTTTCGTGGTGCTGGGGAATGACGCTGGGCCATCACGTGTGCTTACTCTACGGCGCGGAAAGAAACGCGGGAGCGGACACGCCGCCGAGGCGTCGCACGGATGCCGGCCCCATCGAGCAACGCGTCGCATTCCGCAAATTGGAGACCAGTGAAGACCGCGAACACGAAAACCAGCCCGCATCTCGCATGCAGAAGAGACAGCTTTAACGGTATGAATCGAACGGGAAGTCAGATAAAACCTTCTCGCCTGCCTGCGGGGAGGCAGAACCGTTTCTTTTTTGATTCGATGTGTTTTTTCAATTGTTTTTCTTTTCTTCGCTCTTCGGCTTTCACGCTTTTGATGGAAGTGCCGCCAAGATGGCAAGTGCACAGAAAGTGCCAGCGTCTGCAAGGGGAGACGAAGCGCACCTCAAACCATCATTGAAACTCACGCTCTCGTCATGCCCGGCACCCACCATTAACAACGACAAACAGAGAGCTAGAATAACAGAATCAAAGGCGAGGCAGATCAATAGGAGAAAGAGTTGAGAGGAACATACAGACACACACACACATGCATGAACGACTACAGTAGCGGCGTAAGAAGCTTCAAGTCAGCGCGCCTGCATCAAGACCAGGTGAGAACGATACTCTTTCTGTGAAACGCAAAGTTTTGTTCTTCAGCGCAGTTGCGTCCCCAAACGCGGTCGTCACATCGCTCTGCGGAGAAAAAAAAAAGAGGAGGAAATGGCAGTCTACACAGCTAAACAGCGCAGGAACGAAACGAGAGAAGACGTCTGTCGCACGGACGGCGCCATCATCCGTTGGTTGGTTCGTTTTATTCTTTATCCTTAATTAACAACGCTGCCGGATTTCCAGCAGGTCACTGCTTGGAAGTGGCGACCACCGCAACCCCGGAAAAACTCACCACAACTAAATACATCGTTTAAGAAGAAGAAGAAAAAAAAAACGGAGCACAAATCCATTTTTAAGCACAGCACACACATTGCTTTATCTTGTCAACGTCACACTCAAGCACCTGCTAAATCCTTATCTGGCGCCGGCTGCTCCGTTACTACTGCCGTGCAAAAGCACCCCTCTGTTTTCGCAGATATTTGCACCTTCGAGCACCAACACGTAGAACGCATACAGAGAAATATAGGAAAAGCGAAAGGAAAAAGCGCAGACGGGCGAAAACGCCTTCGTAGGCGATCGCGTCCGCGGCGACGGTTAGCTTGGGAGGGATGTCGAGCCCACTCCAAGTTGCCATTCGATTTTTATTTTTCCTCACAGCCCTCATCTACCTCATCACCGCACTTCCTCCTCATTTCGGTTTTCGCCCTCGCCCTCCACGCGCTGCCGCGTCGAGTTCTCCACGTGCGCGTCCTCCTCGCCAAACAGAAAGTCCTGCTCGTGCTCGTGCAACAGCTCCACACTGCGACGGAGGTCAATGAAGAGGAAGTACACCTTCTTAATGTCCTCCACCCCGACGGTTGAAGACTTGCGCTTCTGGGCCACCATGTTCGCCGTTGTGATGAGCTGGAGCACGTAGCGGAGCGAGGTGGTCTTGCCCAGCACCGTCAGCAGCGCGAAGGCGTCCTCGCTCAGCTCGACGTCCTCCTCCTCGCAGCGGATGTTGATGATCTTGCCCAGCTCCTCGTCCGTGTAGGCGCTCGTCGTGATGATGATCATGCGATCGAGAAGATCAATGGGGATGCCGTGTGGGGCACGGTACTGCGTGCCTCGAATGCGCGAGATGCCGCGGTTGGAGGCCACAATCACGACTGGGGCCAAGGAGCTCTCTAACGCGCGGTTGAGCCACGAGAAGCACTCAATGTCCAGCATGTGGACTTCGTCGATGAAGAGGACGCCCGGCACGATCTCGCCTTTGCCCTCCTCGCGCCACTCCGCCACCCGTTGATCGATCTGCTCCCGCACCTCCGGCTTGATCTCGCCGGTGTCGCCGGCGAAGAGGGCGAGAAAGCCCTGCTGGCGGGAGTTGATGACGTCCACCTCGTGCAGCGTCACGGTGTGCACCACCTCCTTCCGCTTCGACAGCTCCCCCTCCGGGGTCTGCACGAAGCGCGTGTTGGCGGACATCGCGTCAAAGTCTTTGCTGTGAACGAAGCTGCGGCCCAGCTTGCTAATGCGTCCCGTCGCCTTGTCAATCGTGATGACGTCGCCGACCTGCACCTTCTCCTTCTGCAGGCTCTCAATCATCTTCTGCCCGAGGTCGAAGGTCGACTCCATGTCGGAAGTCTTGAGCACGAGCTGCCCGGTGCGCTGGTGCGCCTCAGCCGGGTTCGTCGACGGCCGCTCAATCGTCACCTCCACCACCTCCCCCTCGATCATCTCTGTCTCCTCCTTAATGCGGACGCCGATGCTGCGGCGAAAGGCTTGTGTGAGGGCTTCCGTCTTGGACATCTCCAGCGAGAAAATCTCACTCCCCGCGATCATCGTGAAGGGCGTTTCCGGCCCCAATGACTGCGCCATGGCCATCGCGATGGCCGTCTTACCGGAGCCGGGCCCACCGGCCAGCATCACGCAGCGGCCCGCAATCTTGCCTTCCTTCACCATCTGCACGACCACACCCGCCGCGCGGCGAGCCTGGGTCTGGCCGACCATTCCCTGGCTCGACAGGCGTGCCTCTAAGGTGTCATCGAGGCCGAGGCCGCGGATGTGCGAGTGGGCGCCCACCCGCTCCACCCGCGTCAGGTCGCGTGCCTCCTCTGTGCGAATAGGACCCTCCGCCATGTTTTACAAAAGGAGAAAAAATATATATTTAGTTAAAGGATTAAGAAGAGGTGAATTCACCCGCAAAAGTTGTCACGTGGTGAGCAGGAAAAGCAAAGAGCCACAGAATAGCGGCTTTACTGCGTGCCGCACGGACAGTGACCGCTGCAGTTCGCTCCGCCTAGGCCCACTAGTATGAAAGCGGACAGCACAACGCCCACGAGTAGAGAGGATGTTGCGGAAGAACAAAGAAGAAGCCAAGGGATCGGGTGCACCCAAATAATAAGAATGCGGCAGACGCGAAAAAAGAATCGCACCTTTGAAGAACAGTAACAGAAACAATGAAAACAGCAAGAGAGGCGATCACAGTTGATCTACGCTGCTGTTGGTGTTGGCCGTGTGTCACGCGATGCCACAACTATCGCATGCGCGTGTATGTGTATGTGTGTGGGTGGGTGTTTCAGGCGACAGAGTAAAGTCAAGTGCAGAGAGCGGTGGTTCGTAAAGCGAGGAAAGGAAACAGGACGACAAGAAACAAGTGGACCGCACCATTGCGAAGAGTCAGATAGAAGCTACCAAACCTCGGAGCGCACTGTGGCGGACGCCTTTCTTTCTTTCTTCTCGAGAGAGCTAAGAGAGAAAAGGAAAAACGAAACACAAGTGCAGACTAAGAAATCTGCTCTTGCAAGCTTGGAAAGTGACAATACTCGTTGAGAGAAAAAACAGAGAAGACAGCCGAAGCGCTGCCCAAGACATCAAGAGCATCATATTTTTCCCCCCGCAGGAAAGAGGAGTTTTGTTGTGTTATCATTTCTCTTATAAAATGATTTTGTTGTCTTTGCTCTCGTTTACCCGTTGCGGCTGTGTTTATTAATCGGAAGTGCCACCATAGCATTCCCTCTTGTGGCGCTACACAGCGACTTTTCTCCTAAACCGATTCGCCATGGCCGTGATATCACGCGTTACAGCTTCGACGAATGGCTCTTCAGGAGCGCTTTCGACTTGGCGATGAACTGCGCACGCGCCTCCTCCTGGCTAAGGTTCTCGTACCGCTTCCACGCCTTCCACTTTCCGTACTCGAGCAGGTTGGCGCGGAATGGCTGCCGGCGAGTACACTTACCGCGCGCGGCGACGCACCACAGTCCGTACATCTCAATCTTCTGCGAGATCGACAGCTTCGACCGCAGAGGCGAGATGAGCTTCTCGTACTTCTCAAATTCAGCGGCGGACATCTTCTTGCCGTATCAGAAAAGGAAAATCTTTTCTTAAGGTCGTATACGAAAAAAAAAAAATAGATGAAGTGGTATAGATGTCAGCGCGTACTCAGGACGTGGTTCCTGCGATACAGCAGAGGAGTAACGGGTGTGTTCCACAAAGTGTGTGGTAGTGTTCCATAAGAAGCCGCTTGGATGTGCTTTGGGTGTCGGTTTAGTAGCGGGCCCAGAGAGTTCGAATACAACGTCCATTGGCAGAAACGCGATAACAAAAGCAGAAACAAAATCAGCAGTACCTCTATTCGTCTTTGATAACAATAAAGACTTCTCAGAGAAGTTGTCTGTTGCTTGTCGGCGTACTTCACTGAGAACGAATTAATCGAATACTGTAGCGCGGCCGCTAAAACTCATTTTTTTTCTTTCCGCCGTTCTTATTTGTATGTACTCTTAGAAAAACTTTGCATTTGCACATCCACGCTTGCCCTCTCAGCGAGTTCTCGTGGTCCACAGCTGCCGCGGCGAAGGCGCGGCAACAACATTCATTCGTCGAGGCTTCCACAACGTACACAACAGCGATGCTCTGCCAAGAAACCAGAGAGAAAAAAAACGGTTCATGCAGCGTTACTTGACGAAGTGCACCTCTGCGCTATACACCTCGAATAAAGTAGCTGCCGGACTGTGTTAGGTATTTCACACCCTTGTACGGTCTGCCTGTTTCGTTTATGATTTGCACCGAGTCGACGCGCAAGTTGCTCACAATGCGGTTCGGGAGCTGAAAAGACACGGCCACGATGGTGGCATTCGCTACGCCGCCACTGTTGCTCGGCCCCGCCCGCTGCGTCTTCGATGCGCCTTTACCGGCACCCGCCCCCTCCTTTTCCGGTGGAGAGGATGAAGTGGCGGCGGTGTCTGCCTCTAGCAGAAATTCACCTCCGAGCGACGGCGTGGCAGACTGCGTGAGACTGCCCATTGTCCACGTCAGCGTGCTCTTTGAGCGATCGAACGCCGTCGACCCACTTGAGCAGTTCGTCACCGTCAGGGAAGACGTGCTTGGCGGCAGCAGCAACCGCACCGTCAGCCGCTGAATCTCGGTGTCTTTTTCCGCGAGTGCGGCGAAACCCATCCCACCGCGGATACCGGCCATGCAGTGGAAGCGCCCTCCGGTGGAGTTGAAGGTCACCTGCGGGGTCACGTAAAAGGGCGGCAACGGCAGCAACAGCGAGGGCTTGCAGGTGTACCGCATTAACGTGAACTTGCCGTCAGGCGGGATAAAGCACAGGGTGCGGTCGTTGTCGTAGCGGTCTAACCGCACGCACCGGTGGAGGGCCACGTCGTCCACCACGGCGTCCACATCGCGCAGGCGCACCACCAAGTCCGGCATGCCGCTGAGCCGGCAGTTCACCTCGATGCTGCCCCGCACCGCCGCCTTCACGCAGCGCCCCTCGCTGTCGAGGATGTAGTCGAGCGTCTCTACCACATCAAATAAGATTTCGTTCGTGGAGTGCCGCGTCTCGGGGTCGCGCCACGGCACCGCGCCAAAGGCCCCCGCCACCTGCCGCGAGCCCACCCCGATGTTTGCGGTGCGCGCGCGCAGAGGGAGGACGTTGTGCACCATCGGCGTTCCCAGAATCGTGCAAACGCGGTTCTCCAGTGTTGGCCGTGGCACGAGCTCCTCCAGCGCGTACAGCTCCGTCGTGAGCGGGTAGCCATAATCAAACATTTCCTGGAGAAGCTGATAGACAACGGAAAAGTTCTCCCGCACGGTGTTCTCAGACAGCTCCGTCAAGTACATGGTTAGCACGCGCGCCACGAGAGCCAGTTGCTCAAGTACCAGCAATGCGGTGTCGTCGGACGTACAGGTGCCAACAAGAAAGACGTTGCCGCGATGAATATGGGAGAAAATGGTGCCGCCGTAGGACACGATGGCCGCGGCGGGCTCTCTGGAAGATTTGCAGGGAGCCATGAAGGTGGACCAGAAGCCGTCCAAAACAGTCCGCGGAATGCGCTCGCTGAATTGAAGCTCGACCATCACCTCCCCGTGCTCGTTGAGAATAAAGATACACGACAGCATCCTGAGGTTGATGTCAATCTTCTGGGTTTGTGTGTGCGAGTGGGTATGTGTGTGTGTGTGTGTATTCAGCACTCACGTCGAAGCAATAGACGTCAATGTGGGGTAAGACGTTTGCTCGGATGCTGCCGCTTGTCGCTGCGCAAGCACGATGAGTGCGTGCAAAAAGTAAAAGGTAGTGCAGTAACCCTGAACTGCAAAAGACACGTTAACTACACAGCACACCACACTAAACAAATATCCACGCTAAGGAGGAGAAAGGAGGAGAATAAAGGGAAAAGAGTAAAAGGAAAAATAAAAGCCGCTATATAAAAAAAAACAGCAGCCCAAATTGTGGAGTGAGAAGACCAACGAGAGACGCTCTACGTCCTTTTACTAGTCCCAATAGTTTGCTGCAAAGCGGCACCGCGGCCATTCGCGTGAGACTTCATCGTATAGCAAACTACAGATAGTTGCTTGCGAGTGCAGATGCTACGAAGTTGCGCACTTGCGTTGCCGACCTTCGGCCATGCCGCGCCAGCACGAGCACTTAACTTCCGCAACAACAAAAACACCATTTTGTTTTCTGAAACTTTTGTTTGCTTTTTTTTTTGACCTAGAGCAAAGAACTTCAAAACTAAAATCATATATCAAAACGATGAGGTGAAACGTCGAGGGGAGTACAAGAGCGAAAAAGAAAACATGTATATGTTCGTTCGTGACTTGGAGGCGGCACATTTTCTTTTCGTTGTCCTCCAACAATATTTCGGATTGACTTTCACAACTACTTGCTTTTATCAGTACCATTTTTTTGGTTTGTCTGTGTGTGGTGTGTGTTTTTGCTTGGTTCTTTTCTGTTTGTTTGTTTGATGGCCGCTTTTTTCCTTTTCAATATCTTTTTTGTGTGGGGGGGTTGTGGTTATTTCCTCCTTCGTTTCCCTACAACAAAACCTTTTACTGTCCAAGTTCTTTTCGCGTGCTTCGATCACGACACCGCTCCCTCCCCGCACACTTCTTTTCTCTTCCGCCGATAGCGTCCACATCTTCGTGGTCTCTCCTTACCATCGGCCGTGACTTTCTCCCCTCCCCACTCTGTCAGGGTTTCGTTCGCAAACAAACAGGGAACTAACAAAAAGGCGAACGAAACGATAAAAAGGGGGCGACGTGCAGAGGAGAAGGAGAGGAAGTCACCTCCAACTTCAAGGAAAAGAAAAAGAAGAAAAGCGCTGCTTTGCTCTCCTTGCGATACGCAAGAAAGATGGGTATATACTGTACGTCCTGCGCCTCTCACGAGTTGCGGTGACACAATGCAATACTAATAATAATAAAAGAGTTTGTGGCGAAGACGGTGAAGTAAATGAAAAAGCGAGAAGCATAGAAGTAGCTGCCTCAACACGTGGAGACACGGTAGCTGCCGCAATTTCTCTTTTTGACTGCTGAAAAGAACACAAAAGAGCGCAAACCCGCAACGTCTGGTCAACGAGAAGTCAGATTGCGGGGAGAAATGAAAGAAAATAAAAACAAAAGAGAAAGAGACCATGCAGAAGAAAAAAAGAAGACGGCAACAGGACAAAAAATGAAAGAGCGATCAAATCCATGAATTGACGAAAGCATGAGCCTTCTTGGATTCGGCCACGTGTTTGGTCCGTTTCTCCGTAACTTTGGTCTCAACTCTCCCCCTCTTTCTATTTCTTAACTACCTCATTGGCTTACGTGCAGGAAGAGAGAATAGGTGCGCTCTTCGTTTCCTCTCTCATCCCCTCCAGTGTTAATAAAATAGGGCTGAATAGAGAGAACAGAAAAAGAGACACGATGCTGCTTCAGTGACTGTTTTCAAAAATAGAGGATTTTGGTGGAGTTGTGAAATTTTTAGCTTTTCGGAAAAAAAAACGGAGCGTTCCCGGCATTCCTTCTGAGATGAGCCCCCAAACACCCCCTTTCGATCGATCTATTCATCGCCCGGCACTGTGCTTCTGCTCCGTTTTGTTTTTTGCTTTACTCCTTGAGCAGGTTGGCACTCCTACATTTAATGCCTTCACGGATTGGGGGGAGAAAGAGAGGGGGGAGCGGCGGTCAAGACAAGAAAGAAGAAGGGGAATCTCGCCTTTCGAACTTCTAGGTTGGGGACTTTATAATCGAAGAAGAGAAGTAAAAAAAAAGATACAGATTCAATCCGAAAACATGAAATAGGTTAAATACTGGAAAGAAAAGGAAATGCGTTCCATCGAAGTCGATTTCTTTTTCACTTTATTTTCTGTTTTTTTTGTTTGTTTGTTTCCTGCCTCTGACAAACTCGTGTGTGCACGTTGTCGAATGCGACGCACAGTCGTAGCCTTGATCAATCCCTAGGGCATAAAGGGCATCAGACTGAAATGGAGAAATGGGAGGCGTGCAGCACGGGCAATGACACGATGACAGACCAACAACAAAAAAACAGATAACAAGAACGGAGGTGGGAAAGGCGAAGAAAAAAAAGGGAAGAGTGCCACGTTTCGGGATGCGTTATGATACACGCACTCTACGTCGTCTGCCACTACGCCAGATGAGGCGAGAAGGCCGATAATTATTTTTTTTAAGCCAATCCTTCCAACGCCTGCTGCACATGAAGCACCACAAAACGAAATGATTCAAGTCGCCGGCAAAAAAAAAAGAAAGAGGCATACTACGGCGGCACATCTCTTTTCTTCTCCCTTCCCAAAAGCGCGGTTTCCTTTCTCTTAGTTTTTGTTTGCGTTGCCGATAGCGTCGTGTATGCCACGTCGCTTAGCTGTCGCGGTCATCGCGGCGGTCGACGCCGCCGGCGCCACGGCCACCGCGACCACCACCGCGGCCACCACGGGGACCGCCGCGACCACCGCGACCGCCACGGCCGCCACCGCGGCCACCGCGGCCGCCACCACGGCCACCACGGCGGCTTGCAGCGGGGTCGCGCTTCTCCTGCTCCGTCACCTCGCTCTCCGGGATCGGCTCCTGGTAGCCGGGGTTGGATGAGTCCAACTGGTTGCGCGAGAGGGTGATGAGGATCGTCGACACCTTGCGCTCCACCACAACGTTGTCGGGGTGAACGGCGCGGTCGATCGGCTCGTACTCGTCGCGGACCAGCTCGGAGCCTAGCTCGGTAATCTGGTGCAGACCGGCAATGCGGTGCTTCACAATCTCAGCAATGTTAACGGCGTTGTAGATGGCGCCGCCCATGCCGCTGATCTTCACGGTGTCGTTCTTCTGCTTGCCCTCCTCGCCGTTGAGAACGGCAATCGCGTAGGAGATGTAGCTGTGCTGGCCGTGAGTGGCCGTCACGCGCACCTCGTTCTCGGCGCCCTCGGTCTTCTCGCGGCCCTCGCGGTTCTCGCGGACGCGGCGGTACTCCTCACGGGACGGACGCGGAGGCATCTTGGACAGACAAAGTCAACGGGGTTGGTGTGTGTGTGGGGGGTTTTCAGGGGGGAGTCAGTTCTACAGAAGACGCTGAGAGAGTGCAAATCGCACAATCGGTAGTCAACGGCGCTAACGAAGAGATCGGGGTTTAGAAGAGAGTAAATTGAAATTCTAAGAGGAGGAAGGAATGGGGGAGAGGGGGTCCACGATGGATGTTGTTGAAATAGAATTTAGAGAACAAAAAGGGAGAGAGGGAGAGAGCAGATGATGGGAGTGCTGGGGCGGGAGAGGCGACGATGAAAGCAGTGCGCACGTCTAGGTGTGAAAGGAGCTAGCTTTTTTGCAAAGCGTGTTCGCGGGCCATCACGGAGACGCAGCGCATACACATATGAATGCACCAGAAAAACGAGAACCGTTGACGTGTTGAGGGGCTACAACACCGAGTTCGAGAACTCCGCCTCCACGACTGATAAGAAGAGAAAAAAGGAGGTTTCTCCTCATCGACGATTGTTCGCTGGTCGTCCTGGCGGGGTCGCTTGTGGCGACAAAGGACCGATGAAGATATGTTTCAGCAACCTTGGAACTTTCCTTTTTGGAGTTCAAGCCCTCAGTAAGACTGCTGAAGTCAGTTCAGCTTGAAACTCCTTAGGAGGCTCAGGTTTTTTTTCAGCGAATGGGCGGCACAGCGTCTCTGCCTGCTCCGTCGTTGGCCGTCTATACAGCGCATGAGCTCTTTTGATGTTTGTCTCTGTTGTGTTCGATGATATTATATATTTTTTTACAGCCACAGCAACGTCTCCGGTAAACAGGAGAAGAAAAAAGTAACAGAGACATAGCTCACTGTTGACGATGGAAAGCGGGAAAAAAAAGGAAAGAGAAGAGGAGAAAAAACAGAGCTGACTTCGCGAGGTGGAGTGAATATTGGGTGTAAATAAAAACTCTACAAAGTCCCTTTTTACGTGCTAGCATACACTAACGTCTTTGAGGACTCTTCCTTCTTCAATTCCGATATAGGTGAAATCCCCGGAGAAAACAACAATCTGACACGCATTAAACCAAAAAAGGGGAAGAAAAGAAGTGAGACGCAACAGCGCCGGTGATGTTCGGAAACACACAATCGTCGACCAAAAACTCTTCTCGCCACGCAACCACCACGAAGGAAAAAATAAATAGAAGAAAATGGTTGAAAAGAAACTATGTAAAAATCGAGAAGAGGTTAATGAATAAAATGCCTTCAGCCGTCACCGTCGCTAAAGCCTTTTGGGGGATAAAAACAGCTTGTACTTTTTCCTTCTCCCTTTTTTGGAGGAGGCTCACAAAACGCAAGAGCGTACCGCGCACAGCCTGGATTCCTCTCTCCCCCTCGCCTTTCTTTTCTTTTTGGGGGCCATGAAGGAAGTCTGCCACATCGTATTCCTTTTGAAAGCGCGCCGACGCTCTCTTTTTCTCACCAACGCGGACAGAGGTGCAGAAAGAACGAAACCAAAAATAGCAGAAAAGAGCGGCATGGACGAAGCGGATGAGCGGCACACCCATAAAAAGTCCTGCAGCGGAGGCGACGCAAGTTGGCCACGGAACGCACGAGAGAACAAGAAAAACCACCCCAAAAGCTATTACACACACACAGAAGAAAGCCAGGCAGCCAATAGAAGAAAAAGAGGGTTGAAAATACCACACAAGGCCGATGGGAGTCCAAAACCCACAACGAGAGCACCAACAAAAAAAAACTGAGAAGAGAGGTAGATAATGAATTGGAAATGGAGAAGAGAAAGCGAGCTCAGAGTTCCACCGCCATCCGGGGTTTGGAACAGCTGACGCTCTCCTTCTTTTGGTTGCTTTTGCTTTGAAAAAAAAAAAAGAAATCGCTACAACTTGCACTGATTTTTCGCTTTGCCAGCAGAGAAACTTCACAGCAGTTACTTCTGCGCAGCGGCGGCCACCGCGTCGTCCATCATCGTTCGCTGGCGGTCAAGCGCCCTCTGCGTAAGCTGGCGCAGCGACACGAGCAGCTCCCGCATCATCTTCTGGTGCTGCTCCATCCAGTCCTTGTTGTCCTTGAAGGCGCTCGCCTTGGAGTCGAGCATGGCGATGGCCACGCGCACCGCGGCGCTGGAGGTCTCGGCCCTGCCGGCGGCGGAGTCCAGTTGCCCAATGATCTCTTGCGCCTGCGGCTCGCGGGTGCCCCAGTAGATCTTCTGCAGACCCAGCGAGGTGGAGCGGAAGACCTGGCGGATCTCGCGGCTGTCCTCCTCGTGGTCCGCGAGGATGCGGCGCTGGCTCGTCACCTCCTCCTCGGCCTCGTGCAGGTAGCCACCGTACTCCTCGTTGAGCGCGTTCAGGCGGTCCTGCAGGGAGCTGATGAGGTTCTCCAGGCTCGTCGTGTACTGGCGCACGATGGTGGCGTTCTCCTTCATGGCGTCGCTGACGGTGCCGCGGCCGCGCTGGCGGTCCTCCTTGGCGCGGCGCTCATGCTCCTCGGCGAGCTTCGTGTCTCGGTACGAGTTCAGCTGCTGCGTCAGTGCCGTCACGTTGTTGTCGTACGAGACGGACTCCGCCTGGCGGGCCTCCTCGGACTGCTTGAGCGCGTCGGACAGTCGCTGGACCTGCGCCCGTGCCTCGGACTCCTTCTCCTGCGTTCGCTGCAGCACCTGCGCCATGTCCTCCATCCGCTCCATCAGGCGACTAAACTCGCCTGACTGGTCGGGGTCGATGATGCTATTCCGCGGCGATGCGCTGGCAGAGGTGTGTGTGCGCAGCTGAGACTTGAGGTTCTCGATGATGTAGTCCTTCACCTCCATCTGCTCGTTGTACTCCCGCTCCTTTGCCTCCTTCTCCTTCTTGTTTTCTTGAATGATGGCCGCAATCAGGTCGTTGTGGCGCTGCGCCTGCTTCTCCGCGCGGAGCTTCTCCTGCTTGAGCGCCTCCATCAGCTTCTTTGCCTGCTCCTCCGACGCCTTCACCTGGCTCTCGGCCTTCTTGCGGCCGGCCTGCTCCTTGCCGAGCTGCGCCAGCAACTCCTGCTCGCGTTGCGCAATCGGACCATCCACCTCGTCCTTGAGCGCCTCCAGCTGCCTCTCCAGGTCCTTGGCGCTCGCCTCGCGTGCCGCACGCTCCTTCTCCAATGCGCGCTCCTTCTCCGACAGTTCCATCTCCATATCCTTCAGCCGCTGCAACGCCGCGTCCAGGCCGTCCGGTGCGCCGTCGCGCTGGTTGTACAGCCGGAGCATCTCCCGAAAAGGGTATTCCTCGATGCGGCGGTCCATCTCCTCCTGGCTGATGTCGTCGTCGTGGGTGACGTGGAAAGTCACATAGAGGCTGCCCAGGCGGAACTGGACGTCCGAGATGGCTTCCTGCGGCACGTCCAGGGCGATGCTCGCCTCGCACACAAAAGTCTGGCGCAGCAGCGACGGCACCGTCGCGACGAGGTCCTTCCAGCCATCCCCTTCAAACTTCTTGGTGAGACGGGTCGTCACGCTAGCGACCGTCGGGACACCTGCGTCCACGCTGTCGTCGCTCGTCGTCGTCGCCGGGGCAGGAAGCTCCGTGACGAGTTTGCTGGGGACGTCGTACACCACCTCATCCGCGCCAAACACGCTCACCCAGGAGTGCTGAAAGGTGCTCATGGTAATAGGAAAACAAATAAAACGCTCCTTGTTAATGTTGCGAAAGGGTTTTTTCTGTCGGCTCACTTCTACAACGTCGTTCTACTTACGCGCCTACAGAGTTTTACGGTGGTCGCACGGCTAGGAGAACGAAGTACGAGCGAGATTCTGTTCACTACGCGATTTGATGCAAGGTACACAAAAAACAGCCTTCACAGTTAGCCACGCAGAAGTGCGGAGCGAGAGTTGTGATACGCAAATGGATAGAGAGAAAAAAAAAAGAAGAGCGCTATGAAGAGGGAAACTACACGTGTGTTGTTCCCTCGGGAGTTGTTTGTGTATAACGTATGAAAACTAAGGAAGACAGCTGAATTGAACAGGGAACAGTTTTGAACCCCGCACGAAACCATTTGGAGAGTTGAAAAGGGAATAGGGGGTGCATCGAGATGTTTGGAAGGTTGTTTGTTTTTTGACACCGCAAAAGCGGTGACATCGGAAATAAACAAAAATAAAAAAGAGGGACGAGAGAGGAAAACAAATAGCGGTCAAGGAAGCATGCAAACGGTGTACCCACTACCAGAAACACGTAGGGAAGCTGCTGCAGCGGAAATTTTCAAAAATTCAACTACTGCAACGATGGAATTTATTCCTCCACAACAACAAAAAAAGGGCCGCTGTCATTGAAATGCGCGAAGGATGATAACGAACGTTATTTTGAGTTGTTTTCCTTGTGTGTGTGTGTGTGTATGCATGGAACACTGGCCGCTGCATTGATCTAGAAGTCAGTATACATTTTTCTAGAACGAAAAAGAGGAGACTTGGAGAGAGAAGTTGGCGTAGTACAATGAACAGTAAACAGAAAAGAAAAGAACAAGGGGAAAATACGTGCTCCCTTAAAGGTGCATCTTCATGTACAAGAAAAAAAGCTTGAATAGTAAAAGCAAAGAGATGGATGAATATAACAATGATTGAAAAAAAGAAATGGAAAACATGAGACGGAGAGAGGTTCGACGGCAAACACGTCCCTTTGTTCTCTTTCCGCATACAACACCAACTGCATGGTAGATGCAGGGTAGGAGAGTAATAGCTGCAACAGCTAGAGCCACGTCCTCTGCACCTCTTCGCCGCAGTCCCGCCTCTCACAAGCTGAAGCACGGGTTTGTTTGTTTGTCTCTCAGTCATCCATCAGTTATTGAAGTCAAAGACAGCAGCGCAAGTCAGAGCGGAATTTGTCCCGCAGCATTTTGTTCACCGCCAGCAGCGTGTTTATTCGCTCCTTCGCCGTCCCCAACTCCATGGAGAGACGCTCCACCACCGACTCCCAGTGCGCGGACTTTTCCTCGTCCTCTTGACTGGCGGCAGCGGCGTCCGCAGCCAAATAGCGTGCCTCCGCCAACCGGAGCTCCTCGCGCGCAGCGGCCATCTCTGCTTCGGCTGCTTCGTTGCGCACCGCCGCCGCACGTTCCGCGTCCAGCGCTGAGCACTTCACCGTGGCAGCGTGCAGTGCCTCGCGCGCAGCGACGATCTCGCGTGTGACCGTCACCAGTTCGTTCGTGCGTGCTTCGTAGTCGCTCCGCAGCTCGGCCACAACGCCCGTCGATTGCCTAGCAGGGGCTTCTTCGCCGTGTCGCGCAGCAGACAGCCCCCGCTCAGCAGAGCAAGTCCTCTTTTCCACGACAGCGGCATCAGCAACACGCGGCGACTCCGCAAGTCCCACATCTCCTTTCGCGGACAGCAAAGGATCCCTCTTCAGCAAAACCTCTTCCTTCGCGGCGGCCACTGCAGAGTTGAGAAGCGCCACAGACCTCAATCCGTCTGCCTCCGGCTCAGTGCATCGCTGCTTCGTTGCGTTGAACGCTTCATACGCCTCTGCAATCTCGTCAGTTGAGACAGATGGAGCACCACAGCGTTCACCCTCGAGAGCTTCTCGCGCATCTGTTCTGTTTACACGGTCAGAAAGTGCCGCGTTGCTCTCGATGGTCACGTCGATGCTCAATGTGTCGGTGATCTTGCACATGTTGCTTGGGAGAGTTTCCTCGCGCGGACATGCTTCGACCTCCTTACGTAGCGCGGCGGCAAGTCGCTCTTCAAGTGCTGCGATGTACCTGGCGTTGTGCGCCTCGCGATCGTCCAAGTCCAGCTTCGACACCTGAAGAGCCGCCTGCGAGTTCGATAGAGCTTCTTGCAGGGAATGAATCTGGTCGTGGAGCCCCGCCACAAGTCGCTCATGCTCAGTTTCCAACGTTTGATAGTGCATCTGAGCCTTGTGAAGCTCGCATCGAAGGCGCTCTTCGCTCTCCGAAAGCAACTGCCTCAGCTGAACGCAAGACTTCTGTGTTTCAAACAGAGCGGCGGAGATGCTCTCCGATTCGCTGTCGAGGCATTCGTGGCCCAATCGCTTTGTAGTCAGTTGAGATTTGAAGTCCACCATCTGGAGAGCACTATTCCGACGCTCTTCCTCCAGCTGGCGCCGCACGTGCTCGACCTCCTGCTCCCTCCGGTGCTGTACAAAGCGCACGTCCTCGAGAGCAGCCTCGAACTCGGCCAGGAGTTGCTGACAACCCGCGCCGGTGCCGCACATCTCCGACTCCGCCAAATCCGTGTCAGCCGCCTCGGTGCAGTCGATCGCCAGGCACCGCGGCTCGATGCGATGAAGGCCGTCTACAGACTTCACGTCCTCTGAGAATTCCACAGGGGTCGCTGTGTTTTTATCAGACAAAAACATTCTGTAGAGCACCTGCAGACGGGGAAATGCGCACCGTTCCATTTGGTCTCGCAGCGCCGTCTCGTACCGGGCGTCGTTCGAAGTGGCTAGTTGGAAGAGCAGGTCCAGCCCAGCGCCGTCGGCAGCGATGAGCGTCAGTCCAGTCAGCTCGCGCGAGGAGATGCCGCATTCAGCTAAAATGTCGCTCGTGGCCAGCCAGTGTACCGCCTCCGTGTGCGCCTTGACAACAGCGCACCACTCTGCACCGTCGCAGTGGCAGCGGAGAGACACAAAGCCGGCAGGAACGTCATCCACAAGAGTGTGTGGTGCAACGGTGATGGGACGACACATAACGTCGTCCACATTGGCGTCCTCGTTGTTGGACAGGCGCAGAACGGCTGTCAGCGCCATCTGCGTCAAGGTCTCCGTCTTGTGCGAGGCACTGCTGCAAGCGCGCGCGGCACTGCGGGCCGGCATGCCGCGAGCCTTCTGCGGCGCGGCTACGATGACCCGCTGCTCGATGTTGGAAATGGGAGAGAGCAGGTGGGATATGCGCGAGGACGGCCTTGGGGTGCAACGACGCGACCTCGCCGCCGTTCCATTCTCCACACCGGCTGCCGGCGTCACGATGCACTGGGGCCGGGAAAACGCTGTGGGACTGAGCAGCGCCGCGCATTCCACGGTGGGAGTGGCGGACACGCCATCACAGGCGAGGGGCCTTGGCTCCACCTCGACGACGCCGCAGAAGCGCTTGGGACCGTAGAGATGACGCGGAGCAGACGCTTTGTTGTGGCCCGCATTCGCCAGCGAAGGATCACGCAAGCGCAGCGACGGTTTGCTCGGTGTCTGAGGCGCAGGAGAGACGGAGCTCATGATTTTCTTTTTTGAATGTCCGAAGTCAGTGGTTTACCACGCAAACCACAAGTGTTTGACTTGAGCTGAAGATCGTGACTTTCCCGGTGTTCTTGTTTTTCGTTCTTGAGAGACCTTGTCGTTGCCCTTCTTTCTTCCGCGGTAAACCAACAGCAGCTAAGCTCACCTCAGGGAATCCGTTTCCCGAGCTGCGGTGTACGACGAAGCTTTTTTGCGGAAAAAAAGTGGGCAGCGTTTCTCAAGGTGCTCCTGCAGCAATTGAACAAAAACACAGAAAACACGTTCTCACGGAAGCAAAAGAGAAAGAGAGAAAAAAAAGAGAAGGATTCCCTTTAAAATATAAAAAAAATGGTCGCTCTACGAGAAGAGAAGAGGGTTACGGTGTCGAAGCGCTCACTGACGCCCTCGCAGCAGAAACAAGTACACAGAAAAGAGCTAACAAGAAGAAGAAGTGTTGCGCAACGCAGTGAAATTGCTCGTGCTAAAATCCTTTTCGAAACGTGAAGCAGATGAAGTTCACACTACGGAGGGCTTGATGTTGGGTAAAGAGCAGAAGGAAAAGAGCTGGAGTCTACTTTGAAAAAAAAAACTCTTCAAAACAGTGATCAAAGAAGTGAAAGCAGAAACAAAAATAACGGTTGAATAACTCCTTCAACCTGGGATATAAAGAAAAAGGATACAACACGGTCTGCTAAAGTTTCCGCTCTTACGTACAAAACCTCAAGAGAATCGGAGCAAAGCGAGAATGATCTCTCGTGCTTTCACTCTTCGCTTTTGTGTATGTGTGTGTGTGTGTATGTGTGTGAGCGCGCCTCGCAGAGCAGGTCAAAGGTGCTGAAAGTGGTTTTAAAAAACCGTTAGGTATGAGTCTGGTAAAAAGGCAAAAAGAGAACAGGTTCGACCAGTGACGCGAAAAAGTGTAAGATTGCAAGAAAAAGCAAGGTCGCGCAAAAGTCTACTGAAATCTCCTTTCGTCCTGTACAGACAAAAAAAAAAAGAAAGCGTGAGGTCATTGCGACGTTGGTGTCGAGCGGCGTGTGCGCCATGACAAAAGAAGAGAGATGCAAAAGAGGAAGAGTAGCAAATTTCCCACTTTGATGCCAAAGCAGAGCCCTCATATTGAGCTCTGCCATAACTTGCTAAAGAGGAGGTTTGCCGGTCAAGCACAGAAACAGAATGTCGTTCACAAGAGCGGCGCTTCCATCGAGTGTTTGAAATTGCCCAAAAGGAGAGAATGAAAGAACCAACGCGTTCTCATCGTCAGTTATGGAGCCTTAATGAAACAGTCCTCTTTCGGCAGTTAACGCATAGGTACGAAAACAGTTGCCTTAGAGAAGGAGGGGCATAATAGATCATTATATTTTCCTTTTCTTCTTTTCGCTTCCAAAGACATGTCTCGCTCTTGCGGTAGTGCCAAAAGCGCACGATGTACATGAAATAGTTTCTTGTTGCCGCTGAGAGGGTGTATCAACCCAATTCCAGCCGTACGTATAAACAGTGCAATTTTTGGATCTCGTCAGAGCGATAAAGAAAAGAAAAACGGCCTGCAAGTTGAGTTTGGTGAGCCCGTATCGACTTCGTCGTGCAGCACAGTCGAATGAAAAAAAAGGGAGAGTTTTTTTGTGAGTAAATCTACAATTGGGGGGAGAGCAACATCGGCTGTACCTCTTCTGTCCTTTGTTGCCGTTTCCATTCGTTCGTTGAGTGCGTTGTCCACCGTTATCTTCGTGTTTGACCTTCTCTACCTTGAAGAAAAATATAGATATAAATATGCTCTGTTTCACATTCGTGTCGCCGGTGTGACCCCCGCCTATCTGTCTCGCTCCCGGGATCATTGCACACGGTCTCTACCACAAGCTCGCACGTCTCCGACTCCTGATTGAAGCATGGACAAGATGCAATTAATAAGCGGGTGAGTCAAATATATATTTAGAATAAGAAGGATGGAAGTCAAGAGTCGAAGTGATTGCACGGCATTTAGGGAAATACATAACTAGCGAGTACCTGGCATCAATGTCCCCATCAAGGCTACTCATTGTTTCTTCACTATCTAGTATCTGCCCCAATTCCGTTCTTCTTTA